CCTTTTTATATTATTTAATTAAGAGTATGGCAGGCCCTGTGAGGACAGCGTCTGTCTTAGGTCAAGGACCTCATTGTATGAGCCCAACCAGGCCTTACCCGTCATGGGCTTGCAGAACAGCAGTTGGTCCTGTGCCTGTCTTAGGTGGCCGTTGGAATTAACATGCATGTCCTAGTTGCCCGTCTCTGACTGCCTGTCCATTGCTCCAGGGCAGTTAGGCTGCATCATCATATGGGCCACTTGTGGGAATTCCTTCCCGGTAGGTTTGTTGATCTGTTATCTCTAGCTGATGGTAGTGTACCTGAATGGGCTTTGCCATAAATGTGTCTATCTGGTTATTAATGAACATCATAATCCTCTGAAAAATACAAGACTCACAGAAATGAGAAACAATAGGTCAGTTAGGGGACCCAAAAGTGGGACTAGGTAAGGGAAAAACTCCCCCCCCCAAAATCAAGGAGAAGGGGTTGACAGTCATTTGTTGGTGTCTCTGTATGAAGTCATTTTTTTGTGTCTTGGAGCGTGTCTTGTATAACACTGGATGTAGTCTATTTGGCTGGCGTATGTTCCTCCAGATCGAGAAGAGCCTCTTCCACAGTCATGGGGTTTTGTGCATGGCTGTCAGCAGTTGCAGTCTGTTTGGCAGGGGTTAAAATCCACCATGGGTGTGGTGTGGCTCAAGAAGGCTGGTTAAGCAGCATAAGGCTCTAGGGAGATGTGTCACCTGTAAGAGAACACAGGGGATTGTGCCTCAGGAAATAACATTTTTCCTGGGTGTTATATGGGGTCTTTGAAGAACTGTCTACTTGTTTTATGAGGCGTTTAGGTAGCCATCTAGCTTCTCTATCTTGTTGAGAGTAAACACACACTGAACCTCGTCCCCAGATAAGGACTGGATCAGGGCCATTTTACACATTGGTTAGTGGGTCTCTCCATAAAACAGATGCAAACCGTGTTTGAGTCTGAGTATGCCAAAACCGAGATGCTGCGGAGCAGCCTGAAGCATCCAGGGTCAGAAAATTTAAAATGAAAAGAGCATGTGAAAGGACATTTCTAGGGGACCCCTGGGTGGGGTACCATGTCTCCCTTTTTATTTTATCTATGGTGAATTTAAGGGAACGATGCGCACGTTTAACAATGTCTTGTCCCTGAGGATTATAAGGTATACCTGTAGTGTGGAGGATATTAAGGCTCTTGCAAAATTGAGCAAAGGAGGTACTGGTATAGCCAGGGCCATTATCGGTCTTGAGCTGTTGAGGACATCCCAGAACTGAGAAGGCTGACAGCATATGGGCTATAATGTGTCTAGCAGCTTCTCCAGTCTGGAGAGTGGCAAAAATGAAGCCACTATAAGTGTCAATAATGACATGTATATATTTTAGATTGCCGAACTCATTGAAATGGGTAACATCCATTTGCCATAAGGCGTTAGGAATTAAACCTCTAGGGTTGACTCCTAGGTGTTGAACAGGTGAGTGGATAGCACAAGATGGGCAATTTTTTATAATTTGTCTGGCTTGCTCACGGGTAATTTTGTAGAGAAGGCGGAGGGTGTGAGCATTGAGGTGATGTAGCTGGTGGGCTTGTTGGGCCTCAGACACCTTGGAGTCCTGAGCCATAAAAACCTGTGTTCGTATAGCAACATCAGCCAAATGATTTCTTTGGGCAAGAGGCCCTGGGAGGTTGGAATGAGCTCGCAGATGACCGATAAAGAACTTATGACGGCGAAGCCGTATGAAGCATTGTAATTGTTTGAACAGATTTGCAGCTGGGGAAGCATGACATATAATAGCAACAGTCTCTAATAATGGAACAGACTGAGCAAGGTAAGCACTGTCAGTATACAAATTAAATGGTTGGTCAGAGTAAGCAGCAAAAGCTGCAAGAATAGCTTTTAACTCTGCTAATTGTGCAGAGGAAGTATCTGCCTGGAGGGTAGAAACATTGTCTTGAGATACATAAGCAGCTCTTCCAGAGGATGAGCCATCAGTGAATAAAACCAGGGCACCCGGAAGGGGTTGTGAAGCTGTGACTTTAGGGAATATAAATGAGTGACGATTAGCAAAGTCAACTAGCTTATTTGGAGGGTAATGATTGTCAATAGTCCCTGAATAGGAAGCTAAGGCAATAGGCCACACTTTAGTACTCTGAAGTAGCCAATCTATTTGGTCTTTTGTAAAAGGTTGAATGATAATGTCTGGTTTTTTGCCAAAGTAACATTTTCCCTGCTTTTTACCCTGGATTATTAGGTCCGAGACAGCTTGGAAATAAGGCAAAAGTGTTTTTTTTGGAGAGACTGGTAAATGGACCCACATGAGGGGAGCTTGTTGCCAGAACACTGCTGTAGGGCAAAGCTTTGTATTAAAAATGAGAAACTGTAAAGGCTCATTGTAGTCTATAAAGGAAACAGTTTGTTGAGCAATAGCCTCTTCTATTTTATTGAGCGCTCTCCTGGCATCAGGTGTAAGCTCTCGGGGGGAAGTTGGATCTATGTCTCCCCGAAGCAGTGTATAAAGGGGCTGTAAATCATGTTTAGTTAGTTTTAAAAATGGTATGAGCCAATTAATATCTCCCAATAGTTTTTGGAAGTCATGAAGTGTTCTGAGGCCATCAAGCCTCAGTTGGGGCCTTATAGAGAGTATTTGAGTGCCACATAATTGAAAACCCAAGTAAGTATATGGATCAGTAAGCTGTACTTTATCAGGGGCTATTTGAAGTCCAGCCTCTTGTAAGGCAACCTGTAAGTCTTGGTAGCACCTTAGGGTTTGGTTTTGATCATCTCCTGCCAAGAGGATATCGTCTATGTAATGAATAATATAGATATGTGGCCAATGATCTCTGACTGACTGTATTGTAGTGGCTATAAAAGACTGGCATAGTGTTGGGGAGTTGGCCATACCTTGTGGCAAAACCCTCTATTGAAATCTCTGTATAGGGGCTTTAAAATTAATTGATGGGAGACTGAAGGCAAAACGCTTTTGGTCCTTTGGATGTAAAGGAATAGAGAAAAAGCAATCTTTAAGATCTATGACAATTTTAAAAAATCCTAAAGGAATGACATTGTGTGAGGGGAGGCCTGGCTGTAGGGGCCCCATTAAGACCATTGTCTTATTTATCGCCCTAAGGTCTTGTAGCAGCCTCCACTTTTCTGACCTTTTTTGGATAACAAAGATAGGTGTGTTTTAAGGGGAATTACTAGGAACAATGTGGCCTGCATCTAACTGGTCCTGTACCAGCTGCTGTGCGGCTGCAAGCTTTTTAGAGTTAAGGTTGTTTTTAAAGGCTTATATGAATCCCCAATTTGCCATGGAGGCACAGGGAGTGGTGGGCTGCCATCCTGGGACCTGTTGATCATGTCAACAGGTGGAAGTGGTGGCAGATCACCATGTATAAGGACCTCTAACAGGCCATCATTCTCTGCATCTGAGAAATCAGAGGCTTTAGATTTTTTTGAGGACGGTTTTGAGGTAGATTTAAGGGAGTTGCGCAAGGCAGCCTCACCCAGTGCAACTGTCTCCTCAACCTGAGGGTCTGCATGCCTCTGGGCAAGCAGCTCAGAAATTAAATTCTAATATGTAAAGGTGGTCACAGGAACCTTTTCTGGACCGAAAACTCTATAATAATCTTTTAAAACATCTCTTACTGTATTCTACCTCTTGGTATCTATAGAACCCTCTAGGGGGAACCAAGGGCAAACCTTATGAATAAACTGAAAATACTGTAATAATTTTTGTTTTTTAACCCTTATCTCTCTTGTCTTTAATGCCTTTATAAGGCCTCCGACGAACAGTTTATGTTCGCTCAATACTTGACCCATGTCGGGAAAGGGAAATGGGGTTGCCGTTTACTCACCGTGACTCGGGCAGGACGTCGGGTAGTCGTCTGCGCAGGTCTCGGCACTTGATTTAATGTCCTGTTGTTTTAAGCTTTAATCCTTGATTTAGTTTACTCATTCCTCGGCCGAGGTCTCTGGTTTAATTTGCTTTCACTTTTGGTTTAAGCCGGCTGTCTCTCGAACGGCTCCCTCGTTAACTTCTCCGTGCCAGGGGCCCCACGTTGGGCGCCACTTGATCCGGCCTGCAGATCAACAAGTTTAGAACTCCTGGAGGAGAAACGGGGATTAAATAAAAGACATGGGGGAGACAAAAAGAGACGAAGGCAAGTTGATGTTAACCCAATCAAGCCTCCGGTTTATTTAGAAAATAATCACACCTTTTATAGGCTAAGGGCGGGAGCTGGGACAGGAAGAGGTTAAACAGATGAATACAACAGGGTTACCATCACATCCGGATAAGTGACATAAGCAGAAGAGGATTATGGTTAATGTAGGCAGACGCAGTGCCCATAGGAGAGAGAGAGAGAGACATCTAGGCAACAATGCCTGTCACTCGGCTCCCTACACAGGGGCTCAGGACCTGGCTTCACAGAACTCCCCTGGGAGTGGTTCCACTAACAGCTAAAAGCCGGACACCCTGTGAATGGAGCAAAGCTCCAGGCAGGGACTCGGAGTCAGAACAGTGCTCTCCCCAGCGGACCCCAGAGATAGCACCCAAACCCCAGTGCACCCCGGGGGGCTGGATGATCTGAGAGGAGACAGGGAGAAGCATGTGTGTGGACAACCATGGAGCAGTCGCCAGGAAGGCGGCTTCTTGGGTTGCCATTTCCATGGGCAGTGCCTGGCTGATGTGATGTCAGAGATCTCAAGGTTAACAGTGGAACCCTGGGGGGGGTGGTGGAAGGACCTGGAGAGCTTGGTGCTGCCTGCCTGCTCCCCCATCTCCCCCAGAACCGTGGGAGGAGCAGAGGCCACACTGCGCAGGGCTGCAGGGGCCATCGACAGCTGGATGTCTTCATGGAGGATGAGCAAGACACGTGTGTCTGTGGGGAAGCACAGATTTAGACAGGAGGGAGGGGACGCGTGGCGGAGGAAGGAAGGGGCCTCCGCTGCACCTCCCTGCCTCAAGGAATTGGGAATAACTGCGTGACTGGTTCTCCTTCAGCTGAAAGCCACTGACGCAGACGAGGGCGAGTTCGGACGCGTGTGGTACCGCATCCTCCATGGTGAGTGGCGCCCTGGCGGGGAGGGCCCAGCCTGCTCCCCTGGCCCAGCAGAGCTTTGAGTCACTGCCAGGGTTCCGGTGAGGAAGCCGAAGAAGCCCCAAGCACTGTACACGGGCTCAGGGCCAGGAAGGAAAGGGGAATTCTTGGATTATTTGGAGCAAATTGAATTTGTTCTAAGTGAGGGTGTCCCAGTACCCCACCCCGTACCACAGTGCCCCCCAAAGCCATCAGCCTGACTGAGGGGGCCTTGGATCCAGGGATTTGCTCTTATTGGTCCAACTAGAATCAAGTGCCCATCTGTGAGCCAATCCCTGTAGCCAGAAAAGAGAATCTATTCATCTGCCCACTTCTAGAGCCCTAGAGACAGGCAAAGTCACCCCACATAAACTACAGAGATGAGGAATAGAGAGTGAAACCCAAAGGAGAAGTGTGGGGAGTGGGCACCAGGCCAGCCCAGAAATGCTCACTAAATCCAGGCCTCCCCTACTCACAGAGAACCTAGTTTGGTTCTCTTAGCATACTGCCCCGACCCATCCAGGAAGATTGCAGGGGATCTGAGACCAGCATGGGTACATAGACCCTTTCTCAAAAACCAGCCAGATAAATGAAAATCACAGTGCCCAGATACCCCTGCCAGCCCAAGGCAGTGTGAGGTCCAGGTCTTCTGACCATGGTGGGGCACAGCCCAGCTCTCAAGACCCCTAACAGGTTCAGCATCTCAGGGGCCCTCCTGTTGCAGACCTCACCTATGTCCCTTCACACAGGTAACCATGGCAACCACTTCCGGATCCATGTCAGCAGCGGGCTCCTGATGCGAGGCCCCCGGCCCCTGGACCGAGAGAGGAATTCATCCCACGTTTTGACGGTGGAGGCCTATAACCACGACCTGGGCCCCATGCGCAGCTCCGTCAGGGTGAGCGGGCCAAGGTCACAGCTGGACCTGAGGTGCTACCAGTTGGGGTTGGGTTAGGGGCAGAGCCACCCTGGTTTAGGTGCTGAGTGGCATCTGGGCTAGGGGTTTAGTGAGCTTGAAATCTCAGGCTCGTGATTTGGCTCTGAGCCTCAGTTTCTCCAGCTGTGGAAGACCAGAGACCCCCGACATCTGTCCTGGAGGAAAGAAGTGTCTCTAGCATTCAAACCTTTTTATCCACATAGCTCCCTAGGATTGTCACCAGTCAGGTCCAGGGAGGTCCCCTAAAGCAGAGATGGGAACTTCATGGGATAGGTTGCAGGCTTGCCAACTTTTGTCACAGAAAATTTTTCAAGTTGCCTTAGTGAGAGGTATAGAGAGGTTTATTGGGCAGAATTTTAAAGTACACACCCAGAGACAATAGAGTGTGGGTCTTGAAAGAGTGCTACCGTTTATCCTGGAGCTGGATGAATTAGTGTAGTCTTGGGTCCTCTTCAATAAGTGATCTAGGCATGTGCTATCATATACATGCCTGTAATCTCAGCAATTGGGAGGCTGAGGCAGTGAGTCACAAGTTCAAGGCCAACCTGGACTATATAGTGAGCTCAAGGCCAGCCTGTACTACATAGCAAAGCTCAGTTCGAGAATAAAACAAAACAAAACAAAAAGATGAGTGATCTCAGATGTGTATTCCTGATTGTCGGATTACCCATCAGAAGGCCACATTAGAGGACAAACCACTGCGTGTGTGTGAAGCTGAGAACTGCTGCCCACTCTCTGTGGGAGGAAGGACGGTTTACAGGCGAAGAGCACAGGCCCCGCCTTGATTGACTCTGCCTTAGATCTTTAGGAAATCCTTTGGGAATGAGTTTCCTAGAAAAGAAAAAACTTGAGAAGCTTTTCATATGAAGCTACATACATTCTTTAAATTATGACTTTATTGGTCTCCTTTCTACCTATCTTTATTTTTTGCTATCCTACCTTATGGTGAGCTGAGGAGATCTCACAGAGATGACTTTGGAGGTATAGATGCCAGCCTCGGGCTACAGATGAGGAAACTGAGGCACAGAGAGGCTGCTAGCAATAGAACCAGGACTTGAGGCTGCATCTCCTGAACCCAAGATTCAAGTCCAATACTCTTCCCATTGCAAATACTTTTATTGAAATGTTCCCATCTCCACTGCCAGCTGTCCAATCAGATCAAATGTTCTCTCTCTCTCCCCACCCCACCTCTGAGTGCCTGAAATCAAATCCAACTTCACTTTCCTAAATGATCAGAAACAGATACTCCCACTGGCGTGGCTGAAAAGCACAGCGCCCCTCGCGGCCACCCCTCCGCACCCCGGGACACTCTCAGAGGCTCACAGCCCCTTCCCCTGCAGCCTGGAAGTGAGTCAGACCCGCACGTCACCCGGGAGTAGGAGGAGGCTGTAGGAAAGGCGCAGAGAGCAGGCTGGGGCTTTACCCAGAGCTGTGGCGTGGGACGGAATCAGCTGTTCTTATCAGCTCATCTCAACCCATTTCCCCAGACTGGAAACGGTGAGTGGAAGCCTACCTGGCCCCCACACCACGCGTCACATCCCTCGGGGGTGTGCTGGGACAGGTGACTCAGCCTAACTGGGCGGCCTGGGGTGGACGGCGAGAACCTGCTCTCCCTACAGCTGCCCTGAGCAGCAAGCAACGTCTGCCCAGGTGTGCGTGACAGGCAGAAGAGGAATCGGGTTCTGCAGAGCGGGTGACAGAGGGCGACACCAGCACCTGCCCCCACCCGAGTCCTATGCAGCCGATTCCTCACACCCTGCCCATCAGGGCGCCCCCTTCAGGCCACAGAGGGGCTGACACCTGCTAACAGCAGCCACCTTCCCGTCCCTCCTGGAAGCAGCAGCCACCCATGTCCAGGGTCTGCTCTTGTCAATCAGTGCCTTGGCATCGCTGCTGCAAACTATGTTTAGCCACCAACCTTCTTTTAAAAGTGATTGCTATTCAGTATTCCGGAGTCCCCTGCAAACCAGATCAAACCCAGCTGGGCCACGCCATGTCACACCTTCTCAGCACCCCACCCCCTTCTTTGCCCCGAGGATGGGAAACCCTCACAGAACACTGTGCCAGGAATTGCCCTGCGTGCTGCCTGCACTTAGTCAGCCCTCTTTAACCACGCTGAGTTGGCTCTGTTGTTATACTATTTTACACATGAGGAGAGTAAGACCAGAAGGTCACCCAGCAGTAAAGGTAGTGACATGTTTGTTCTAACCAGTATGCTGCACTAGCCACTGAGGTACACTCCCACAGAAGGCTCCACGGAGCACAGTGGGAAGCCACAGCCTCGTCCCCAGAGAGTAATGCTGAGGCCCGGGGTGGAGGCTTGATGACCTTTGAGGTGTGCAGCTTCCACATCCCACATCCCTCAGGACAGCCAGAGACCTTCCTGAGGACACTGTAGCGGCTCCTGCTCTGCTGTGGACTCCATTTCCCAGCAGCAGCAGCAGACTCGGCTGTAGGGGCCAGCACGCAGGGCCAGGAGGCGTAGAGGAAATTGCTAAGTGGTGGTGCACCCCTGTAATCCCAGCTACTTGTGAGGCTAAGGCAGGAAGATCACAAATTCAAGGCCAGCCAGGGAAACTTAGTGAGACCACCTCTCAAAATAAAGTAAAAGAGGCTGGGGGCATAGCTCAGTGCCAGAGCACTCTCCTAGCATGTGTGAGGTCCTGGTTCAATCCTGTGTACCACACGCACATGCACAATGATTTATTATAAATCATAAAGAGATTGGGTGCCTTGAGGTGCACATGACACACCCATGCCTTTGGCTGGTCCTGCCCCCTTTGGAGGGAACAGCCCAGGACAGAAATCAGCTCCAGGTCTCCAGGGAGCCCCACAGCTCCCTCCCACCCAGCAGAAACTCCGCAGACCTGTGTTTCCTGTACATCTGTGTCTCTCAGATTCACAAACCACACTCTACCTTGCCTCCTGCTCTGCTACTAAAAACAAGAGCCTGGTGACACGTGGCCAGGCTCCAGGCCGCGTCCCTCCTCTTCCTCTCACACTGTCATACCCATCCTCTTTCTTCCCCACAGCCCTGGGAGTCAAGGTCGCTGGGACACCAGCAGACTCAGGAAAGGGCAGGCTCCGGGTTCTGAAAGATGAATGGTCAGTTTCTGTTTACCCAAAGAGAGTTCCCGAAATTCATCCATGCAAATCCCCCACACCCACCCCGCCCAGGACCTCTCCAGCCAAGTTTTGGTTGAGGTCAAATGTAGACAGCTCTGTGGACAGCTGGGCCCTGGGTGAGCACTTGGGTTTGCATAGTGATTCTCGGTGCCTGGATGCGACAGTTCTGTGACACTGCTAGTGCGCTCAGAGCGGGAGCCTGTGGGCCTCTCCTTCCCTGACTGCTGTGTCCCCATCTGTGTCCTCCACTTGCCCTGCCCAGAACACCCCCCCCCCATCTCTCCCAGGTGCCCACCCGGCTACTGAGAGACTCCAGGCTGGCCCCAAGATGATGACCAGTCAGTCAGAGACCAAGACTGAGTTCTGAGGCTCCCTGGGCCTCAGACCCCATCATCAGTGCCACTGGGCCGGTTCTGTTGGGCCCACTCATCCCCAGCCCAGAACCAGGAGTCCGATGCTTGGTAGATGGGAATGGAGAGAATCCTGTCCTTCCTTGGTCCAGTCCTCCCAGTTACTGCGAGCTGCTGAGCAGGTCACACCCGTGCTCTGGGGGTCTGTCCCCATCTTCCACAGGAGGCAGGGGCCTGGGCCTCCCTACGGCTCCATGGGCAGCAGCACCGTGATGGCCACCCCAGCCCTTTCCCCCCAACGCAGGTCTTTCCACACCCTCCCGGAGCTCGAGAAAGATCCTCTGGTCCTGAAAGGTGGACAGTTAGCTCCTGTGGACAGAAGGTATGTCCTGAACTCTCCCCAGGAGTGAGAGACAGTGGACAGGACAGCAGCCTCAGCCCCTAAACCTCTTTCACACAGCCCTTTTTGCTGTGCACAACATACACACTTGTAAAAGAGAACCTTGAGTCTCCAGATGAGGAGCGAGAAAAATTACGCCTAATTGCACAATCCAGAAACGCCCACGGTCTTGGGTGGGGTCCCCTGCAGCTGAGCCTGAGATGAGGATTGCTGTAACGTGTGAAAAGTGTCCCCAGGGAAGGCCGGAAGGGGTGAGGACCAGGAAGAAAAAGCTGCCAGAAAAGTGACAGACACAGAGGCGACCTCCCTGGTCCTCGGAAGCTCTCAGCGCCCCTCACTGTCCCTAAGGCTGACCAGGAGAAGGCAGCTGCAATCATGAAGGGGCCGAGGGCTGACATACTGTTACAACCTCCTTATTTTTTTTTAATGCATATCAACTTTCACAAAACACTGTGTTTGTTACGGCATTTCTGACATCCCAGATGGTGGCCACTCCCCACCACTCTCCCTCCTTCCGCTTGCCCTCATTCCCTTCCTCTTGTCTAAAAATAGCCTGGCTTCCACTTTCGTGTCATCTTTGTGGTTTGTGTTGTATTAGATGCCATGTCTTAGGGAAAACATGCAATACTTGTTTTTCTGAGTCTGGTTTATTTCCCTTCGTATGATAGTCCCCGGCTCCATCCATTTTTCTGCAAATGACTTAGCTTTGTTCTGCTGTGTGGCTGACTACTGTGCCACTCTATTTATTTGCCGTGTTTCATTTGCTTTAGCTCCACATCGTGGCTATTGTGAATTATGCCACAACACAGGGGTGCAGCATGGCTGTAGCACCCTGACTTTAATTCCTTTGGCGGTACACCAAGTTGTGTGGTAGCGCGGTCATGGTAGATCTTCTTTTTTTCCCCTTCAAGACTGACCCTGGGTCTTCACAATGAACTACACGTCCCGATCTTTTATTTTTTATTTTGGGACAGCGTTTTCCTAAGTCAGTAAGCTACCCAGACTGGGCTTGAACCTGCGATCCTCCTGCCTCAACCTCTGGAGTACTGGGATTACAGGCATGCATCACTATGTCTGGCGAGGTAGTTCTGTTTTAAATTTTTTGAGGAACCTCCAAACTGATTTACATAGTGGCTGTGTTAATTTACATTCCCACCAGCAATGTAGAAGTATTCCCTTTTCCCTTTATCACTACCAGAATTAATTACTTTCAAAAAATTTTTTGAGACAGAGTGTCATTGTAAAGTCCAAGTTGGCATCCAGTTTGCCATCCTCCTATCTCAGCCTCCCAAGTGCTAGGATTACAGATATGTGTCACCCCCCCTGACACATGTATTCTTTTTATTGTGTTCTTGGTGATAGCTATTCTGATGGGTGGGTTGGAATTTCAACATGGTTTTGCTTTGCATTTCCCTAATCCACCGTTACATTTTAGCATCTGTCCTCCTAGATGTATTTTGACATTTAAATGGGCCGCTTTGTGGCACTTCTGCAGGCCCCAGCTCATTTTGTCTTCCTAACAGCCCAGCAGTGTCAGGGAGTCTGAGCGATTACAGTCATGTTACCATTTCATAGCAGAGTGGCTCGATGGCCCAGAGGAGCCACCAATTAGACTCTGGTCCCCACAGGATTAGTAGTGGAGCCGAGGGTAAGACAAAGCTCATTCTTTACTTGTTCATTCATTTTTGTTTTTGAGACAAGATCTTGCAAAGTAGTCCAGACTGGCCTTGAACTCACTGTGTAGCCCGAGTGGGCCTCAAACTCACAATGATTATCCTGCCTCAGCCTCCCAGGGTGCCGGAATTACAGGCGTGCACCACCACATTCTGTAAGAGAAGGTTCATTCTTAAGTAAGTGATGTTTGAGCACCCACCATGCTCAGGATGCTGTGCAAAGGGGAGGACATGGTGACCAGCGAAACAGCCTCAGTTCACCCAGCTGCCAGAGAGAGCTGTGACCATGTAAGCCGACCAGTGGCCACATTCCAGCCCCAGGCTCCGCTCGCCCTGACCTTGTACCCAACTCCGCAGGTGATCGTGTACGTGGAGGATGTCAACGACGAGCCCCCTGTGTTTGCACAGCAGCAGTACAGCCGCCTTGGGCTGCGCGAGACCGCAGGCATTGGCACATCCGTCATCGTTGTCCGAGCCTCGGACCGAGACACTGGTGAGGCCTGCAGAGAGCCCAGTGCTCAGAGAGCCACCCTCTGCTCCAGCCCAGGCTACATCCCCACCCCATCCCTATGCACCGGCCAGGCAGGGACCCTGGGAGTGCCTTGGTCACTCCCTGCCAGATGCCCAGGCCTGAGGAGGTCAGCATTATAGAAGCTGTACCGAGATCACGCTGGGCAAGTATAGATTTGTCCTCTCAGGACTGGCAGCTCCCTGTGAGCCTCTGGTGAGCGGCCTTGCAGGAAGGGGCTGAGATCCACTCCTCCCCGTGGTCCTGTACCTGGCCGCCTCCTGAGGGGCAGCACCCTTGGTGACCTACAGGATGCGGTAGCCCCAACCTCACTGAGAGTCCTGACCCCCAGAGGTAACCACAGTGCAGTGCCAAGTGGAGGAGTCCCGCCAAGAGGGGAGCTCTTCCAAGGTGCGCTGCCCACCCCCTCCTACTCGCCCTGGGCATCAGCTACCCTGCTGCTTCCCAACACTCCTCAGCATCCTCCCTTCACCTGTGGCCCAGCAGGGTGAGCAGTGTTCCTGGGCGATGCCCCGGTGCAGCACAGGGTACAGCACAGGTCACATATGTTGTGCATACAGTGGCCCTGTGGCTCCTCCCGGGTCAGCTAGCCCTTAGTGGGTGGCAGAAGGTATGGATGCCAGCCCCAGAGACAGAGTCTGTTCTGAGTCTTGAAAATGATTCCAAGGAAGGCTAGGATTTTCGGGGTGGTTTGATGCCTGTTCCCTTTTCCGCCTCCTGGGTAGGGGTGTCTGTGTATTTTGGTGAAGAGATCCCAGCTGTAGCCCCATTTGACTGGTGCATTCCAAGGCACGGGGCTTTGGGGTGCAGGGTAGGGAAAACAGAGCACAGTGTTCTTGGCACTGAAGCCCTTCCATCAGAGGGACCAAGTGACAGTGTGGTCACCTCTGAGGATCCACTTTGCCCAGAGCTTTCTAGATGTAAGCCCCCACTACAAGGGACTCTTTGTCCGAACCTCCAAGCTGGGGGCTTGAACTTGAACTTGAGGTCCCAGGAAGCAGAGCCTCTGGTGCCAAGACCGAGCCCCACAGTGGGGGTCAGCAGCATCCCGGACCTCGTCATCCATGTTGACCTTGACCCTGTCCTCTGCCACAGCTCCTGGGTTGATCTGGCCCATAAAGGTGGGGGCAGTTTGTACCAATCATGCTAGTCAGGACCTCTGCCATGTTCCCCGGGGATAGCCCTGCCCTGCCTGAGACCTCACAGCCTCCGTGTCCCCGCTGCAGGGGATGGCGGCCTGGTGAACTACCGCATCCTGTCGGGCGCAGAGGGCAAGTTTGAGATTGATGAGAGCACGGGGCTGATCACCACCGCAGACTACCTGGACTATGAGACCAAGACCAGCTACCTGATGAACGTGTCTGCCACCGACCAGGCCCCACCTTTCAACCAGGGCTTCTGCAGCGTCTACGTCACGCTGCTCAACGAGCTGGACGAAGCCGTGCAGTTCTCCAATGCCTCCTATGCAGCGGCCATCATGGAGAACCTGGCCCTGGGCACCGAGATCGTGCGGGTCCAAGCCTACTCCATCGACAACCTCAACCAGATCACCTATCGCTTTGACGCCCACACCAGCACCCAGGCCAAAGCCCTCTTCAAGATCGATGCCTACACAGTGAGTAGCAGACCCTGCATGCACTGCAAGCCTTCAGTCTGAGGACACTTACTGAGCGCCTTCTGTAGGCACAGCCCCTCTTCTTTCTCAGGCAGAGTTCTTCAGGTGGATCCCCCGTATTGTGTATCCTTTAGTATCTAGCTCTAACATGGTGCTGCTGCTCCCAGGCAATGTGGCCTCATATTGCTAAGCAACTAAAGTTGCTAAGTACCAAGGAAAATCCAACTGGTCTACTTCTGCATTCACGTCCATCACAGGACGCTTGGCCTCTAGACTTCAGTGTGTGTTGGACACCAGCTGAGTGTTCTGTGACTCCGTTCAATACCAAGACAGCTCCGCCAGGGGTTGCAGACAGAACCTGATGGGCGCCCAGCCCACGTGGTTTGACTTGAGCCACCCATAAGACAGCCCCACTGCCCCTCCTTGAATGTGGTTGATTCCTGAGAGTATCTCTCAGGGCCCACGCAACACTGTGCTTGCTATTGCTGATTTATTTCCAGAGTAATTTGAAAGGATATAAATGACGAGACACATCCCAGGGGATGTGGAGGAGGGGCTAGGGGCTTCTGTGCCCACTCCAGGCACGTGGCCCTCCCCTCAGAGCCTGTGGGGTTCAACAGTTTGCAAACTCCACCAGACATGCGGTTCAGAAAGTCATGGAGGCAGCCAGATGCGGTGGCTCATACCTGTAATCCCAGTCCTCGAGAGGCTGAGGCAGGAGGATCACTGTAAGTTGAGACCAGCCAACTCACAAAGTGAGTTGAAGGCCAGCCTGAACTGCATAGTGGAACCTTGTCTTAAAGACAAAAAAAAACTTATGCAGGCTTCAAGCACAAGCGCAATCAACTACTAACTCGGTCTCCAGTCCTCTCTCCACCCCAGAGGGAAAGTTCCAAGTTCTAATCATGGTTTAGTCTTTCTGGTGACTCGCCCTAACCTAAGAACCCACCAAGAATTGCTCGTTAGGGACAAAAGATCCTCCTATCACCCAGGAAATTCCAAGGAGTTGGGAACTCTGTCAGGAATCAGGGTTATAGACCAATTATTAGAACAAAACACTGTCCTAGTACCCTGTTTCCAGGAATCTACAAGAGTTTCAAGAGCTCTGTGCCAGCCACCAGGGGCAAAAAGCAAGTATATATATTTCTTCTTATTTCACAGTGTCCCAGAAAGCTATGTACAGTATCATAATTCCCTTTATGCCTTGGTTATTAGGAAGCTCAGACATAGATTTTGCCCTTCATTGCATACCTATCCTAAGCTAGGTGTCTGTTGTGGCTACCTCTTAGCTACTACTCGGCTTCTAATCCTCCATCTTTGCTTTAATGTGCCTTTTAACAGAAGTCTTTCTTTAAAAATAAGTAAGGTAGCTGGGCATGCTGCCGCACATCTGTAATCCCAGCACTTTGAGAAGCTGAGGCAAGAGGATTGCAAGTTTAACTGCTGCCTGGACAACGTGAACAAGCTCTTATCTCCAAAATACAAAGAGGGGTGGGGCTGTAGCTCCGTCCAAAGGCCCCGGGTTGAATCTGTAATATGGGAAAAAAGGGGGGCAAGGTATAAATGGCCAACATGCCAGGGGACCCTGGGAGCGAGCGATGAACAGACCCTTTCCGACCCTCGCAGGGTTTTCAGGCTGGGAGGAGATCAGAGCATTCTGGGGCCTGGGCAAGAGAAGGACCCCCCACAACTGGGAATCAGGGAGCGGGGGGGCATCCGAGCAGACATAGAGAGAGCAGCAGGATTCCAACCTCATGCGGAAGCTGTGCCAGGACAAGGGGGCAGACAGGTGTGCTCTGCCTGGGCATTGTGGTGACCTTCACTCACCCACTGGTCTCTCCCTGCAGGGCGTGATCACAGTCAAGGGCCCGGTGGACCGGGAGAAGGGCGACTTCTACACTTTGACAGTGGTGGCAGACGATGGTGGCCCCAAGGTGGACTCCACCGTGGTGAGTGGTTCTGGCTACGAGCCCGGGTTTCAGTCTGTGTCCACCCCGAGTGCTTCCAAACCCGCACCTCCCAGCCACCCAACACATAGGGGAGTGTCCAAGGGTCAGCAGTGGGCAAGGGTCAGGTCTTGCTAACCTAGGGACTGCACTTGACCACCACACCCCCCTCCCTGGGAAGCCTGGGCCCAAGATGAGACTATAGGGGTGGAGGGTGGCGTCTTCTACAGGCAGGGTGGTGGGACGGGGGGTGGAGTGGACAGCCACGTGCTAACCGTCTGCACCCCCTTCTCTCCTTTCCCTCTCCGGCCTCATTCACCACGTGCAGAAGGTGAGTACCATGGGCAGGGGTCCCTGCTGCTGGCCAGGCCCTGGCTGTCCTGGACCTCCTACCTCCCCTGACCACCAGAACACAGGGACAAGTGGGCAGGAAGTCTCCTGTCACACCCTTCCCAGCCTCCCAGGTCACCCACTGTTGTACTCAAAGTCTGCGCACCCTTGGGCACATTCCTTGCTCAGTCCCCATGAGAGGGATGGGGGTGCCCTGACAAAGGAGGAGCTAGAATATGCCAAGAGAGGGTCACGGGGGCCACCCCAGGTCTGCATCTCATGGCTGTGTAACACAAGCAGGCGGCCCAGCCTCTCAGTGCTCCCCCTCCTGGAGTCTAAAATGAGGGTCGAACCAGCAGGTCCACCTTCTCCAGAGGCTGTGAGGTGGTAGCTGCAGGCTTCTGGTAGGAAGCCTGTCATGATCCTGTCCCAGAGCTGGCCATGGCAGCAGTTGTGTTCTGCCCTGAGCCTTGGCTGTCACCTTTGTTCTCTTACTGTTGTGACCAAGGTGCATGTGGGGTGAGGTGCACAGTGCCAAAGTTCGGGGTGCTCAGGAAGGCCGCCGTAAGTCTCCACCCTGAGTCCCCAGCAGAGGCAGAGCAGCTGCACGCCTGGGGCTTGGGGACAGGTGGTCCCGAGGTCTCAGGTGCCACACAGGCTTCCAGGAAGGGGCCAGGCCTAAAGGGGGAGCAGGTGGGAGCTCAGGCTGCAGGCTGAGGCGAAGGTGGTCCAGGGAGGCCACCTGACAGGCCTCCTGGGCAGCAACCTGCCATGACTTTGAGACACAGCCACCCAGCAGGTCTGCTGGATCTCTGGAGCACACAGGAATCTTCCTCTCCCTGAGCGGTGGTCACAACCACACTGCCCCATGGCCTGAGTCCCTTCCATGTAGCTGAGGGGACGGAAGCCAGCTCAGTGTCCAGTCCGAGAGGTCAGCAGGGCTGCCTGGGGTCCCCAGCATTCCTGGAGGTGTCTGCTGCAGCTGCCCCCACCCGATGGTCCACAGACGAGCCCAGGGCCTAGGTCTGCTTCCTGGGCCCCAGGGGGAGACCAAGGGTTTTGCACCAGGTAGGTCTGGTCTGAGTCTTGCAGAGGCCAGGGACATGGGGTGGGGCGATCTTTCTGGCCCTAGCCTCGTGGTCTGCACAGTGACCCAGCTGCCACTTAGCCTCGGTGCATGAGGGGTTGAGGAGCAGCGACAGCAAAGGAAGTGGGTGTCCCCTGAGGCTGTGACGCCCCTCTGTGTGGCCGTCAAGGGCTTCCCACACACACCTCTGCAGGGGCCGTACTCCCACAGCCGCCCACCTCCTCCAGGAAGCAGAGCTACCCCCCATGCAGCCCCGGCTTCCTTCTGGAGCTTCTGGGCCTCTGCCCAGAGGTGCAGCCCTGTTACCTAGCTTCTGCCGAGGGACCAGGGTGGAGGTGGGGAGCAGCTCCACAGAGGTGGCACAGTTTCCTCTGTGAGCCTAGAAGCCAAACCGCAGCTCACCTCCACCTGACTCCGCCCTGTCCCAGCAGCGGGATGCTGCAACACACAGGAAGAGGGGCTGGGGCAGCCCTGCTGCAGGAGCTCCTGGGTCACACCTCAGGGCACGGCTGCTCGACATCTGTTCTTCCTTCTCGGCTCTCCCAACCCCGAATCAGGACTAGTAGTCATCACGACAAGGTCACTGACTGTGTACCAGGCCCAGGCTGCATTCTGGGGACAGTAGAAGCCAAATTCAGACACATCCCTGCCTCCAAAGTTAAATAGGGTCGAAGAAAAAATACAGAGGAAGCCATGGAATAGTGTGTCACAGTCATGTGTCATGCTCAGGGGATGTCAGGGAAACCAAAGAGGGCTTCCCTGAGGAACTGACTCAGGCTGAGGGTCTACAGGCTTCATTGGAATTAACACAGCCAAGAAGGAAGAGTGCCTCGGACAATGGGATCAGCATGTGCAAAGGCCCTGCAGTGTCAGGAAGTGTGGCAAGCTCAAACAAGCCATGGCAAGGATGAGGTAGTTTGGAGGGATGAACTCTCAGACACTTGTTGGGTTTTGCCTGAACAATAGTGCAGTAGGGGTTGCTGTCTGCATCACAGGGCAGCAGACCAGGGTTCGGGGGCTTTAGGGAACTAGCTCCCTGATTGGCATTCACCATGGATAGGCACAGTCTTGTCAAAGGAAGACATGCACATCTGCAGATAGGAAGAGAGGACTGGAGCCCGCAGTGCCGCCCTTAATTTGCCATTTGCCCAGTGATTCCTCCCAGCACCTTACTGCTACAGTGGTTCTTGTCCCAATTTTCAGCCAAGAAATGGAAAACCAGAGAGGTTGAGTAACTTGTTCTCCAAATATTTTTTTCCAAATACGCACGCAAGTTAGCTGAGATTTTTATTCGCCGTAGGGTGATGGAGAACCTTTTAGAGCTGTCAGTAATACCGATGGCCCACAGCAGCACTCGAGCCATAGGTTGCCACTGCTGCCCTATGGCCTGAACCACGTGAGGACGCAGCAGTGCTGCTGGGACCAAGTGACCCTAGGCCAGAGGGAGGCTGCGGAAGGCACTCCCCTGCAGGGCAAGGTCCAGGAGCCCGGCTCAGGGACAGAGAAGGGCGGGGTCAGCCTGGGGCGGGGAAGTGGGAGGAGACCTGGCCCTGCATCCCCCAAATCCGCCCACCTCCTCCCCACCCCCACTGGTGAATTCGGGCACTTGTGGTCCCAGACATAGCTGGGGCGGAGCTCACGTGAGTGTCTCCATTGGAGCTGAGCTGCAGATGTAAATTACAGGCTCCACGCATGCGCATGCGTGCAGTCTGGGTGTGGCTGGCATTCGTCAGACAGCTGGAAATTCACCTCCCTCCTGCTGGCCCTGTCAGCTCCCTCGAAGCCCATTTCCTCTTGTTAATCCAGAGGTTCCGGGAAGGCAGTATGTGGCCATCAGATGCGTTTTAAGCAGCCTACACAGGATTATCTTCTTTAATTTTTATGACTCACCAGCCAATTTCACTAGAAAATCTGAATTTCTTGTTTCTCTAGAAAAAAAAAACAGGAAGCTAGCATTCCCGGCTTCAGTGCCCCCGGCCAGGGACTGGCTCTTTCCATGTCCACCACTTCTGAGGGTCCCATGGGCCTCCTCCCTGCCCTCCTGGCCCAGCACCAAGGCTGTGCAACTCCAGCCCCATGATGCAAGGAGCAAGGACTCAAGGCCCTGCAGGCGGCCGTCCAGACCTGCCCGAGGGTCTGCTCCCTGCTGGACCCACAGCAGGACTGCAGCGCCTGCGGCCAGGTCCCTGAGCACGTTCACCCCCCAGGTCTACATCACCGTGCTGGACGAGAATGACAACAGCCCCCGCTTTGACTTCACCTCCGACTCAGCGGTCAGTGTGCCTGAGGACTGCCCCGTGGGCCAGAAAGTGGCCACTGTCAAGGCCCGGGACCCCGACGCAGGCAGCAATGGGCAGGTGGGCACCAAGTGAGATAGCTGGGAACTACTGTGTCAGTGGGGCTCCTCAGTGGTCATTCCTGTCACCAACCATGAACCCTCAGCTCATTCTCTTGGTCTCCAGAAGCTATCAGGGAAACCAAGGAAGGCTTCTCTAAGGAAGGGACTAAGGCTGAGATCAGGAAAATGCATGGAAATTAACGCAGCCAAGAGGAAAAGTGACTCATGCAGAAAGAGCAGCATGTGCAAGGGCCCTGTGGTCTGAGAAAGTGTGGCAAGCTCAAACAAGGTCATGGTGGGAGGTCCTGTCATGCTGACATCCCCAGGTTCAGGAATCTACCACGGGTGTGGCACTGCCTTGGTGGCCCTGTTACCCCTTCCTGAGGGCTTGAAGTGCCTTGACAGCAAAACTCTTTTCAAGCAGTCTTGCCAAACAGAGACCCCTGAAAGGGTATGCCTGGGAAGACCAAGCAGCCCTTTGGCCTGACCTGTCCCCAACCCTCCCTGACTCCCCTTCCCTGCCCCTCTCCTCTGACAGGTGGTCTTCTCCCTGGCCTCTGGCAACATCGCTGGGGCGTTTGAGATTGTCACCACCAACGACTCCATTGGTGAAGTGTTTGTGGCCAGGCCCCTGGACAGAGAAGAGCTGGACCACTATATCCTCAAGGTGACATGGGGTAGACTGCAGCTCTCAGTGCTAAGAACATAAGTGAGACTGACCGGGACAGATGACACAGGGGCAGGTCTGGATTCCTAGGCAGAAGAGCGACAGTGTCTGTGCCCACCTCTAAGAGCCAGGGAGAGCCTGGCCAGGGGACCTGGCAGTGCAGTGGCTATCCTATAAATGCAGTGTGACCTTGGGCAAGTTATTTCCTCTGCCTGGGCCTCAGTTTATCCATCAGCAGAATGGGCAGAAAACTATGTGGCCTGCCTCTGCTGAGATGGGAAACAGTTTTAGGTGCAAGAAGCCACAAAGGGCACCGTTAGTGCTGAGTTGCTATGACTAGGCGGTTGGTGATGGGGTGTCAGAGCGTTTGGGGCTGCCCCTTGCACAGGCCCATGGCCAGCTGGGAGCATTGGGTTCCCAGAGACAGCTCTGCCCATAGTTAGGTCTACTAAACAGATTATCTCTGTGGTGGTGCACACCTGTAATCCTAACCTTTGGGAAACTGATGCAGGAGGATTTCTACAAGTTCAAAGCCATCCTGGACTTGATGGCTAGTTCAAGCCTGGCCTGGACTACATAGCAAGACCCTGTTTTTAATGGATGGATAGATGAATGGATGGATGTATAGATGGATGGATGGATGGACAGATGGATATAAAAAAAAAAAAACAAAGAGAAAGAAAAAAATTATTCTGGTTTTTGTCCCCGTGTGCCAGAAGACAGCTCTGAGTACAGGACCAGAGGCTTTGAAAGCCGAAGGCAGACAGCAGAGTCAGATCTCAGTCCAAGGTCGCGGCGGGGGCTGCCGCACTGCAGAGTACAGGGAGGGGCCCAGCTGGGCAGTAACAACAGTGGTTCCAAAAGAGGCTCCTGTGTCTGACAAGATAGTAGCAAGGGTTATTTGCAACATGAGGTAGGAGGAGAGGTGTGGACAGAGGCCACCCCGGGCAGGGATGGGCAGTGCCTCTCTGCCCTCCCTGGTCCTTCCCACAGAGAACCAGCTCCTCCTCCGCTGTGCAGGTTGTGGCTTCTGACCGTGGCAGGCCTCCTCGGAAGAGGGACCACATTCTGCAGGTGACTGTCCTGGATGTCAACGACAACCCTCCGGTGATCGAGAGCCCCTTTGGATACAACGTCAGCGTGAACGAGGTGAGGGCAGCCAGGGCCTCCAGCTGGACATCCAGCATGGGCAGCAGCTGTGAGCTGACCACAGGGTACCTGTTTCAATGTCTGCCTGCCCTGCTGACCCCTCCGACCTCGGCTCATTCGTAATCGTTCCCCAGACACTTAGCCTGGGTGCTGGAATTCAGAATTTTTGAGGTGAGGGAGAAAAGGAAGAGAGAGAAAAAGAAAACAAGACAATATCGTTTCACAAGTTAGGAGCCGAGGTTCACTGAAAAGCCACTTTTTAAGTCAGTGTATTAGTTGGTCCTAAGCGTGAGCCACCAGGTCTGACATCTCCGCCTGGCACTGGTGGGCGCCACGCCGAGTGCGATGCTCAGGAAAGCTGGGGTGTGGGGTGGAGTCCAGCCCTGGCCAGCTGCCCGAGACTCAGACACTCTGGCATGCGGCTGTGTGCGTATTCCTTTCCTGCACCTCAATTTTCTTGTCTGCGAATGGGGCAACGGAACCGAACACACAAGATAGTGAGTTGTCACAGGACCCAGCACCTCATGGTGCCCACAGAGTGCCCACCCCCGGCACCCTCATCAGTTATTTTGTTTGTCACCTGCCGGAACAGGCCCGGAATCCAGAATGACCACGCCGCTGCTTCCCTTGCAGAATGTGGGCGGAGGCACCGTCGTAGTCCAGGTGAGGGCCACTGACCGTGACATCGGGATCAACAGTGTCCTGTCCTACTACATCACCGAGGGCAACCAGGACATGACCTTCCGCATGGACCGCATCAGCGGCGAGATCGCCACGCGGCCCGCCCCGCCCGACCGCGAGCGCCAGGGCTTTTACCACCTGGTGGTCACCGTGGAGGACGAGGGTACACCTACGCTGTCGGTGAGTGACAGGAGGCACAGGACGTGGGCAGGCCGGGGCTGCTCTGCCGTGCGGGGAATGGGTCACCATTGGCTACTCCAAGTCCGCTTCAGTGCCCTTTGCTCTCTCTGAGCAGCTCTGTGGCGCGGAGGCTGGCCTGACACAGGGCCAGCCCATGGGGTGGTTCCTCAGGAAAGTCCCCCTACATACCCTGTCCCCACATCATGTTGTTTGGGACACTGTTGTACCACGTCAGGGTTGGAAGGGACCTCAGTGTTTCAGTGGATGCCTGAATGAATGGGACCGCTGCCCTCAGCCAGCTCCAAGATTCACCAGGCTGAAGAAGGATGCGGGCCTGAGGGCCAGCTGGCAGCCCTAGGGCGGCTGTGGACAAGCCAAGTGACAGCCCTGTAGGGACCGGTGAGCGGTTGGAGTTAGAGCGCCATGAGCTGGCTGTGTGTTGATGAGGGTGTCACACCTCTCAGAATCTCATTCTTGTCATCTGCAGAAGGCAGATAGGATCTACCACAAGGTTGTTTGGGGGACCCCATTAGCTCATGTCTGTGATGCACTCGGAAAACTATGAGGAGGAGGAGGAGGAGGCTGTATCAACTGCTGTTATCGGTCACACTGCTACAAACCACATGCTGCCCAGAGATGTAACATAGCGGCCATTGGTCTCTCTGGAATTCTGAGGCTGGTGGTGCAGACCAGGCTCAGCCGGGTGGTTCTTCTGGTCTCAGCCAGGCTTCCTCCTTGTGGCCAGAGTGGGCACTCTGTGCCAACTGGCCATGTGCTTCTGGAGCTCAGCTGGCCATTGAGGGGGAGACAGGACCACTCCTCCTGAAGGGGAGCCCACACCTGTTCTCACGGCACTAGGAGGGGAGACAGTGCCAAGCCTGCAGCTGGCACAGAGTCCCTTCTGCAGCTTCTCTTGGTCACAGCAGGTCACAAGGCAGTGTAGATTCAAGATGCGGGGAGTTAAACTTAAGTGGTACAGGGCAGAGGGAGCAGATGGGTAAAGGTCGGAAACAGCATTGTAGCCTGGGGCCCTGGGGACCTGTGGGTGCCTCTCCTTGGTCATGACCCTGTGGGGGAAGGAGTTGAAGTAGCTCAGGTTGGGCTGTTTGACTAGGGCATCCCGGGGGAGGGGTAGAAATTGGGCCAAAAGTTCCAGGAAACCCCAGTTCTTAGAGTCAAAAAAAACAGGACTGGCTCGGTCCCATTGCTGCTGGTGTTCGCGCATCCTGTGGGTGGGGAGGAGCAGACTGATAGGATGCATAACTCCCCAGATGCAGGGATGAGGCAGGAAGGGTATCATTTATGGTGATGACATGGAGGGACCTGGTGATGTAAGTCTTCTGTGGCTGCACCCACCTTCAGGGTAAGGTGAATCATCTGGGTCATTTCCCCCAGCAGCGCTTAGAGATGTGTTTGGCTGCAAGTAACAGACACCTCACTGTGGCATCATAAATTAGAGTGCGTTTTCTCACATCAGACCTCCGGAGTGAATCGCAAATACTTCAGGCTCAGTTCCCATCTCATGATTGTACAACTGCTGCTGTAGCGCCAGCCATTATGTCAGGATTCTCTCAAGGCAGAAAGATGGAAAAAAGACACAGAGCTACACCAGTTACTTCTGCACCTGTACCAGGAGAGTGAAAGATTTCCCTGAACCAGCCTCCAGAGTTCTTGTATGTCTTGTATGTGGTCACATGGGCGTGCTGCCTACCTGGGAGGCTGGAAAAAATGACAGACAGAATTGTCACAATGGGTTCATTACTCTCAGGGCCAGATGTATTGTGGCTCCTAACAAGAGCAGGACTCTGTAAGTGAGGAAGAGGCAGAGGAAAGATTGGAGGGCACCAATAGCACTGCTGGCCACTCCTCCCATCCAGATGTAGGCCCACCCACACCGCGCCCCCACGGCCCTGGGCTACTCAGGAGGCAGACATCCAACACATAGATTCTAAGACCTAAGGTGTGGAGACCAAATGGGGTTTCCTGTTACTCCAGAGGAATGGGAATTAGAGACAGATGAACACACACTGGCCATCCAGAAAGATGGGCCGTGGGCCAAACAAGCCCTGCAAAACCTGGGGTTGGTCCCACAGCCAGAGTTCCCGGCTGCAGGCCAAGCCCTCTGCTGAGACCCCCCAGCGCCCACTCTCCCAGGCCTGCATCCGGAAGGGCCCAGCATGCTGGCTTCCTTGGTTGTCTCCAGTGCTGCTGTGAGGCCCGAACACCGTCGTGTCCCCAGGATGTGCGACAGGGCTCCCGAGGCTGGTGCCCAGGCAGCACGTATTCGGCCTCCTGAGCTGCCTCTGGCCTGGGCTTTCTGGACTACAACAAGCAGACAGCACCAGGAGCCTGTGTGAAAGGAGCTCCTGGGAGGAAAACAGTGATTCACAAAGAATGTGCCCCTCCTTGTCCCTGCTTCATTGAGTTAGAGAAAGGAATCTCTATTATTTGAATTTTGCAGGAGATACTTGAGTGAAAAAATATTAGTGATCACAGGATGTAGTTTGAGAAACGCAGTGGTTCCCAGAGAAGCCCCTTGCTCTGGTGGCCTCCTGCTCTTTGAGGACACACACGTCTGCTTTTGATGGTTCGTCCATTCTCTCATTCATTCTTATAGCCAGTGTTCCCCAGATGCCTGTTTGCCAGGCACCAGAGACACTGGAGAAGTGAAGACATCATGGTTCTGGCCTGAAGGAGGGCAGCTGAGAGGGACGGAGGCCATGAGGACACTCATGCGGGGCCTCCAGCAGCAGATGGGCACTTAGAGAGCTGGGAAGGCTTCCCGGAGGAGGTGGCTCCTGGCTAAGACATCAATGGGGAAGAAGCTGACCAGCAGGGGCCCAGCAGTCGGTACCTACCAGGATTGGCCACTGGCTCCAAGGAACACTGGACCCTTAAAGATTGGCTTCCCCTGGCCCAACCCTCACCTCGGGGCATTGAACCCTCCAGGACGTGTGTGTCCTTAAAGAGCAGGAGGCCACCAGAGCAAGGGGCTTCTCTGCCACTGAGATTTCCCTGGAGGGGTGTTTGAGGAAGGAAGAGGGTCCCAACCCTTCCTGAAGCAGCCAGAGCCACCAGATCAGCTGTGCTGAGACTCCAGGGAAGGTCATGATGTCTACTGGTGTGGGAGGTCCATGCTGCCTGCATGGATCTGTCTAGAGAAACCCCATAGGCTCCCACTTGACCCTGCATTACCATCTGCAGTGACCCTCCTGGTTACAAGCCGGCCCACGCTGGGCAGTCCAGCCCTCTCAGGAAACGGGGGATGCAGGAATCGTTCATGTGTTGATTTTGCTGAGGCCTGAGCTAGAGGCAGAGGCGGGTCGGCCCCTGGGCTGCCTCCCTGAGCCTTCGAGCTGGGGGCCAGCACAGGGGGTAGAATCAACGCTCTGATGTGATAAAGTGCTGGGCGCTCAAGCCAGAAATCAGGGAGCTTTGCCATCAGAGTCTTCATTACCCCCTTATCTTACAGGAGGAAACCTGACATTCTGAAGCCAAGAGCTTCCCCAAAGCCCAGAAAAATACTATAACTGAGCCCTCTCTCACCCTGTTTTTCTCCCTGGCCCCTCCCCCTATTTTCCTAAGAGCCGGACATTCCTGCCAGTAACCCAGCTGTCTCCACCCTGTGTCACTCCAGCCCAGAACAGAGGCTGCAAGAGGCATCCGGGCCAGGCCCAGGCCTGCCTCACAATGACGAACAATGCTGCTGGCCAGGGGAAATCACTGCACTGCTCTGGCCCTCTACCGAGCTCCAGGCCAAAGCAGGATGCCTGGACCGGGGGGTAGGGGGGTCTAAGTGGCCATGTAGGATCCTGTGGGCGGAAGGGCTGGCCCAGGGAGGAAGGACACAGAGGCAGCAGGGAGGCCAGAGCTGGGCCCCAGCCTTGGGCATCTGGGCAGGAGCTGGGGAGGGAAGGAGGGCCTGCCACAGGCATTGAAGCCGTAGGAAAGGCAGTCCCAGATAACAAACACTGACTTCTCAGGCTTGTGGGGAGGTCACCTGTACAGGCAGAATAAAGAAAAGCTCCAAAAAATAAAAAAAAAAAAGAAAAGCTCCCTCTCCTCGCTGCTGGTACACATGGCTTCAGCAACAGTGGCCCCATGATAATCTGTGAGTTGGGGACATGGCCCTGGGCAGCTCAGCTCCTGCTTTAGTGCAGAGGGTTTTTGTGCTGTTTAGCCTGCTCCTTCCTGCTGCTGTGCAAAACCTGTTTCCCCTGGCTGGAACTCAGGAATCTGTGCCTGCATGCCTGGACTTCTCCCACAGTATGGGCAGCCCAGAGCCTTGCCCGTGCCGTGCCGTGCCCTGCTTCGAGCAGAACATCCTGCAGCTGCTCAGACAATGCACATCCAGATGCCTGAGTTTTCCCATGAGCCCCTGGGTGGTCCCCGAGGGCTTTTCCCTTCCTGGTCCCCTGATGTAAGCAAGCAGAGTACATGGGCACTGTGCCAACTAGAGGTCCTGGCCACCCACCAGGGAGCCACTGCAGAAGGAGACTGCCTGCATGAGAAAGCTCAGATCAGACAGGACACAAATAGGAGCATTGGGTGTGGAGGGAAGGGAAATCATGGATTTAGGGGCAAAGGTTCATCTCTCAGGACTCTGGTGTGTGTTGCAAAGTGAAGGCCTTGCCTGGCCCTGACCTCTAATGCTAGTCAGTGAAGGGAAGGAGCACAGGCCTGGAAAGCAACAGACCCAAGCATTAACCACACCATTCACTTGTTTTGACAAAGCATAGGTCTTTCCCAATACATTAAATGAGGAAAATAAAGCCTCCTAGGATTGAGGGCAGGGAATCAAACAAATAACATAAGTGAGAGTTTTAGAAGCTATAGTCAAAGACACGGCACACAGACGGCCACTTCCTTTCCTATGCCCATGGCAGACATTGCTAGCTGATCCCAGTACTTTCTCACTAAGCCATATTAATATATCAGACTCTGTCTCAACATATGTTTCAGGAGGCCATATCTGTACACAAGAATTGAGAAACAAAATGAAATATCAGTCCCCCTGGCCTATACAAGCTTTGGTCATCATTGCTATAGAGGAGATCCCTCCAGGCCCAGAAGAATCTGCTAGGAACACAACATGGTAGTTTCTGGTCAAAAGCAGCCCTGAGTGATGTGAATGGTCCAAAAACAGAACCCTGACATCCTGGTTCAACCTGACACCCAGTAGCTGTGGATCAGTTATCAGCTCTGCAACCAGGTCCAAAGGCCTCATCCTCCCAGAACTCTGACGCAGCATTTGTAAGGAGTTGTAAGTAGCCATGCAAAGCAGGGGTGGTCTAGACAGTCAACCCTCTCTGTGAGCTGGGGCAGCAGCTGGGCTGGGTCTTTTATCAAGAGAGCTTTGCACCCAGCATCCTGGCAGATGCTCGGTTCCTCTTTTGTCTATTGCAGTCCCAGAGCAATTCTCAGCCCAGCCCCAGGCATACCAGGTTAGCTTGGGAGGGCTCCAGCTGACACCCAGGAAGCCCTCCTCCAGCAGGCAGGGAGCACCCACCCTAGGAGCAATGATAGCTCCCCAGGTGCATCCCCCCGACGGAGGCTAGGGATCAGCCCTCTGCTCCAGACCCTGAGCTGCTGTATGCGGGGGAGGCAGGAGTGAGGGCAGCCCCAGGGCTGGTCTTTGAGATGCAGGTCCCAGGGGTCCTGCACACCCACTTGAGGACCCAACATCTTTTGGCAGGGGTAGCCTGACTCCAAGCAGCCACCAGAGGCCCCAGGGTATATCCAGCAGCCTCTCCTGGGCTGGCAAAACTCTTCCAAGGGAGCCTCCACCCTGTACCCCTCAGCTTCTCCTGAGGACACCTTAACTGGTTATGAATGTCCAGAGCTGGGTAAGACAGCCCCAATTCCTGACTGCGATGCTAACAATGAGTGAGTTCCTAAAGGCACAGATGTCCCTCCCAGGTCTCCCAATAGTGGCAGGAAGCCAGTACCCTGGGAGCCTCCCTGTTAAACAGTAAACTTCCTTCCAGCCCTGAGTTGCCTGTCCCTTCTTGGAAGCTGCATGTTCACTTCTCTGACTGTGTCCCATGTCATCCAGCTGACAGCACCATCTCAGAGGCCCGGCCATCCTGGGTGACATGGAGAACCGTTCCATGCCCATTCCTGGCAGCGATAAGGATGGTGTTCATTGCCATGGCAGCAGGCAGGGCCCATGGTCATGGATGCAGATGGAGCCTGGAGCTCAGAGTAAATTTTGCTGAAAACAGGAAACCACGAAGCCCAAGATACATTCACTTGCAAGGGTCAGAGCAGAAGAGCACAGGAGGAAATAGGGCAGGAAGTGCGGTGGCTGTTCCGCCAGGGGCCACCTCCCTTCTCCACACAACAGCAGCCAGGCCCGGGCCAAATTCATAGAAACTGTCCCCACCTCTGAAGGGATAGGCCACACTGTTCCTGAGCTGGGGGGCCAGAGGTGGTCTGTGGCTTGTCCTTGGACCCTAGATAGCACATTCCTGCCACAAAACAGGTGTCACCTCCCTGCTTCTACCTAGAGGGTCCCCACAAGCTGGGAGAGCAGCTCACCCTTTCTGTGGCACGGCACAAAGCATCCATGGCAGCAGGTGGAGCATAAGAAGGGACTCTGGGGACAAAGCAGCAGCCAGCATTTGGTGTTATTCCTGCCATGAGGTCTGCGGCTGCTCTCTGTTCAAGACCTCCATTCCTGCCCCAGGCACAGCAGGTGCCCCTACTCTATGGCCTATGCCTGGGGGCCTGACCTAGGGGCGTATCTGGGCGCTAAAGGGGCTCAATACTGTCTGCAACCCCAAGCAGCTCCCATCCCCACCCCTGGACATAGAGGTCTTCTCCACTGGCACGCTGGTCCTGAGTCCTGGCCTGCAGTCCTAGTTTTCGGTCTCTGCAGAGTCAGCAGAGGCTGCTGGGCCATGAATGCCCACATTGGAATTATGCTCTCCACAGTGCCCAGGGCTGGGGGAGTTGCCCAGCCTCCCCACCCTCTCCCCCAGTTCTGTCCCGTGCTTTAAACCCTTCAATGACAGTTCCACAAAGGTCTCCTTTATGAGATACAAAAACAAAGCCAGGTCGCGCCTTGCTGTGGGAGACCCCAGCGAGAGTCCAGGAGCTGAGAGGAGCAAGCACTTCTGTGTCCTGGTCCCGCCCACAATCCCATGAGGTCACCGGCTGAACAGCAGCCCAAAGGCTGGAAGTAGAGGAGTCCCCAGGCCTCTGCACATCAGAACCAGAGGAGAGGGATCGATCTGGTGCTTTCAGTTCATTAGCCAGCTCACGCCTGTTGCCCTTGCAGTTTTTAATAGCATCCCCTTAGTACTTATACAGTTACCCTTGCTGTTGCCCTCGCTGGGCCCTGGAGCAGGGGACATGGAGAGTGGGACCTCTGCTCTCACCTTCCCAGCAGGCTCCACCCACCTCCCTCTCGGTCTTCCGGTCTTCCGAAGTGAGTGGCACAACCTGTTGCCTGGCCTCAAATTGCCCAAGATGCCAGTTGGCTCACAGTGGCCACTGTGCCCACTGTTTATTTCCTGTTTCAGGGCCTCTGGCCACTGAACTTGGGCTATAAATGCAGGCAGTGGGAGCCCTAGATGCATAACCTGTTGACAGATCCTCAGAGACTTGCTAGCGGGTGGCCGCTCGAGGAGCCCCAGTGGCTGGGGACTGGCAGGCCCACCCAGAGCCCCCACGGTACAAAGAGAGAGGCCAACAGAGAAGCAGCTTTGGAGAGGGGACAGGGCAACCAAACCAATCTCAGCAGGCAGGGATCTCTCCACCTCTGGTGCTGTGACTCATGCTTGGGAGGGTGGCACTAGGAGGGCCTGCCCAGTGCCAACCTTGTTCTGTCTGCTGCCGAGTCCCAGACTCCTGTCTCAGGGAGACAGGCTGCCGTAGAGCTGGAAATCTGGGAACTTCTTAGGACGAAAGTCATTTGGCATCTGTAGGTGGTGAAATTCAGGTCCTCAGGGGACCCAGCACCCTAACATCCTTGGGGCAGGGGTGAGCAATCCAGCATCTTCTCCTTTGCCCTACGTAGCATCCAGAAGGTAGAAGGTCTGGGCAGTGGGGCTACAGTGGAGTCTGGGCTCAGAGCAGGAGGATGGAGGCCAGCCATGGCCTAGGTCAAGGGAGCCAGTCACAGGGTGGCCCGGGCTCAAATGCACCTTTCCCAGATCCAGCCAGCATCGCCACTGTCCTCAGCTGGCTTAGATGAACTCAGAATGTGGGGAGTCAGGGACTGGCTCTGCAAAAGAAAGGACAGGCAAAGTGAGCAGGGGGTTCTCTGCCCCTTAACCCCCAACCCTGCTCCAGGAGGCTGTGAGGACTTCTCAAGGAGGATGGCCTGCGGACTCTTGGAGTTGTGACCTTGAAAGTCACAGAGATACTCACCCAGGGATGGAAAGAAGATGTCCCCGGGACCCAGAGGAGACAGAGGAGTGTTGGGTTCAGACAGCAGGTGCCGCCCAGACTCAGAAGGCTGTCGCTGGGCCACGTAGGTCAGAGGGGGCCTGGCCTTGGCCTCGGGCATCCCATGGGGAGGTGGAGAGACCTCAAAGCCAGGGTTTTCAATTCCCTGAGTAATGGGACTAGAGAAGCAGAACGGAAGGTCACCCACCGGTGCTGCTGGGATGGAGCACAGCTGTGCTCTCCCTGCCTCCCCTTTCTCCTCCCACCTCCCCACACACACACACCAGGCCGCAAGACAAAGGTGTGGGCTGCACTCTACCCCCTCTCTGAGTCCAGGGCGCCTGGGCAGCCACCGCTCTTCCTGAGATCTGACCATCACTGCAGTCGAGACACCCCCCAAACACCAGATTTAGGAGATAACGATGTTAGGGTCGAGTATCTCCAGAGCTCTCTGAGCTGAGTGGATGGGTTCTCTTCTCTTCCAGTTGGGAAGGGGATACCTGTGAAGGACCCCTCAACTCTGAGATTGTGGCAGGATCACAGACCAGATTTCCTTTGACTGTGTCTTGGAAACTGTCCTTTTTAAACAAGCAGAGGAGCTGTCAGCCACTGTTTTGGGACAGTGGCTGAGGTCCTGAGTGTGGCTCATTCCTGAGCTTGTCCTCTGTCCCAGGCTGCAGCCAGCTGCCAGTCCAGAGTGCAGGACCCACACTTTCCCACCCTGTGCCCAGCCTGCTACCTACGCTGGCTCCCTTCAGCATCTGCCCTCCTGCCCGGAGACCCTGCAGAGAAGGAGCCACCCCTTGGGCTGGAGCTGGGCTTGCTGGGACCACTTTGAGCGTTTCGGTATCTGCCTGTTGTCACCCAGTGGCAGGTGCTAGGTGGCTGAGCAGGGCCCTGCTACTCAGGAATAGCTCCTCACTGCCTGCTGGCCCTGGCGACTGTGTCTCTGTGGGCCTTACCTGTCCATCCGTACCAGCTCCTGGGCACCTAGGAACAGACAGAGAACCTGGTCACAGGAAGGAAGGCCTCCCTTGACAACACCCTGGCAACCTGCTGGCAGAGACCCCTCTGGGCGGGTGGGCAGCAATCCCTCCAGCAGCCCCTGCCCTGCCAGGGATCCCGCTGCAGGTGGCCTCCAGCGAGTGGCTCACTTCATAGATGAATGCAACTCAGCCTCTTTTGTCCAAGTGCACGCAACATTTGCCACCAGGGAGCTCAAGGCAGCCTACACTTTCTCCCATGGCTCATAACACAGACCCTGGAGATTTAAGATCAACCAGAGGCCTGGCTTCTGAATTTGTGAACTGTGGTTTCCTGTTTGGACACTTGCCCCCTTCTGGACTTCAGCCATGACTTAAGGTCATTTCCTAGCTAGAGGGTCCTCTCTGCCCTGTCCTCCATGCCATGTAATAGGGACATCTCCTGCAGAGCCTTAGGGGACCAAGCATCCCGTCACTTCCCAGCTGCCCAGTTTTTACACTTCATTCATGCTGGGGCAGTCCTGGCTGACTCTAGGGGTTCTCACCCCTCAAACTGGCCACCAGCCAGATGCAAGAGCCCCCAACTTCCCTCTTTCTTACAGTGCCCCACATCTTCCGCCTGCAGACCCTTCACTTTAAGGAGCTTCGCTGCTGAGGGCAGATGGGGAAATGGGGTGGGGGAGGGGCGCACGAAAGACAGCTCGGGAAGTTGCACGGAGTTCCTGAAATCTGCAGCGCTGTGGCTGCTGTTTACAGGGGTTGTTCCGTGTCAGGCTTCATGCGAGTATGCAGCGTGTGTTTGTTCATCTCATCCTCTCCTCCATGGCCTAGGGCATGGATGTGGGTCCCACTTTAGAGCTGGAGAAACTGAGTCACAATCTAAAGTGGGAGAGGAATCCAGGCTCAGCAAACTGCCCCTAGCCCCTTTTTTTTTCTTTTGGCTCATTCCTGAGCATCTCCTCCAGGCCAGGATCCAGTACCTTCCTGCCAGAGCACACCATACACATCCCTGACCTGCCGCCCACTCCGGGGGCCTCTGCCTGTGCCCTGGGACTCAAGGGCCTTTCTGTTCCCAGACCCCCAGGGCAACTGCTTCTGTAGAGCCTGCACAGGGGAGATGACCCCAGGCTCTCCTGACTTCTATTTTGCAAGTGGTGTCTCTGTTCCTAAGTCTGAGATCAGATGACAATCTCAACCTTTTAAAATTTTCTTTTGGGAAGTGAGAGGACTGATCCCAAAAACATTTTTTCTGAGAAAATAAGTAATTGTTCCTGCTCTGTTACTGCACACAGTGAGGGGGCAGGGCTAGAGAAGTGGCCGATGGCTCCAAAACAGTGTCACGTAGAGTTCCAGGGACACACGGAACATGGGGCATCATGCACCCCTAAACAAGCACTGTGCCCACACGGCCTCCCAGTCCAGTTGTCCTGTGTTTTCCTGGGACAGATTGGGACCTTCCCAGGAGCCAGCACTTAGCCTGAAGGTGTCACAGTGCATGGAGTAGGACTCACCCCACTCCGTGTCCATGGGGCACCTGCTAGTGTTGTGACTCTTCTTCCTCCACCCATCACCCCCTTCCCAACAGGAGCCACTAGGAGGTGGGGCCCCACCTGGGGGAGACACACACACACACACACACACACACACACGCTCAGCATCCTCTACCCAGAACGCATTTGTTCCCTAGTTCCTGTTCCCTGTTCTGACCACATGACAAGGCAGTGCTGTGGTCTGGAGCGAAGGGCACAGAAAGCACCTCTGACTCTGGGACCTGGGGGCTCCCTCCTCGCTGACTGCCAGCCTTGGCATGGCAGCAGCTCCTGGATTTCTCTTCTGCTCTCACCCTGTTACCTGCCACTTCAGGACTCGTGGTTGGGCTATGGGTTTGTGAGAGCAAGGGACAGGCACTGGGAGCCCAAGGGACCCACTGTGGCTGGGCCTCGGGAAGGATGTGGAGTAGACAGAGGCCGAGGAGATCAGGGGTGGCCGGGCAACAGCAGTCCCCTCTCAGTGCCTCTCACGACCAAGCAGGGGCCGGAGGCCAGGAAAGAGGCCCCCAGGGCACTAGAGCCCTGCCCTTGGCAAACTCAGGTCAGGTCAGAGGAGCTCAAGAGGTGCCGTCACCCAGAAGGAGGGTGTGAAAGGTGTTTGTGGCTAGGACCTTGAAGCCTGGTTTCACCACTTATTCGCAGTATGGTTTCTTCAGCAAGTTGTAAAATGTCTCTAAGCCTCAATAAATACTCATCTGTAAAAGATGGTAACGATGGAACCCAGTTCTAGGGGGTTATTCTAAGACCTATGTGAGCAAATGCATGTGACCAGCTTGGCATACAGCCTAGCACAGCAGCCCCATCTGCTAGGGCTTAGTGACCAGTGAGCACTGCTGTTATATAATGACATCGCATCTCCCGGACAGCAAGGATGGGAAGCTGGGAGGCAGAGTTACCTAACATTCAGTTATTAGTTTGCTGACTTTAGAAAACGCCTGAATGAAGTGATCGCTAAGACCCCCTCCTACTTCCAATGTGCCAAAAGTCATTTTTTACTGTGAGGCTTTTTGTGTTTTGTTTAGTTGGAGATAGCGTCCTATCATGTAGTTCAGGCTGGCCTTGAACTCACTATGTCACCCAGGCTGACCTCAAACTCACAGCGATCCTCCCGAGTACAGGCATTTCAGACATGAGCCATTATCATGTTTTTGTCCCAGCGCTTGCTACCAATTACAAAACAAAGCCACCTACACATGAAAGCAAGCCCCCCTGGATCTCTGAGGGGCAGCATGTTTATAAACCAGTGTGAGCTGTTCCCATTACAACTTGTGATTATCATTCATTCAACAGATATTTTATGAGTGGAGCACCAAGCTAACGCTGACCAGGAACCAAAGTATCTGCCAGGCACTCAAGCCTGGTCCCTTCTTCTTGCTTCTAGCAAGGAATAGAGACACAGTGCCTGCCAGGTGACGCAGGGGCTAGGCTGGACATGTCACATGCATGCAAACACACATACACATACATGCACACCCGGGACACATGTACTCACGGCGGTGCGAGGCCACCTGCCTCTGCTTGTAGACCAGGAGCAGGATGAGGGGCAGGCAGAGGATTCCTACGATGCAGGCACTTGTGGCCAGGGCTGCAGCTGTGATGTCTGGAAGAACAGAGAGGCAGCGAAGGTGAGGCCCCATTCCCACTGGTCCTGCTGCAGGGGGAAACTGAGGCCCAGAAAGAAGAGGCTGGACAGCAGGGGACCCACCTTCACCCAGGAGCCCCACAGCATGGAGAAGCCAGACCTGTCACTTAGACGTGCAGCAGCCCCAAGGAGGACCGCACGGACTCCTCACCCCATGCTCAAGTGACAGCTGGACAGCCCAAGGCTACAAATTATCCCTGGAAAAGGAAGCAGGGACCTTCACAGACCCTAGACTATAAGAGTTCAAGGTCAAAGGATGAAAATGTCTTAGAGATAGATAGCAGCGAGGGTTGTACAGCACTGAGAACGTTGTACCCTCCCGAGGAGCACGTCACTTGCTTCCTTCCCACGTAACTGATGAGGTACCCATACACTGCTTACACGGCACCCCTGCCCGCTCAGGCAAATGCTCCTGAGTGTCAATCCCTAGCACTCAGCATGCTGGGCGAGAGAGTACATGTGAGTTTTCTTTTAGGCAATTGCTAAATTGCCCTCAGAAAAGACTGTACCACTTCCCGGTCCCAGTAGCATGGGGGGGGGGTTGATTTATTTCACTTCATCTGCTGACTCTAGGAGTTTAGATGGGAATAGAGGAGCCCGTGGAACCACAACCAGCGTAGACGTGTTTCCTTCCCAATTTTGAGCCCTTCTCTGGGCCAAAGACAGCTGGGATACCTTGTCACTGTGTCAGCTTCACCCCAGAAAGCTTTTGGGATAGAATGGGCCATGGCCCTAAATGCTGCTTTTGCATTTTATTTGGAAATAAAGCCCACTTTTATCTCATCATATGGCAAAACAACACCTTGATATAAACAACTTGCAGGGGTTTGCTCGCATGGCAGAAGGGAACAAACAGTTTGCAAGCACTTCAGAAGTCCCCGTCGGTACAGAAACAGTTGCTGGGCTAATTACAAAGCGAGTTCTGCTCCACATTAAAGCAGGTTCCCTGCAGGTCTTACCAAGGCTGCATTTGAACGTGGAATACTGAAAGTAAAAACATTCTGTAACTCGGTTCTGCTAAACCTCATCAAAGACCTCACTGAAGGCAATATCTGAGAAGCTGGCTGCAGAATGCTTTTTTCTGGTCATCAAAGCAGGTGTCTTCTGACTGCCACTAAGCAATCTTTGGGGCAGTTCTCCAAAGAATGATTCTGCCTGCCTAGGAGGCTTGGTCAGATCTGTCTGCCTGACTCATGTCCCCAACGTGTGTCCCCTTCCTGGCAGCTCCTCCAGGAGATCAGGACTAGGTTCCACTCTGAGAGCCTGAGGTTTCCTTATAACTATGGCTGAGAGTTGGAGCAAGAAATGGGACACTGGGGATCAATCTGTGGGCTCAACTGTCCTCTGAGGCTGTGTGGGAATCTCTGCAGAGCTCAGCCTGGCCACAGCTCTCGCCTGTCACAGCCAGTGCCTGGGCTGGCACCCCCTAGAGAGGAGGCCTGCTCGATCACCATCCAGGCCAGGCTCACCCTAGAGAGGTGATCAGGTGCTGGCAGGGGTGCAACCACCACCAGCTTGGGAAGTGTGCCCAGCATGCTCAGCTGGTCTTTGTCCAGGGCTGCCAGGTTCCCCACGGGTACATGTGGAGGAAGGAGCACCCTGCTAGATCAGTGGAAAGGAACAACAGAGTGAAAAACCCTGAGCAACAGGGGCTGCCTGGGGACCAACTTCCCTGGCTCATAGTCCCTGCTTCCTCCTCCCTTGCACAGATGGACTTTGACTTAACTCCCTAGCCCAGCTACTCTCCCATGTCCCAGAGAGAACACTGAAAGATTCAGGCTGAAGTTAGAGAAGGAAATCTCAATGAACTGCCTGGCTGGCAGCATCATTCATAGATCAAGTACTGGGTGCTGTGGGACATAGTTCTAGATCGAGCAGGGGCTAGAATCTTTCCAAAGGTTCTGGGGTCACATGGGTCGCCAGGCAAATGGCTCTAGAACGGACAGGAAATGAGACCATTTCCACTGTCTGCTACCACCTACCTGCCATCCTGCCTTGGCACAGGGATGGGTGAGAGGATTTGGGGGTCAGGGTCAGCAGTGTGCAACAATAGCCCACAAGAGGCAACAATAGCCCACACCCACAGGCACCTGCACAAGCCACGCACCACTCTCAGCATCTCACAGGTAATAGACGCCTCCTGTGGACCTCATAAACATCCTGCAAGGCCACGTTATTCCAATCATCAGCCCACTGACGATGAGCCAGGTAAGGCACAGGGAGGGTCGGCAGCCTGGCCTGTGCCAAGGTCTTATTCTCAACCACTTCCCAGTACTGCTTTTCTCTGAAACCCACTTGGACTGGCCTGCGGCGCTTACAGAGGTCCTCACCATCACTGTTCTCTTATGTTCGAGCTCACTGGCCCTGGGCACACAATAGTCCCTCAAATAACACTGACAGCTGCCTCCTGGGCAGAAGAAAAAGGATGCATCTGCTCTGATGCCCAGTGGGGTAATGGTGCCCAGAGGGTGGCTGCGCTGCCCGAGCCCCATGCCCCCTCCCAAAGTGCAGCTAGGTTTCTTCTCATCCAGACCTGATTCTGCCTTAGTGCCAAACATCTGTGCTGCCAGAACCAAGAGTTTGGAGGGGGACATCTGAAGTTATCAAAGCCATACCCTCACCCTCAACTGTGGTGGCAGAAGCAAGCGTGTCCCTTTGGTCCTCAAGAAGCCAGTTTACAGACAGCAGCTCAGGGAAGGAGGGGATGCCTAAGTATCCTGGTGATCAAACTCAAGATTTCCGTCTCCTGCAAGAGCTCTAACCACCGAGACTCCTCAGTGCCCCCTCCCTGGATTCCTTCCCTAGATCTCTGCATCCTCTATTTTGCGCCTGATCTCTCTAGCATCACCCCCTTTGGCATCTCGTGTTTCTCTCTCCAGGACTGAAATTGTATGGCTTATTTTCAAAGCTGGGTTGACCCTGGGGGAGGCGGCTGGCCCTTGGGCAGGGTGCACACTCTGAGAGTTTGGCTCTCTGATATCCTTGAGGAACAAGTTCCTTTCCCTACCAGAACCTGGTTTCCCTGGCTATGACACTGAGGCACAGTGGTAGAAGTGACTATCTGTAAGTCCCTTGTAGCTCGGTGAGATCTCAGAGGAAGAAGTGGGACTGGGCATTTGCTCAGAGCGAAGGTGCCGTGAGGAAGTGACTGTCATGCATACACACTGGCGGGGCTGCCCTGTCCTATACACACATGCGTGTGCACCAGTCATGAGCCTCCGCATAGAAAAGAAGTGGCCATGCAGAGGGAAGTGTGGACAGCATGGTAGCTTGTGCCACAAGGACCCTGCAGCTCTGCAGAGGCCTAGCTCAGGCTGAAGTGCACACGCTATGCTTGCTCCTGGCCATTCTGTTTGTTGGTTTGAGAAAACGGATAGTTGGAATATAAAGTCCCCGCAGCCTTTGCGTTAGGGCTTGTCTGGCTCAGGGCCTCCTGGATAGTCTCCCGGAGGCCTCAGCAGGGGCTGGCCTGCCCCAGATGCCTGATGGGTAGTGGGTGGCTAGAAGGACAAGAAAGCCAGGGCCCTCTCTACTCAGAAGAGCAGGGCATCCCAAAGACGTAGCTTTGCTGTTGTCCCTAGGCCGCTGGGCATCCTCACCTGGCCTGAGTGCCCAGCCCTCCTCAGACCCTTAGACCCCACTGTTCTGCCCCTGTGTCTCTTCTTCCCTGGGGCTGGAAAGAAGGGAGGTGAGCAGACCCAGGCTGGCCCAAAGCCAGATCCTGGCTGTGCCCCTGGGCTGTGTGAGCTTGGACAAGTTATACCATCTTTCTGGGGCCCTGTTTCCACATTTGGAGAGTGAAGCTGACAATGCCTTCTGCATAGAGGAAGTGGCCCCTTGAGTCCAGAGTAGCTGGAAGACCAGTGGGGTTCTGGGGCTGTAGCCAATGAAGAAACAAAAGGGATCGGAGCACAGGGGGTGATGGGAGGTGCCATATGCAGGGTGATGCGGTCAGAGGTGAGAACAAGGTCAGGGCTGAGGAGGAGAACAGAGGACACAGCACTGGGAGAGACAGGAGGATGGGCCTTACTGTCACTCTCCTCAGGGGAGGACGGGTACATGATGCATTTGGATGGCGCGTCTTTGCCTGTGGGAGCAAGGAGAATGAGTGTTATGGGGGTCAGGCCCAGAGGCCAGGGACACTTCTCCAGGCCAGTGTCCCTCACCTGTGACAAGTACACATGCTGGCACCTGCCCAGCCAGCAGGAGCTTACACACATGTACACACACACCCTGGCATGTCCTCACCCTGCCCATTCTCACCCCCAGGATCAGTGGGGACCCACGGCACCCACACCTCTGCAGCCCGCCAGCCCCATGTTCTCAGGACACACACATTCCCGTGGGGATGTTAGCTACCCTGACTTGGGCCTATAGAGTCCACGGTCACTGTTATCATGACTAGCAGGATCACACCCCGGCCTGCGGACTCTTCAGTGAGTCCCATGGTCACAATCAGGACCACACACATCCTCCCTCTCCATCACACCAGCAAACCACAAATGTCACAGACACACAGAGCCATCCCTTCTCATACACAACACATGGGAGCACCAGTGCCACCCACATGGTCAATACTGTCTAGCACAGCATCACACAGCTGCACAGCTGTATTCGCAGCATGCACTGGGGGGTGTGGGTGCCTCACCTGTCTGCACCTGCAGCTCAATGGCCCCGTGCGCCCTGTGCTCCGTGTGGTGGTGCTGCAACTCCACCACGAGGCAGCAGTACAGCCCGACGTCCCCCACAGTCAGGTTGCGCATGGTGATGGAGAAGTTGCCGTGGTGATCGGAGTGTGACTCCAGCCCGTGGCTGCGGGCCACGTCGTGGCTGGTGTTAGTGGCCTGGTGGCTTGTGTGGTGCAGGTGCAGGTCCTGGAATGTGAGGTTGCGGATGGGCCGGCGTTCCATGCACACCTGCATCTCGCTCCGTATGCTGCGGTACCATGTCTTGTAGAAGGTCACATCGTGCCTTTTGGACACAGGGCCCAAGAGCCTGCAGGTGAAGGTGACGTTCTGCCCCTCAGGACACACATACCGGGAATATGGCGTGGTGACCTTGAAGGCTGCTACTGGACCTACTTAGAGAAAAGAGAGTCTGTCACCTGCCTGGTACCCTCACAGTGTACGTAGCAACCTTGGCTTGGCCGCTCCCCAGTGGCAGGCCCTGGGCACTGGCAGAGCATGTGAATATGTAAGGATGGTGCCTTGGGAGCTGATGGCCTACGTTTGTAACTCTGCAGGGCAAAGGCTCCAGGGCATTTGGAGGAGGAGGGCAGTGGTCTTCTGGGGGCAGTCAGGGCACTACCAGAAAGAGGAAGGGTCTTTGGACTGGATGGACAGATGGAGTTCAGCAAGTGGAGAGTGTCTCCAGCCAAGGTGGTGGGGAAGCTTGGGCTTAGGGGGACCCAAGGCACCCAAGGGACAGGGACTAGAACTCAGACTCTGGCTCTCTCATGACCTTGGAACCATATCCTAGTTTGAGAAGACTTTTGTTTGTTTGTTTCTCAATAAGCAAATGAGGAAATCTCCAGGTCCTCTTTTTGTATTTGATTTGTTTTGTTTTGAGACACAGTCCATGTGCCCAGCTTCAAACTCATGGCAATCCTCCTGCCTCAGCCTCTCGAGTCCTGGCATTACAGGCATGCACCACCAACCACAACTGCTCATCCTAATCCTCTTTACCCATTCGTACAGCATTCAACGATGTTGAGTCCCCTAAAGTCTCAGAAAAGAGAACACCAAGGTTCAGCCCGTGCTCCTCTGTCTGGTGGCATGAGCCTCAGTTTCCTCCCTGGAAAGAACACAAGCTACAGCACAGGGTCATAAGGACCACGTGAGGGCAGGCTGTAGATGTGAGCGCAGATGCCCGCGGCAGATCACAGGTGACAGCTGTGCATCGTAGGTCCTCACTTCATGGCCATTCAGGGGCTGCAGTGCAGCCAGCAGAGAGGAAAGGAGGGTGCCAATGCGCACAGAAACCAAATGGCTCTGTGCTCTTCGTTGCCCCAGCTGGGGGCGTCTAGAGACCCTAGACCGTTGGTGGCAAACCTATCATGTGTTGTTTTCTTTTAAAACAAAGGATGTTAATGTCTGAGTTCTTTCTAAACTAAACCTCAGTGTTCAGGTTTCACTGCAGTATTGGCACTTTGTGACAAATAGGTGGGTTTGGGGTTGCACTTTGGGCAGTCGTCTCTAGAAGGTTCGCCATCACTGCCCTAGAGTGTAGACAATGCCATCTCCTCCTCCAGATGCCCCTGCCCTGTCCTCAGAGCCCAGGACATTCGGCAGCAGGCTGGGACCCACCAGGAAGACAGAAAGCCCCTGGAGAGGGAGGCAGCCTAGAGCAGCTTCTGTAGTTGCCTTAGGCTGCTCTGGGGTCCAGCAGCTCTGACTCATAGATTCTGGACTTCAGAATCTTCACTGAAACCCAGACATGGAAACACTTACCTGGTAGAAGTGAAGTAAAGACTAGTAATGGTTTACATGAGATATTCAGAAAGTCCCTTGCTAGTGGTTGGTGTTTAACACCTGGGAGCTTCATAGGTCTCTGATTCAGTCAGCGATTCAAGAAACATTTCCTAAGAATGCGGGCGGGGGGGTGGGTGGCTTTTCTCACTAAGCTGTGAGTGATGGATGCACCTCGAAGAGTATCAGGAGCGACAAAGCCATGGCCTCAGAGTGTCTGCAGGAGGGGGGTTTTCAAGGACCAGAACCTTGCGGAGAGCTAGGTCTGGAACCCCTGGTTTGTGGAAAGATATTGCCATGGTGAGCAGATTTCAGAACTTCTAGGCACCTCTCCAGGCAGCAGCACAGGCTGGGGGGAGGAGGGAGGTGGTCTGGCTGAAGCTCCAGAGGGTCTGAACTCCAAGCCCGAGCACCTGGCCTGCAGAGAAGCAGGACGTGGTCAGGTCTGCAGGAAGATGCTGCGCTGCGCAGTGCTGAGGGCTTCGTGCATTGCTGACGAACCCAGCAGTGAGGTGCTGTGTTCAGTCCCATGTCACTGACGAGGAAACCAAGGTCCAAGCCCATCATCTGACGGGTCACCACTGTGACTCTCAGGTTCAGCATGGAGAGGACCAGCCAGGGTCCCTGCAGACAACCAGCCATGCTCTGCTGCCCAGCCCAGTTCTCACCCACAGCAGGCTCAGTGCCAGGCTTTGCCTATACCATGGACTTCCCTCCCTGTCACGGGCCTGGGTGTGGCTGTGTCAGGCACTGGCAGTGGGGAAGAGTGACGAGGGAAGAGCTCTTTGTGCTCCCTGCAAGAACCATAGGGATGCTTTGTGCATCTTCTGGCACCCATGTGGGGTTCCCACCAGCACCTCTCCTCCCGGCACCCTCTGCCAAGTACAGCGGCAACAGTGCCTGCCCTGTGCTCCCACATACCCGGGGGCTTCAGGAGGGCGTCTTGGCAGGGCCGATGCCTCAGGCCAGGCTGGGTGGGAGTGGAGACAATAGCAAGAAACAAAGTACAGCTGGGTGTGGTGGTGTGTGCTTGTAATCCCAGCACTGGAGAGGCTGAGGCAGGAGGATTGCTGTGAATTTGAAGCCAGTTTGGGCTGCATAGTACAACCCTGCTTTAGAAAACAAAAAAAGCAGTAGGGCACAGAGCCACCAAGGAGGCAGAGGCATGAGTGGTGAGTGACTGTGTCCAGAAGAACTGGAGGTGGCCAGGACCCCAGGATGACAGCCCTCTGGGCCCAAGCACTGGTACCCATGACTCCAGGCCTGCACCACAGCAGCGAGGAAGGGACCCTCAGCCCTGGAGGCATCTTCCTTAAAAACTCACAGGGGTACATAGAGAAGCAAAACTTGAGGACAACAGGAAAGGGGCATTGCTCAATCCCCTGCACCCCACACACAAACACACACTTATGCTGCCCACCACCCCGTATGGCCCTGAAGGACCTGTTCCCCTTTTAGAAAAGGAGAAGCTGCCCTGGGGTGCAGGTCTGGGGGAGGGCAGGGGGATCAGTTCAGTCTCTAGCAGGGCGGGCCAGAGAGGAGTGGGCCTGGGGTCCTTGCAGTTTTTTCCTGGGGATGGAAGGGTGGAGGCCCCCAAACATCTCTACTCCCGTATCTGAGGACCCAGCTATGACAAGGCCAGTGTGGCCCATCCTTGAGGAAACTATCAGAGAGCTGTGCAGAGGGCGAGGGCGGCCAGAGCCCCACGCCTGCGCATGCTCGTGTTAGCTGAGAAGGATCACCGGGCTGGAATTATAATTATTTGGCAAGAGGATGTTGCTTATTGTCAGGAGCAGATCCTTGGGACACCTGGGTCATTGTTGGAGGCCAGGGAGAGTGGGTGGGGAGGAAGAGCTTGGCTCCAGGGTGGCCAGGAGCACAGGAGCCAGGAAGGTGACCTGGCCTGTGGCTGTTCAGCCACTGGACTACTCTTGGGGACTAACCTGGCTCCGATTCCAGCCCCTACCTGCCACTGGGCAAGACCTCAGGAGCACCCTCATGACAAACGCCAGGAACCAGGGAACTCCACGTCTCGGGGTTATAGCTGGGCCCACTTAGCTCTAGTGCCTTGTTCTGTGACCCTTCTTGGACCCCCTCTTTCTTCATCTGCAGTTAAGAGACACCACAGGGGTCTCACTCAGCAACACACACACCTGTAATCCCAGCCTTCTGGGAAATTGAGGCAGGAGGGTCACGAATTCAAGCCCAGTTATGGAGACCCTGTCTCAAAACAGAAAAAGGTCTGGAGATATAGCTCAGGGTGAAGGCCCTGGGTTCAATCCCCAGGACCTGGGACATGGAGGGATCCCATGTTTTGACACCCTGACAGCTCTGAAGTGCTGTAGAAAGGAAAAGGATCTGTTTTATGAACACTTATTTAATTCTCCCAACCCTCCCTGACAGTGTAGGTATTTATCATCCTTGTTTTTGTTTTGTTTTGTGGGACAGGGACTCAATATATATAGCTCAGACTAGCCTTGAACTCACTGTATAGCCCAGGTTGACCTCAAACTCACTGTGAAGCAGCCTCAGCCTCCTAGGTGCTAGGATTATAAGTGTGCCCCACCACACCTGGTTTTCATTCCTGCTTTAAAAATGAAGAAATAGAGAAGTCAGGCGACCTCCTGAAGGCCACACCAGCACTCTGTGGCTGAGCTGAGATCCACACCTTGGAACAGGAAGTGCCCCCCCCCACACACAGTGGCAGAGTGACACTCATCTGGCAACTATTTTAGAGAGAAAGAACTGACTCCAAGTTGACCCCGACTCAGACCCAAACAGAAAACATCGTTTTTTCATTCCACAAATATTTAGCAAGTTTCTAACATGAGCCAGGCTGAAGGCAGAGACTGGGGAGGGCAGAGGTCGGTAACTGCTTGGAATTTAGACCCGTGTCTGAGCTTTGTAGCTGCAGTGCCTGGGCCACAAGTGGGACACGGCCTCTGGTGACATTTTTCCCCCAGAGTAGGGGGAGAGGAGTTCACACTCGGCTCTCACCTCTTTGGACTTCAGTTTCGTGACCTGTGCCTCTTTCCACCCAGCAGGCCTCCATGAGCAGCCAGGGGTGTGCACGGGATGCGTGTGTAAGAGTGGGCATGTGTGGGTGTGGACAGGCCTGTGTATTTTCTCTGACTGGGTGTAAGCTTTGCCCCAGTTGCCAAGGCAACACCTAGCCGTGGGAGCTGGGTCCCCAGCTTGATTAGCCAGGCCTGGGAGCCCCACCCAAACAGCCAGTCTCTTCAAGTAAACAGTTCAAGATCACCCTGTGACCTCTGCTGTAGAGGAAAAGGGCCTGGTCCCTGGCCTCACAGATGTCCTCAGCAGGCACTGGCCCTGCTTCCCGCTCCCTGCTAGGCTCTTTCTCTTAGCACTGTCCAAGACACAGCACAAGGGGAAACAGAGGCTGGAACCCTCAGGATCGAGACTGTCACTCTAAGAAAGGAAGTGTCCTGGGACACAGGCAGAGAGGGCTGAGGCCAGCAAGTCTGCTCAGGGGGCTCTTGGGCCCTGCGAGGACAAAGGGCATCTCAGATGTGTTTATTGATACCTGCCCCAGCAGGAAGTGGCCATTCACATAGACAAGGAGGGCCGGGAGGGGAAATGCTCTCTATGGGAGGAAGCAACACTTCCAGCACCTTGGGAAAGTGTCTGTGAGGCAGGGACCGAGGCTCCTGGGAGGGCCTGGGCATTGGGCCAGGGGCTTTGGCCCAGGAAGCTTCTCAGAGTAACTCTATCGCAGACTCAGGAGTCCCTGAGGAGGACCGTGCACTGCAGGGCAGCCAGCTCTAACCAGCTCCCTTGGGACCCACTCAAGTCTCCAGCGGGAGGCTCAGAGGAGGTGACCATACAGCTGCCTTGTGCCGTGCATTGCTCTAAGCACTTCTACATGGGTGATTCCATCGCCCCTCTCACCCTGAGAGGTAGGTGGTGTCGCCACCTCCATCTTACAGATGAGGAGGCCTGAGCACAGATAGCTTAAGGAACTTGCCCAGAGCTTCACAGTAAGTGCCAGGTCAGGATCTGAAACCAGGCCTCCTGAGGTCAGAGATCATCTCACTGCTCCCTAGGGCCTAGAAATAGATGTGCACCAGCTGGAGGCTCCGCCTCCTTCCCACAGATGGACAGATGGTTTGGCCAATGAGGGCCCAGCTTGCCAGGCAGCAGCTATAACTTGGATAGTTTTACTTTTGGTTTTACATTAAATAACATTGAATCATATAGAAAGAAGCTTATTCCCTTTTCAATTCTCTCTCGGTCCTGATTACATCAAAGAGAAAGTCCCAGTTTGATGCCACTATGCCTCCCTTGCTTATCTCCTTTTCTTTTTTTTAATCAGTATTACTACTGTATTATTTCCCAAACGACAGCAGCAGGCTCCAGACTCAGCGCCTTCCCCAGGCTAAAGTTTCCAACTAGAATTTAATGCCCTTATTTGGTTTTCCTATTATGTACTTTAATGACTTTGATCTATTTATGGTAGGTGATACTGGCTTTCCACTTATGACAATGATATAAAGTTTCCTTTTGAAATTTACTTACTCAAACAAAACAATGAGTAGACTTAAAAAAAAAAACAAAACAGTACATACCATGATGGCAGATAGGGCAGAAATCAAAAAGGTAGTAAGCACAAGAGCTTGGGAAATACCACTGTGGAACTACCCGTTAGCGTAGCCTGACTGAGTCCCTGTCATCCAGCCTGCCCGCTGCAAGACAGAGAGGAAGTGTGTGTTTAGGGTCCCCCAGGGAGGAGCAGCAGAGCTGAGACTACACCTCGGTTCTCCTGGACGACAGGACTCTAAGTCAAAGGCAGCAGAAGCTGGGCCTGCTCAGTCTTCCAAAACTCCATTTTGGAATCACTGGTGGCCAGGATGGTAGTCATTGCCTTGCTGTTGGGGGATACCCAGCCACACATGGACTGTGGACATCAGAGACAAGAAAGATCCCATGGAGATACGTGAACCCTGAGCCCGGCTGGGCTTGAACTGCAAGGTCCCCATCTTTTCTCTAAGACTAGCGGCAGGCACCTCCCCGTACCCTCAGACTCTAGGCACCTGTGGGGGACAGAACGCAACCTGTGCTCATCCCTTTGCCATGCCTTAGACCCTGGAGGCAACAAGACACTAGCACAGAAAACCAGAAATAACCTGTTACTCCACATTCACCAGGGTCAAGGGGTCAGGCCCCCCCCCCCCGCTAAGCCCACTGCCTCAGAGGGAGAGCTACAGAAGTGAGAGGACTTGCCCAGCACACTAAGCAACTTGCCCAAGGTCACAGAGCAATGAATAGCCAGTCTGGGATTTGAACTCATGTACAACTGATTCTCAAAAGCCAAAGCAAGGACTGTACAGCAGCCCTGGCATGTAGGGCGCTGCCCCAGCCCCCTTTCTTTGTCCCCACCCAAGTGTCCCATCGGGAGACAAGGCCATGCAAGAAATGCCAGGGTATCCTTGGCATCGGAAGGCATGGCGCTGACCTCTGGCTCACCCTTGTCTGACGAGGTCAGGCTGGGCCTGACACAATCGCTAACCTAGAACATAGGGCTCCAAGCTTAGGAGATGGGGCTCAGACACTGCCAGCAGGCACATGGGCTCAAGAGACCCTCCTTTCCTCTCTCCTGCTGCATTTACAGGGATGGTCCAAAGTGCACCCTGCCTGGGCCACGCTCTTTCAGAGAGGTCAGACCCCAGAGGGCCCTTGGCAACTTCAGGTAAAGAGGAGCAATCGGGTGGCTCAGTGAGGGGCTCCTCAGTGGCCTCTGGGGTCACCTGGCAGTGGATAGATGCCCCTCTTGCCCATGGACTGGCTTCGGGCTGCATCTGTGCTTCTGTCCAGCTGTGGTGGGGAGTGGGCTAGGGATTGCCCAAGAGCTGACCACTGCTGTGTCAGAGGCTTGCAGGTCTAGGTTATGCAATAAGGTCCACAGCCTCACAGCAGGAAGGGGAAGATGGGTCACTCTCTTCCTAGCCTCAGTGTCCCCCCAAGGGCTCAGATGTGCTGAGCCCTGAGTTTGGGACTCCTGAGTCAGCTTCAAGGACAGGTGAAGGATAGTAGATGGGTCCTAGGAAAGAAGAGGACCTTTGGGAGCTGGTGGATCCTGGCCCCCAAGGCACCCTATCAGCCATCCTGCCTGCGCCAGGCATAGAAAGGGTTGTGCCTCTGCTGGCTCCCGGCTCCTGAGCATCTTGACACCACCGCCATTACCTTGGCACTGGCCTGCCCTGGCCACTCCATCTCACCTTCTGGCCATGAAGGCTTTGACTTGTGTGATCATGCCCAGGGCACGGCATGCCTAAATTACAGTCAGTGCCCAGGCCAGGGGGAATCTGACTTCTTTTGGTGGAGGCAACTTGGAGCAGCCAGGTTAGGAAGAGACATAGTTTAGATACACAGACTATGTTTGACATCACATAGTTTAGATACCAAGACCTCTGGAAAAGAAGGTTCCTAGCTATGAAGGTGAAATCAGCCAGGGCTTCTGGGCTCCCCTTGGGCCTCTCTGCAACTGGAATCTCTACGAGCAGGTCCTACACCCTGCTTCTCTAGGACTAATTTTCCCAAATTGGAGCTGCTGAGCCGACAGGAGCCCAGCCAAGTACAGGCAGGGAAGAGGGCAAAGATATAGGAAGGGTCTTGTGCAGTCACTTGGGCGGGAGACGAGGTAGGTGGCCCCTGGGGTGGGGGGCTTCCTGCCTGTGGCCACCCTCTCTCTGTTTCTTTTGGAAGCCTTGGTGCAAGACTGCCCCATTCCCTTCCCCTACCCACTCTCTCCCTCCTGGGTGTCATCTTGGGGAGCATCCAGGCCAGGGCTTGGGCAGCTCATCTGCAGGGTGTGACATCCCTCCTTATCGGAAGACCAGGCCAGAGTGCAGGTGCTGAGATATAAAGCTGTCTCAGAAACCCTGCTTATTTTTAGGGTGTCTGGATATCTGCTAGGTACTTCTAGTCTCCCCCTCTGCCTCTTATCCCATCTCCCCGTTCCTTCTCTTCTTTGGACCTGCCCATTGGGTCCCTCTGCCAAGCCCTCCACCTCTGTCCTGCCTCACCACATGACTCACACTTTCCCTGGGCCCTCCCGGTAAGTTTGGATCCCAGGCTGCCTGCCAGACCCCTCCAACCTGGAGATTCAGCCTCTACAGCTCTGAACAGGCAAGAACTGAGTGTCCCCCACCACCATCCAGCCCCTGTGTCCTGGCCAGGAGGCCATCTGGAGCTGTGACAGGCAGGATCTTAGCCTTGGCACTTCCCTATGTGGAGATTCCATTTGCACTGGGGAAACTGAGGCCGCAGAGATGCAATGTTATCCAGGTACAGAAGGGGCAAGGCTGAGCTAGAAGAAGGCCCCGCCTCCTCCCCAGGCCCCACATCAGTCTGTGCTGCAGCCCCTTAGATGGCAGGAATCCGCTGAGCACTTAATCTGGCTGTCAGATGGGACCCTGTGGGCACGGCTACCCCCATCGGAGTACACCAGTGTCCACCCTGAGCGGCATCCACCATAGCTCGGCCACAAGCATCACCAGGGCACAGGGCATTTGGCAGAGGGTACCACACCCCCTGCACCCCTGAGATGGAGCCCTGAAGCTAGAGGGGCAGGACAATGCCACAGCTGTCAAAAGCAGGACACGGACACTGGCACCAGCTGGCTGCACCCACCCTACTCATCCCGCCCTGCTTGTAGGCAGTAGCTGTGCCCCGGGCTCTCTGGGTTAAGAAGGGTAAGACAGGCAGCCCTCAGGGGACTCTTTGCCTGTGACCAAGTCAGCTGTCAGAACGTACAGAGTGCCCGATGCCCAGCTGGGATACTTGGGCACGCTGCCCAGCGGTCCGCAGCCTCCGTGCGGTGGACGGAGGTCCCAGCAGGTGACGGGGGCCCGCAACCTGTCGCCTCTCCCTCCCGGCGTGCTGCCCAGGAGCCCGAGAACTTACCTTGGGGCTCAGTCAGGAAGAGAACGAGGAGCAGGGGCCCCCAGCACCGGCCGACGGCCTCCAGGGCCAAGGGGACGAGCATGTCGCCGTCGGGCGGAGCGGGCGCCGTGGCAGGGGACGGGCGGGTCGCTGGGGCCGGCGGGACGCGGCCGGCCGGGGCAGCCTCCCAAGCGAGTGCGGAGCCAGCGGAGCACAGCGAGCGGCTGGGCGGAGGCTGGCGCCCCACCGCGCCCCCGGGCGGCCGTGCGCGGCACTGCGCCGGAGGTCGCACGCGAGAGGAGGGTTAGCAGATAGATCAGCAAGTTTCTCGGCCTGTGTCAAGCGCTTTCTGCCCTCTCCAGCGCTTTCGAGAGTTTTGTTATCGTTGTGCAACCGAAGAAACGGATATACGTCTAACATAGCATATTATCATGGTGTGTATCTGCCTTTGGCCACTTAATGTAGGGCCTGTGTGCTGCATTCTCCAACCAGGGCTCAGCTCCAGTTGTAGAAAAATGAAGAATGAATGAATGAATCTGACACTGGTGATGAGCTAAGCAGGCTGGAGTGGGCCTGCCTGTGTACTCAGTGCCTGAGGCCCTTTGAGTCTGCGCACATGCGGAACAGCCACAGCAGGTTGGACATGTCCCTGCCCCAGGACACGTGCGTGCAGTGTGTCCCGCCAGGTCCCCTTGAGCTCTTCTGCCCCAGGCCCCACTGCCCCTCAGCTCTCCACCAGCTCTCCCTCCCCCACATCCATGATGGCCACAAGGCCCTGTGGCACCCCCAGGCACCCATCCTCCTACCCAAATTCTGGTCACCCCTCCACAACATTACTGGTCCTTTGGATGTCCCCATTCATCTCTGTCCATACCCCCTTTGGCTGCCATACTGGCTTGAGGCTCCAACCAGCTGGTTTTTCATTCGGCCCTTCTGTCTTCCTGAGCTTCGGGGGATCATGGGCTCCTCCCTGCATGGTTCTGAGGTCCTACCACAAGCCAGGCATGGAGAGACAAACCACTAAGCAAGAGCATGTAGGACTTCCTGATGGGGTAGAGTAGGTGGCCGTACAGGGGCCGAAGGGTCACAGGAGAGGGCGGGCTCCCCTTGCTGTGTCCAGTGTCCCCCAGCTCAGATTTGATGGCCCTTATGGATCTGGAGCTCCCCAGTGACCCCAGGCTAAGAACAGGCAGAGCACAGCAGTGTCAGGAATCGGGCTGGTGGGACAGACTAGGAACCAAGAATTAGGGGTGGCCTGTGAATGCCCTGTTCCATGTCACAAGCTCTCTGGGGGCTCCCAGCCCTGGATCTAGGCGAGGAAAGACCACAGCAGAGGAAAAGTGTGGAGTGTCCTGTTATTACATGGTGATCTTGCACAGGTCCAGTCCCCCCTGGAGGCAGAAAGGACTGGGATGGGATCCGAGTGTCAAAGGTGGCCAGGACAATCCAGGTGCTTCAGCGTGATTCTGGCCTTGTGACCCCGCCTAGGGATACCCGTGTGCCTTTCTGGATGGCAGACCATGAGTATTCTTCCATCACGGAAGGTACTCAGCCGACTATGATCAGGGGGGCACTATGCCCTTTCCATCTGGCCATCGTTTGGCAGAGGTGAAGTGGGGGGGATCACTCCTGGGTGACTCGGAGGTCACCTCCCAAGAACAGCTCCCCGATTTCTTCTACTTCCTCCCCACCGCACTGCCCAGCCCTGAGTTTCCTAGGGTTGCATCAAGTAAGACATGCATTGCCCAAGGTGTGGGGCCAGCATACTAAAGCCCTCTTTCCCTGAAGCCTGAGGCAGGGTAGGGTGACTCACAGCAATAACCTTCGAGGCTTGACTTTCTCTTTCTCTAGGAGCCAGAGGGAGGAAGACCATACTCCACTCTGGCCTCAGAGCAGGAGGCCTGCAGGGGCAGCTCTGTGAGAACCCTTCTCTTAACCCCAGCAGCCTACGTGATGGTCAGCCTTGTGTCCAGGGAGCCGGGAAGTGACTCTGGAGTGGTGGGAAATGGTAGTGCCCTTGCCTGCCTGCAGATAACACTCTTGTGCTCTTGCTGGGGACCCCCCCACCAGTGATCAATGCCCGCTGCACTGTCATAATGCCAGAGAAGCAGCCCTGAGCTGTGGGTTGGGGTGACTTCTGGTGTTCATCCCATGGGCCAGTTTTAATACCTACCTCCGACTAATGAAGATCAGAAGCCTGCACATGACCTTGGCAGTGCCATGATTGATTAGTGATGTCTTCCACAGGCAAAGACGTAGCAGTGGTGATATGAGTGCTATCTGGGACCTAAGCAATTACCAGCCTGTGACTTCCCTCCTTACCATCTTGATCTACCTCAGTCCCTCTAACCCCTGACCAAGGCACCTGATCCTGCCATTCTCCTCAGGCCACCACCCACGTGTATGTGACCATCGTGGATGAGAACGACAATGCTCCTGAGTTCCAGCAGCCTCACTACGAAGTGTCACTGGACGAGGGCCCAGACACAATCAATGCCAGCCTCGTCACCGTCCAGGCGCTGGACCCAGATGAGGGGCCCAACGGCACGGTTGTCTACACCATCATCACAGGCAACATTATCAACACCTTCCGGATTGGCAGGCGCACAGTGAGCGACTGACTGTGGGGTGTGGGAGGACAGGGCCATCCTGGTGGTGGCAGGCACTCAGCAGCATTGTGAGATGAGGAATGCAGATGGAGTCTGGGAATCCTGGGGTCCCCACGGTGGGAAGGCCCTCGTCTACAGCGTGCTGGGTCCCTGTGATGCCAGGGCATCCAGGGCCTCTACCTCCTGGGCCAGTTAGAGGGTGCCTCAGGCCTACCGCCCATTGCTCTACCCTTGTCCCCTCTGTGTCCCTGCAGGGCATCATCAGTGCTGCCAAGGAGCTGGACTACGAGATCAGCCACGGCCGCTACACCCTGATGGTCACCGCCACAGACCAGTGCCCCATCCTGCCCCACCGTCTCACATCAACCACCACGGTGAGTGGGTGGGGCACAGCCCGTGTGCTGGGCAGGGGTACAGGACCCAGACAGCTCCAGGAGGGGCAGAAGCAGGGGGAAGAACATTCTGAGGAAAATGCCTACGTCTGGGGGGTCTGTCCTTGGCCCAGGAACTCTCCCACATTTGCAGTGTGACTTTGAAGAGGTCACTGTACCTCTCTGTGTGGCTGTACCGAATCAGACCAAAACACTCACCTTCCTCCCCTTCATGGGAAAAGGATAAACTCTGCTCATGAATAGGGAGAGGATCAAATCCCTGCCCTTTCACCTGGCTGTGTGAATCTGGCTAAGTCGTATAACCTCTCTCAGCTTCAGTGTCTTCCACTGTGAAAGAGGGATTCCCAGGCATGTGGTGTACCCCTGGAACCCTAGCACTTGGGAGGCTGAGGCAGGAGGATTGCCATGAATTTGAGACCAGCCAGTGAGTTTGAGGCCAGTCTGAACTACATAGTTCAGACTCTGTCTCAAAAAAAAAAAAAAAAAGACACCCCCCCCCCGCATCCATAACCCCCCAGGAATCAGCTGCACAAGACCACCTCAGCGGGTGGATGCTGAGGAAGTAGCTGAGTCTGTGTGCGCTGAGCCCACCGCATGCTGGCTGGGAAGGGGCCCCAGCAGAGCTTCTCCGCCATTTCAGGTGCTGGTGAATGTGTATGACATCAATGACAATGTGCCCACCTTCCCCCGGGACTACGAGGGACCCTTTGATGTCACCGAGGGACAGCCGGGGCCCAGAGTGTGGACCTTCCTGGCTCACGACCGGGACTCAGGCCCCAATGGACAGGTGGAGTACAGCGTGGTGGACGGCGACCCTCTGGGTGAGTGGGGTCTGCACTGGCAGCCAGTGGGCAGGACCCAGAGGCCTCTGGCCACCCACTTGGGAGTCAGAGGAGAAGGAGGAGGGCTCCTAACACAACTCGAGATCAGCATGTGTGATTTTGCCTCCTCTGGGCCTCAGTTTCCCCACCCACTAGGTGGTGGGAATCATCTTCTCCCAGCCTTCTTCACAGGGATGGGGTCAGAGATTGGAGTCTCGGAGGGTCACGGGCCCCTTTGAGAACCTGACAGAAAATGGCTCAAAGCCGCTAAGAGAACTTGGCTAGCCTGGGCAACCTCGTGAGAAGGAGTCTAAAACTTTTTAAACCTTCTTAAAAAGGCTAGGAGCTTGCCTAGCATGCACCAGGCCCTAGGTTGCATCCCCCATGCTACAAAAGAAATAAATGTATGTAGAGGACTTGGTTGGAACAGGTGTGACAGGAAAGGAGGCACACTGTGTCATGCAGGGGTTGTTTTTATGTCAGGAGTACAAGAGAGAGAGATCTGGGCTGGAGAAAGTACAGTATATGGGAGCTGTCAACGTGGAAATATTCATCCCGCTGGGGACCGAATCAGGGGCCTCACAAATGCTAGGTCAGTGTGCTCCACCATTGAGCCACAGCCCCAGCCCTTTCTGATTTCATCTGGAGACAGAGTCTTGCTAAGTTGGCCAGGCTGAGCCCCAACTTGCAAATTCCCTGGCTGATCAGAATCAGCCTTAGGAATCCAGAACCTGGGGCGGGCATCAGGTCAGGACGTCTGTGCGTCACATCCCCCACTCGGGATCCCTGTTGGAATTTGAGCGGTAGGTGCTGTATGTCTGGACTGTCTTCTGTGGAAAGCTGGGTTAGCCACACCTCATTAGAAGAAGGGACAACCCAGGCTTCAGTATTTAAACTTACGGTCTGATTTCTTTCACCGCACATGATGGTTTCCAAGGGCATCCACTTTCCTAGAGATGACCCATTACATTTTCTTTATCCTATCAGCAGCACTGTGAGAGATGCTACAGGAGGATGCCTAGGAGGGGGATAGCTGAGTTGAGTGGAACTTCTAGTTTTAGATTTCAAGGCTCTGCACACTGATTTCCACAGCGGTTATACTGGTTTACATTCCTACCAACAATTTAGAGAGTTTCCTTCCCGCCCCCACATCCCGGCAGCCTCACCAGCGCCTGTTATCTGATTTCTTGGTAACAGCCATTCTTTCTGGAGTGAGATGGAATCTCAGTGGTTTTCGTTTACGTTTCCTTAATGGCCAGAGATGGGCAGCATTTTTTTTCATGTGTTTACTGCCCATTTGTATTTCTTCTGGGAAGCGTCTGTTCTTTTCAGATGTCCCCTTTTTGACTGGGTCGTTTGTTTTTTGGGAGGGTTTAATATGTGGTGTTCTTTATATATTCTAGATATTAGTTCTCTATCCAAGGAGTACCAGGAAAAAACATTTCCCGTTTTGTACGTTGTCTCTTCATTCTGTAGGCTGATTCCTTTGCTTGCAGAAGCTTTGTATTTTGACATGATCCCGTTTGTTGATTGTTAGTATTATTTCTTACTCTTTTTTTTTAAGGCAGGATCTCACTATGCAGTTCAGGCTGGCTCTGAAGTCACCATGTAGCTGAGGCTGGCCTCAAACTCTCCGTGATTCTCCTGCCTCAGACTCCCAGGTGCTGGGATTGCTTGTGCAGCTGGGGTTCTGTTCAGGAAATCCTTGCCGTATCTTCAAGACTTTTGCCTATTTTGTCTTGAGCAGATTGTTTCTTTTTTGATATTTAGATCTTTGATCCATTTTATTTTAATGTAGTACATGCTGAGAGATGCAGATCTATGTAAATTCAGTCTTCAGAGTGGGATAGCCAGTTTTTCTAGAACTATTTTAAGGGGCTATCTTTCCTCCAGCATCAGGTTTTAGGCCATGTCAAAGATCTGGCTGCTGGATATGCGTGGAGCTGTTTTTGTTTCTGCATTCTCCATTCCATTGCACTGATCCACCTGTCTGCGTTGTGTTTTGTCACCAGTATCATGCTGTTTTATTATAGTAGCTTTGTAGCATAGCTTGAGGTCCAGGATTGTGATGCCTCCTGCCTTGATCTTGTTACCCAGGATTGCTTTTGCTATTCTAGGTCTCCTCTGGTCCCGTCTTTATTTTAGGATAGTTTTCTCTAGTTCTGTGAGGCACGTTATTGATATTTTGATTGGAATTGCATTGTCTGTACTTCAGTTTTGGAACTAAGGCCATTTGACTGTATTAGTTTTGCCTACCCAGGAACAAGAATTGCTCTCCATTTGATGATGTCCTCTTTGATCTCCTTTTTGAGAATGCTGTAATTTTGATTTCAGGGATCTTTCAGTTCCTTGGTTAGGTTAATTCTTAAGCATTTAATTTACCTTGATGGCGTTGTGAAAGATAGTGTTTCCCTAATTTCTTTCTCCATGAGTTTATTATGGTGTACAGGAATGTTGTTGATGTGGGTGTGTTGACTTTGTAGCCTTCTACATTGCTGAATTGCATTATTAAATCTAGGAGTCTAAAAATGGAATTGTTTATGGCCTGTTATAGAAGACATTGTGTTAACTGCCAATAATGACAATCTCACTTCTTTCTTTCCCTTTGATTTGTTTCTCTTGCCTGATTGTTTTGGTTAGTTTCATGAACTACGTTGAGCAGGATTGAACATCCATGTCTTGTTCCTGATTTTAATGGGATTTTAGCTTCTCCCATTCAATACGATGTTGGTCGTTGGTTTCTCATAAGTGGCTTTTTATCAGATTGAGATAAAGTCTTTTTTTTTTTTCAGGGTTTTTGTCGTGAATGGAAGCTGAATTTTGTCAAAAGCTTTTCCTGCATCAGTTGAGATGATCACGTGATTTTTATCCCTGCTCCTGTTTATGTGGCGTATTACATTTATCAAATTGTGTATGTTGAACATCCCTGTATCCCCGAGATGAAGCCTATTTGATCATAATGTATGATTTTTCTGATGATTTGTTGCATTTGTTTGCCAGAATCTTGTTGAGAATTTTGTGTCTGTTCATTAAAGAAACAGTCCTGTAGTTCTCTTTTTTTACTGTGACCTTTTCTGATTTTGGAGTCAGGGTGCTGCTAGCTTCCAGGAATGACGTTAGGAGTACTCCTTCCCTTTCAATCTCACTAGAGCTTAAGGTGTATTTGGCACTGGAACTTCCCTAAGGTACTTGCAGAATCTGGTGGTAAATCTATCGGGACGTGGGCTATTCTTATTGGTAGCTTATTACTTCGTCAGTCTCATCGCCTGATTCTGGGTTATTCAGTATTTTCATATCTTCCTGGTTCAGCTTGGGTGGTTCATATGTATTTAGGGATCTATCCATTTCTTCCAAGTCCTCCATTTTATTAGAGAATAGATTTCCAAAGTACTTAGTAATAATCTTCTGGATTTGGGCAGTATATGTTGTGATTTTTCCTTTTTAATTTCTAATTGTGTTGATGTCTTTTCTATCCTTGTTTGCTAAGATTACTAGGGGTTTGTCTATTTTATTTATTCTTTCAAAGAGCCAACTCTTTGATCCAGTGATTTTCTGTAATTTTTTAGTCTCAATTTCATTAATTTTTGCTCCATTGTTTATAATTTCCTTCCTTGTACTAGCTTTGTATTTAGATTATACTTATTCCTCTAGTACCTTAAGTGCATCATGAGGTTATTTATTTAGGCTCTGATGGAGCATTCATAGATAGAAACTCCTTTCTTAGGACTGCTTTTGGTGCATCCCATAGTTTCCAGTGTGTGATACAGCCTTCTCATTCAGTTGTAGGAATCATTTAATTTGTTCCTTGATTTCTACTGTGGCTCATTGATTATTTGAAGCGGCGTTAATTTCCATGTGTTTGTACAATTTCTGTGATTTCTTTTGCCATGAATTTCTGACAGTATGCATGAGATAATTTAATTAAATTGCACTTAATTAAATGCATAAATTGCATTTAATTCAGCATCCTGTTTGGGCTATTTTGGAGAAAATCCATGTAGTTCTGAGAAGTATTCTGTTGTTTGGTTAAAAAACTGTAGATATTTAATAAGTTCATTTGTTTGAAAGTTTTATTCAATTCTGATATTTCTTTGTTGATTTTTTTTCTAATTGAACTATTTGTGACCATGAGGCATTGAGAGATCCCCCATTATCACTGTGTTGGTGTTTATCTGATATTTTTTATGTCCAGTAGTGTTTGTTCTTTGAAGTTGGATGTGCTGGTGTTTGGTGCATGTATGTTTATCATTGTTATCCCTTCATGCTGAATGCTCCCTTAACCAATGAGTAGTTGGCTTCTTTGCCTCGTATCAGTTTTGGCTTGAAATCTACTTGTCTGAAATTAAGATCGCTACTCCTGCTTTTTCCTGGGTTCCCATTGCATGGAATACTGTTTTTCATCCTTTGATTTTTAATCTGTATTTCTTTTCAGATTATAATGTGTTTCGTGTATCATTGGGGTTTGTTTCTTGATTGATTCTGCACATCTGTGTCTTCTGATTGGAGAATTAAGATCAGTCACATTGAGAGTTATTACTGAAAGGTGTTGACTTATTCCTGTCATCAAACTATTTTCCAGTTGCTGATTTCCTTCTGTTTTCCCTCTTTCTGCTTCACTGCTGGCCCTGTTTGATGTATTCATTCTGTTGGACTTTTTCGGTATTGTTGGCTTCCTTGTCTCTAAGACATACTTGAGGACTCTTTGTAGTACTGGTTTGGTACTTACAGATTTCTTGGATTGCTCATTGTCATGCAAATATCTTACTTCTCCACCAGTTGTTTTTTGTTGCTTTTGTTTTGTTTTGTTTTGTTTGTTTGTGTGAGACAGGGTCTTGCGCTATATAGTTCAGCCTGGCTTTGACTTCTCTATGTAGCCCAGGCTGGCCTCAAACTCATAGCAATGCTCCTCCCTCAGCCTCCCAACTGCTGGGATTGTATGTCAATATGTGCCACCACACCCAGCTCTCTGTCACTTTTGAAAGAAATTTTTGCAGGGTATATCAGTGTGGCCTGGAAGTTGCTATCTGGGGGCCTTGAAATACCTCAAGCTTTTCTGGCCTTTCAAGTTTGTGTGGAGAAGTCTGCTGTAATTTTAACAGGTTTATCTTTATTAGTGATTTGTTGCTCTTCTCTAGCAGCTTTAAAATGCTGTCCTTGTGTTGGACTTCTGGGATTTTGATGATGATGTGACCTGCAAAGTGTCTTTTTTAGTAGTGGATTTTTAAGGTTCTCTATTCTTCTTTTATCTGTATGTTTAATTCTTTCCCAGTATTTGGCAAATTCTATTTCTATAAACAGTTTTCTACTCCCCTTGTGTTATCTTCTCATTGTTTGCTTATTTCAATAAATTTTAGTCTTCTTTGTGCCACGTGCCGTGGAATGCGTTTTTCATGTTCTCTTCTTAAAATATTTCTGAGTAACTGGGCATCAGGTATTTTGTCCTAGCAACGAGAGAAATGTAACCAAGACACAAGATGTCACAATGTAGCCCAGGCTGGCCTTGAATTTGCAGCAATCCTCCTGCCTCAGCTCCCAAATTCTGGAATTACAGGGATTAAACTACCATTCATTCATTCAATATGATTTTTAATCTCCTGGACTTCTTTTTTTCTTTCTTTCTTTTTTTTTTTTTTTAGACAGAGTTTCTCTTTGTAGCTCAGGCTGGCCTCAAACTCACAGAAATCCTTCTGCCTCAGCCTCTTGAGTGCTGGGATTACAGGCATGTGCCACCATGCCTGGCTTCTCCTTGATTTCTATTTGAAACATTTTCATGGACTGTAATTCTTTGCTAAACAGATCGTTCATCATGTTTTATATTATGTTGTCTAGCTCAGCCAGCTTTTCATTACTATTTTCTACAAGACACTGGAGGACTCACCCACCAACACCCATCGTTCCCTGCTGGCAGGAAGGCTGGTTAGAGGTGGGGAGAGGCTGGGCCACCCTGATGGTTCTATTCATCACCTCCACTCTCGGATTAGCTATGTCATCTGGGAGCCTGCCAAGTGCCTTATTGATCTGTTTTCTACCTGTTACCCTCTTGTGTCATTCAACTGTGTGATTTTTGTTTTCCTCCCCCTCAATACCTCACAGACAGACTTTGGGAGAGTCTGAGAGAGGCCAACAGAGAGGCCCTCTGTTGATTTCTTTCATCGTATTTCTGTTGGTTTCTGTTTGTATGTTTTGTGCTTAGCTAATCAATCACTTTTAGTGGGAAAACTTTGTTGCTCATACGGAGAGCTCTTTAGTCTGCTTTTCAGTAACACCCTCAGGGTATGGCTAGCTGTAGTCTGTTGCTTCTGATCCGAGATCCAACCACTTTTGTTAATTTGACAGGGAAGGATTGGCCCAGGACCTAGTTCTCTGGGAATAGACGGCAGTATTACTATCACAAAGGTAATCCAGATATTAGCAAGCAGAGAAAACCTATTACTGCAATACCAACAACTGTGTGACCTCAGAAATATCAAATATATCAGCAACAGTAGTATCATCCAAGACAAACTGGATATTGACATGCCATAAGGACCAATAATGTGCCGTCCTTAACCTTAGGAAATAAATCTGTGTTTATAATATAAATCCTAAGACAAAGCAAATATTGACATACAACAAATATCTACTAAATTCAATAACTATACTTTCATCAGTGATGGAAAATAATACCTCAATAAATGACAGAGAAGAATTCCATAGTAGTAACAGAGTTAATTATGTAAATATTAATAAAGCTTAATGGTTATAGTAAAGATATGGGAGGGTTGAGGATGAGAGAATACAAGAAGAAAAAAATTAACAGTGGTAGATGAGAACAAAGTGAGGCAAAAGATCTGGTTAAGGAGTGAAAGGATATTTATAGAATTAGATAAAGATTTTAAAAAATAGATGTTTTAAAAGGGAAGAAAAAAGAAATAATGTGGAGAATGCCTGTAACCCCAGCACTCTCAGGAGGCTGAAGCAGGAGGATCTCCACAAGTTTGAGGCCAACCTGGGCTAGCTACACAGTGAATTCAAGCCCAGCCTGAACGATAGAGTGAGACTGTCTCAAAAGGGGGAGGGGAGTAGGATAAGAAATAAAGGATAAAGGAAAATTCCCCAGACCTCAATAAATCAGTGAAGAAGAGGAAAGAGGAAAAAAAAAAAAAGAAAGAAAACAAGTCTAAAGCCAGGAAAAAAGCATTCTTTGTCTTTTTGAATGAGTGATTTCCTTCCAGGACCTGCAGTTTTAAAGTCCAGCGAGTCTGGGTTTTCTGCACCTAGCCTTGCAGTCTGTGGGGGTGTGAGGTGCCCCCACTATTCCAGTGGCTCCCTGGGGTATCTCATGGCCATTTTCCAGATCGGAGCATCAAGGCAAGGCCCAGGGCCAGGCAGGACGCCCAGGCTCTTGCTCCCATCTCCAGGTGTGGGGATGGGAAGTCCCGGCCCCAGCTGGCTGCCGAGCAGGGTCATCTGTGGTGCGGCGCCTTTGGCCTGCCTGCCACCCTGATCTGGGGACCAACTTTGTACAGCCCAGGACCAGCCTCCAAGGCCTGCTCCCCTGAGCCTGAGGGACAGTGATTGTGTCCCTCCTTGGCCCTGGAGAGAGAGCAGGAAGCCATCTGCCCACACGAGGCCAGGACTTCTAAGGGTGGAAAACCCTTGGAAAGGGAATCCCCAGTTCTTTGGAGTCCTTGGAGCATCAGGGGTTCAGGAAATCCTGCTCCATGCAGCTTCCACCCCTCCAGGCAAGGAAGGACATGTGGGGCCCAGGGGAGGACAGGGGTGGAAGGGGCTGTGGGAAATCCCAGCTGCAAGCGGGCAGCAGGGGCCATGTGTGCCAAGGAGAGTGGCAGGAGTGGGCAGGGACAGTGGGATGTTCAGAGGCGAGCCTTTGCTCAGCTCGTGTGCTGTATGCCGGTGAGCAAGTCGGTGCCCACTCCAGTCTGCTCCCCTGTGTCAAGTGGAAAGCTGAAGGATCTGGGTGTGGTGGCATCCGCCCATAATCCCAGTACTTAAGAGGCTGAGGCAGGAGGGTCACTGTGAGCTCAAGGCCACCCTGGGTTGCAAAGTGAGTTCAAGACCAGCCTGAACTACTTAGCGAAACCCTGTTTCTTTTTTTTTTTTTTTGAAACCCTGTTTCAAAAACAAAAGAAAACATAACACACACACTAAAAAAATCAAAGCAAGCAAGCAAAAAGAACAAAAAATCAAAAAACAAAACAACAACAGAAAAACAAAAACAAAAGACAAAAAAAGGGCCAGGGATTTAGCTCAGTGGCATAAGTACCTGCCTGGCAAGTACAAGATGGTGAGTTTGATCCCAGATACCAAAAAAAACCCAGCCAAACAAACAAACAAAAACCCCACAAACACAAGGAGGGAAGATGAAGAAAGTAACTTTCCCCTGTTTCACTAGAGCCCTAGCCCTGGCTCCCCACCCCTAACTAGTCCAGAGGATGCAGTGGGCCAAGGCCCAGAGCTCAGGGTTCGGATTCTGAATCTGCCATTGCCTTTCTGTGAAGCGTGGACAAGTGGTCACCCTTCTCTAGACCCCTGCTTCATTTTCCAAAGGACCCGAGGATTAGATAGGTCACAGTCTGAGAATCCCAAGTCTTACATGCTGACATTTGTCCCTAAGCCTGACCCAAGGTGAGGACCGAGCTGGGGACCAGGCAGGAGCTGTGTGGCCTCAGGGGCAGAAAGTCCAGGTCACCACGAGCCCAGGAGACCCTCTGTATGCCCAGCTGTGGCTCCACCTGGGGGCTGAATGGAGCACTCCTCACTCTGTCCCCTTGCCCCCTGGCGCCCACATTCCTTGGTAGTGGCTTTGCCCTTTCCGTGGGCCCTTTCTCACAAGCCACAGCGTCAGAGCCAGAAGGAAACTTACACAGTGCCCGATGCCTTCGTCAGCCCACGCTGGCCAGGGGTCAGGAAGAGCATTCATGTACAGAAAGGGCTCGTGCTTTTCAGTGTCGCCATCTCAGCTGGGTCACTCTTGGGCCTGTGCAGGCTGGAGCTGGGCACTGATCTGCCTGGCACTGCAGATACATTGGGGCAGGAGCACCAGCACCCGCCTGTACCCCAAGGGCTTCTCTGTTTCCTCCCTCCCCACTGCTTGTGAGGAACTGAAGCCAGTGGCACTAGAGGAGCTGCCCACCAAAGCCCATTGTCCTCGGCTGGCAGGAAGGCCAGCTAGAGGCGGGGAGAGGCTGGGCTGTCCGTGTCACCTGGTCTGCCCTGCTAACTGAGCTTCTCCGGGTGACTCCCAGGGGAGTTCCTGATCTCCCCTGTGGAAGGGGTGCTGCGGGTACGGAAGGATGTGGAGCTGGACCGGGAGACCATCGCCTTCTACAACCTGACCATCTGTGCCCGTGACCGGGGGGTGCCCCCACTCAGCTCCACAGTGAGTAGCACCCTGTGCCCCTGTGCTCTCCATAGAGACCCCCTGCAAGCACTGATGCCCCTGTGCCCAGAGAAGCCTTGGGTCCAGGGCTCTGCAGAAGTCTTGGGCTCCCACACCATGTTCTCCCCACCTCAGCCTCACCGTCTAACCTCTAATTTGACCTTAATCTTCCTCTTTCTGTCCCTCCCTGGTCACCATCCGTTTGCTCCTCTGCTCCGTCCCCTGTCACCTCCTCCTTGGTGGCCTTGTCCATTCCCTGGCTTTCTGCCTGTCTCTCCCCTGCCTGACCCCAGATGCTGGTGGGGATCCGGGTGCTGGACATCAATGACAATGACCCGGTGCTGCTGAACCTGCCCATGAACATCACCATCAGTGAGAACAGCCCCGTCTCCAGCTTTGTCGCCCACGTTCTGGCCAGTGATGCTGACAGCGGATGCAATGCGCTCCTCACTTTCAACATCACTGCAGGCAACCGGGAGCGGGCCTTCCGCATCAACGCCACGGTATGCCGGGCCACTGGGACCCAGGCAGTCTTCCTCCCAAGAGGAGGCTTTTGGTGGCCCTGCTTCCTCTTCTTCTACCGGGACCAGGAAGCCATGGACAGGCAGGGAATCTTGGTTTCCCCAGTGACCCGTGTGAAAGGGGGAATTCCTTAGCCCAGTTGTATCAAGCTGAGTTTGCATGACGAAAAACAAAACAGAAAGGTTCACACACGGGGTAGCCCCTAACGAGACAGCAGGCCTGGGAATTCCTGCCAACAACCCGACCCATCAGTAATTGAAGAGCAACGTAAGAGGCTGCAGCTTGGTCAACCAGCCAGTCATTGGGTTTTAGTAGAATTGGTTTATTGGCTCTGGGTCCTCCTGCAGCCAACCAAAGCACAGTTACTGTGTTTAAATTCCACATAGGTTTGGTCAGTCAGTGCCGCTCCCAATGAGTGGCCTTTTACAAATGCGTTCAGTGTAGGTGTAGCTATCTCTGGTATCCACCTAGAGCTGGCCTGGGCTCATCACATGCAGAGATGGGGCCTGCCCCTCTGGGGCCACTTGGGTTGTACCAAGACACCTGGAAGCCCTTGCCAGGCCTCTTGGAGTGTCCATAGGCTGCTGACACCAGGGCATCTCCAAAGAGCCCACCCTTGGAGGCAGTCCTGGGCATCAGTGGTTCCCCCTGCAAGAGCCTGCTGCCCACTGGGCCAACTGAACCATCGCTTAGGTGCATTAGGGAGGGAACTCACATCCGCCCCAGAGCTACAGGTGGGCCAGTTGGGCATCTGTGGGCCAGAGCCCAAAGTGGCTGCTCAGCTCACCAGCCCTGCCCATCGCAGACAGGGATCGTCACTGTGAACCGGCCCCTGGACCGCGAGCGGATCCCGGAGTACAAACTGACCATTTCTGTGAAGGACAACCCAGAGAACCCACGCATAGCCAGGAGGGTGAGGCTGGGGGTGCTATGGGTGTGGTAGAGGGGCTGAGCATCCAGAGGGAGCACACCACCCTTCCTGTGGGGGGCAGGGCTGAGATGCACAGGCTTTGGAGCTACAGGGAGACTTGGGGACTCACTGGCCTTGCAGCTGTGTGTGTCCTCTCCTTCTCTGTGTGTTGGGCCCCGGGGAGGTGCGTTGGTCTGAGAGGCATGAAGTGCAGTCCTATGAGTGAACTTCACCCCAGCATGAGACTTTGAGGTCCTGGATACAAACCTACTTTCCTGCCAGAAGTCTTCCCTTACCAAAAAGGAGATTGATACTGGGACCTTCACTATTCCTCTACCACTCCTCCACTCTAGAGTGCCCATTTGCTGGAAAGGAAAACTGAGGCCCAGACAGGGGGAATGACTTGCCCAGGGTCACCTAGTAAGCTGCTAGCAGAACAAGGGCTTGAACCCAAGTCTCTGGACTCCCAGTGTGGTATTCTTGATGGCTGACCTCGATGTCCCACTGTCCTGCCTCCCTTTGCTGGAGCAGGGCCTATAACCTTGCTCCTGTCCTACCGCCACAGGATTTTGACTTGCTGGTGGTCTCTCTTGTGGATGAGAATGACAACCACCCCCTCTTCACAGAGGGCACCTACCAGGCAGAGGTGATGGAGAACTCTCCTGCAGGTAGGTGCTGGGCCCGCCCAAGGGCTCCTGCCACGGCCAACGGCCACCAGGACCTCAGGTGCTGAGACTGTCCCATGTACTCAGTGCCACAGCTAGACACAGATTCCAGTGGGTGCAGAGGGTGTCAGAGGGGAGATGGGGGCAGCTCAGAGGGCTGGGGGGCTGGGGCTGCCCGGCCTCTTAGGGACCACTAAAGAGGCCGCAGTTCTGGTTGAGAGAGGTGATGGTTGTGGTCACTGACCCCCCAGAGAGGTGTGAGAACAGCCCTGCTCTTCCAGGGCTGGAGGCTCTGCGGATGGGAGACAGGGGGCTTTAGATCCGCCAGTGTAGCCCTCGCCCCACACATGTGCACTAATCAGGATCTGCCCTTTACCGCCCCCCTCCCGGTACCCACAGCTTGGATCAGAATCAGAGATGAGCTGAGATTCGGAGCAGGTGTCAGGGAGCCCAGCCCCTCCCGGGGAGTGGCCAGCCTCAGAGGCTGCTGGGAAGCACATGTGGCTCTGGCAACCCAGGGCCTTGTTCACCACTCTGTGTTTTCTCCCAGTAGGGCTCTGAGGCCTCTCCCCAGGCATCTGCGTTCAGTCTGCCAAGGCTGCCGCAGGCCCACCTGGAGCCTCCCCACCCCGTCCGCCTCACCTCCCTCCCCTCTCATCCATCGTCAGCCATGGCTCACGGGGTCGGGCTGGGGAGGGGGGAGGGTGGGAGCGGGTTGGCCTGGAGTGACGCTTCTCCTCCTGGCCCAGGGACCCCCCTCACGGTGCTCAATGGGCCCATCCTGGCCCTGGATGCAGATGAGGATGTATACGCTGTGGTCACCTACCAGCTGCTGGGCATCCACAGCGGCCTCTTTGATATCGACAACAGCACAGGTGAGGCCTCTGCACCACACTAGCTCCTCAAGGCCAGCTCGGGGTATACTGGGTACCACTACTAGATCCAGAGCTTCCTCCTTGGTGCTGGAGAGCCCAGTTCCTGCAGCCCACATCCCCACACTGCAGCCCCCAGGAGGTGGGCGGAGCCAAAAGAAAGCTAGGAGAGGATGCAAAGGACTGACTAAGGCGCCATCTCTCAGCAGAGGCAGAGCCCTCACCCCTTTCCCAGGCCTGGGCCAGAGACTCAGGCCACTGGTCCCTCAGAAGTAGCCAGAGAAACTTCCTGTCCTCCGATCAGACCAGCAGCTCCCCAGAGACCAGGTCACATCCAGTGGCTGGTGGCAACAGGGAGGCACAGCCACTGATGCACAGGGCAACCCTCACCCTGGGCACCATTGCCAGGTAGGACTCTAGAGGGCTGCCGAGGACAGCCATGCAGGGACATCTACAGGGACACGCAGGCCCCCCAAAGCAGGGTGGCTGAACCCTTGGAAAAGAAAGTCACTGTGTAACATTCTCTGCCCCTTTCCTCTCCAAACCCATCCTACCCCGCCCTTGTCTCTCTCCACCTGCTGGCTCCCACACCTCCCCTGCCCCTCTTTCCCTTTATCCCCCTCCCTCCCCGGCTGGTGACACGGGTGCCAGGCGTGGTGACTGTCAGGTCAGGAGTCATCATTGACCGGGAGGCTTTCTCACCCCCCATCCTGGAGCTGCTGCTGCTGGCTGAGGACATCGGGCAGCTCAATGGCACAGCCCAACTGCTGGTCACCATCCTGGACGATAACGACAACTCGCCCACCTTTAGCCCCGCCGTCCTCACCGTCCACCTGCTGGAGAACTGCCCTCCAGGTAATGAGTCGGGTCCCTCGCTCCACCAGGCAGTGGTTGGTGGTCAGAGGTCACTGGGAGTCTAGATGGACGTAGAACTCATTTCTGGGGAATAAGACTGACAGCAAGGTGAATGGGGAGACCCCGGGGGTAAGAATCAGGTGACCCAGCACCACTGCCTTGTAGGCCATGGTTTATTGTGTGTCCAACAAGACATTTAAGAATGTTCCGAACCCAAGTGTGGGGGCACAGGCCTGCCATCCCAGAGCTTGGAAAGCTGAGGCAGGAGGGTCACCGTGAGTTTGAGGCCAGGCTGGGCTGCATAATGAGTTCAAGGCCTGAACTACATAGCCTGATCCTGCCTTTAAAACAAAAAAGACAAAAAAAAAAAAAAAAAAAACAGTTCCAACCATGTCCCTAGATGGTTTATTTCAAAATCAAAATCGGGCCAACATACTTTTCATCATAGTTAAAATTTAATTGTGTGGGCGGGGTAAATTTGATTCTGAAAATCACCTTGAAGAATAAGAAAATGGGGCCAGGGAGTTAGCTCAGCGACCTAAGTGCCTGCCTGGCAAATGCAAGGTCATGAGTTTGATTCCCGGTACCAAAACAAAACAAAAAAAGAAAACGTTGAGAACATAAGTATAATAAAGCCAGATTTTCCTCACCATATATCATAATGTATTACAGAGGTATGATGATTAAAACCATGCTATATAAAAACAAGACTGGAGAAAGTGGCCTATCAAAATACAGGTAAAGAATGTGATGGAAAACCAATTAGAGCTATTTAGAAAGCAAAAAAAAAAAAAAAACTAATCTAATCTATTAGATTAGATTATTATTATACAACTGGCAAGCAGTCTGATATAGGGTCTAATATTTAGGATAGATTCTCACCCTACATTAGACACCAGAATAAAACTCAAAGATTCTGAAGGAAATCTAGGGGGCCGGGGACTTAGCTCGGTGGCACAGTACCTGCCTGCCAAGCAGGAGGTCATGAGTTTGATTCCCAGTACCAAAAAAAAAAAATCTACAAGAGTAGAAAATGCTTGAGCTGGGCATGGTGGCTCGAGCCTGTAATCCCAGCACTCGGGAGGCTAAGGTGGGAGGATCGTTGGGAGTTCGAGACCAGCCTGGGCTACAAAGTGAGCTCAAGGCCAGCCTGAACTGCATATGACCCCATCTCAAAAAAGACAAAAAAAAAAAGAGGGGTAGAAAATGCTGAAAAATGAAAGCAGAAAATCAGGTAAATGTTCTTATCTGTTTTCTAGATAAGAAGGGTCCAAACATAAAGAAAAGAACTCAAAAACTTACATTTTAATGCATAAAATGGGAGCTGTTTCAGCATGTGTTTAGCATGCTTGAAGCTCTAGGCTCCATCCCTAGCACTTTAAAAAAGTTAAAACTTCTTCACATCTACTTCAAAAGCTGTAAACAATACTGAAATATGAACAACAAACTGAAAACAAAATATTTGCTATAAATCGTTGTATGAGGCAGTTTTCTATTGCTGTAATAAAATACCTGGGACAATCAATTTAAGAAGAAAGATTTATTTTTGGCTCATGGTTTTGGAGGGTTTAGTTTACCATCATTTTACCCCTCCACACTGCTTCTGGGCTGTGGAGAAGCAGTATATTATGGCATGGAACAAGCCACTCACCTTGTGCTGGCCAGGAAGCAGAAAGAGCAGATGGGCTGGGGTCTCAAGAGCACATTCAAGAGAAAGCCCTTGTGATCAGAAGACTTTGAACTAGTCTCCACCTCTGAAAGCTCCTGCCAGCTCTGCAGGGCACCTGGGGACCAAACCTTTGCTGTATGGGCCTTTTGAGAACATTCATCCAAACAACAGCGGTTATCATCGTTAGATACAGTTATTTGTATAAATGGACAGAAAAATGGACAAAGACCAAAGATAATTTTCAAAAGATCCAACTACCCTTTAAATTCTAAAATATTGTTTATAGCCAGGCATGGTGGCTCATGCCTGTAATCCCAGCACTCGGGAGGCTGAGACAAGAAGATCGTTGTGAATTAGAGACCAGCCTGGGCTACAAAGTGAGCTCAAGGCCAGCCTGAACTGCACAGAGAGACCCTGTCTCAAAAAGACCAAAAGATAAAAATAAGTAAATAGATAAATATTGTTTAACAAAAAATGTAAAATCTAATACCATTTGCTCTCCAATGGCAAACACAGGCATTGTGGCAAAGCTGTGGCGGGAAGGGTGCCTGCCAGCAAAGGGGTGTTGGTGGGATCTTCCTGGAAGATTCCATGCTCAGCTGCTCCCCAATCCTCCCCTGCAGGATTCTCAGTCCTTCAAGTCATGGCCACGGACGAGGACAGTGGCCTCAACGGAGAGCTGGTCTACCGAATAGAAGCTGGGGCTCAGGACCGCTTCCTCATCCATCCGGTCACCGGGGTCATCCGCGTTGGCAATGCCACCATTGACAGGGAGGAGCAGGACTCTTACAGACTCACAGTGGTGGCCACTGACCGGGCGACTGTCCCCCTGTCGGGCACAGCCATTGTCACCATCCTGATTGATGACATCAATGACTCTCGCCCCGAGTTCCTCAACCCTATCCAGACCGTGAGCGTGCTGGAGTCGGCAGAGCCAGGCACTGTCATTGCCAACGTCACTGCCATTGACCTTGACCTCAACCCAAAGCTGGAGTACCACATCATCAGCATCGTGGCCAAGGATGATACTGACCGCCTGGTGCCTGGCCAGGAGGATGCCTTTGCCGTGAATATCAACACAGGTACCAGGGCCTGCTGTCCCCTCCCCCTTCTCTGGCCTCCTGCCCAGTCCCCTTATCCCTTCTCTCCTCCTCTCTCTCTCTGCTGCTCCCAACACCACTCCCTTCTCCCCTTCCCCCTCTCCCTGGCTCCTCCAGCTGTCCCTTCTGTCCTTCCACCTGTGACCAGCTTGTCTGGCCTCTGTGGCTTCTTCTCTCCCAGCATCACAGAGGAGTCACACCAACACTCTGTGTTAGAGAAGTGTCATGGTCATAATTTTAGAGGAAAATGGCATCTTGTTTAATATGCATTTTTTAACAACTAAGTTCAATGATACACTTTCTTATAAGAATACTGGCCATTTAGATTGTCATTTATATCTGTGTCCTCGGTGATTTTTTTTTTCTTAATGATTTATTATGTGATCACAGAACAAAGAGAACTGTGGCTCAGTCTTCAGGACGTTTGCATCTTAGTGTCATGTTAAGCATTTTTTTCCACTTTTCCAAAAGTTTAGTGTTTCTGCTTCTCTGGGGAGTAGGAGAAGGGACACGGGGCCTTATAGGTGTACCTCCTGGAAGGCCTAAAGGAGGGACAGAAAATAACAAAGCTATGGCAGATTAGAGAATCACTGTTATTCAGAGTAATGCGAGATAAAACAGCACTGCAATGCCAGATTTCTATGTGTGCACTGATAGACATTAGGATCCCGGAAAATGTTAGTACTGGCGAAATTGGGGGGACATTAGAACTCTCCTGCTTCCTGTAGAGTTGAGACTGGTTCCCCCATCAGACAGCAACCCAGTACAAAGAGCACGCAGACCTCAGGACCCGCAATTCTACCTCCTAGCATATGTCACGAAGAAATTCTTGGCACTACTAGGGCCGGAGGGCACATTTACTGCAGGCTCACGCTGGTGCTGGGAGCTGGAGGCCATGCAGGGGTCCACCCCAGGAGGCTGGGAGTGGAGGGTGCACTCCGCGGGGCCACCTGCCTGAAGGGTGAAGGGGTGGCTATGTGAGAGATGTCAATGGCCCCAGCATGTCAGGAACCAAAGGGTGCCATTAACTCATCTGCAAAAAGAGGCAGGAAAGCCCCGCCCTGGCCAAGGTGGACAGCCTCCATCCTGGCGGCGCGGGCTGTCAGGACCATGGAGAGCTGCCCCGGCGCCCCAGGCCTGCTGCCCCTTTCTGTCCTCAGCCCTCCACTGACTCTCTTCTCCGTGTTTTTCTTTCCAGTGTCTTCTCTGCCCTCTTCCTCGGGCTCTCCCTCCTCCCTGCCTCCCCTTTCCTCTGCCCAGAGCCTCGCCTCTGAGGTCTCCCCTCCCGGGCTCTCCCAGGTCCCCCACCCCGTCCTCCCCTCCACCCCACGCCCCTGCCCTGATCCCCGCCCGCCGGGCCCACACTAACCAGTGCTAACCCTCTTCTCTCTTCCTCACGGCTGGCAGGCCCGCAGGTTTGAGCTCTGTTTCTGTCACTTCCCACCTCATCTTTTCTCTGCTTCACCCATTGCCTTCTCCATGCCCACCACATCCCCCACCCTCCCGTCGGTCCCGTGGGGCCCGGGGCCCAGGCCTTGGCCCAGCCTTTGCAGACTGAACGCAGCTGCCCTCTCCCCATCCTCGCTCCCCAGCCTGGGGGACAGGGAGCGAGAGTAGGAAGAGGAGGAGGAGGAGGAGGAGGCAGCGGCCCAGGGTAAGTGACCGCCCCACGGCCGGGGGACCCACGGAGGACAGACCCCAGCAGGGGAATCTGCCAGGGGGAAGAGTCCTGAGACAGAGAGGAGGGGCCACCCTAGGACAAATGAGGCCAAGGCCCTCAGCAGGCAGAAAGAAGACCCCATCCCCGAGATGAGGGCAAAATGGTCTGTCCGGCCAGGCCAGCAGACCCTGGGAGGTGCTGGGTAGGAGAGAAGTAACTGCTTGATGGTGCTACCTGGTACATCCCTGTCCTGCTGTCGGTCCTGTCCACTTATCTGAGAAAAAGTGTACACTTTTAGACCTACGTCGTTAGACCACAAGTGTCCAGCCCAACCCACCGCGGTGCCGCCTTCAGGGAAACCCTCAGGGCTTTTCAGCTGCCAGACCTTCCTTTATACTTGATCTCACTAGAACATAAGCAAGTTTTAAAGTTGGGGTGAAAGCCTGTAATGCCAGCACTCGGGAGGCTGAGGCAGGAGGATCATGGTCAGTTCAAGACCAGCCTGGACTACAAAGTGAGCCCAAGGCCAGCCTGAACTGCATAGTGAGACTCTGTCTCAAAAAGACAAATAATAAATAAATTTGTGATGAAATACACATAAAATTTACCATCTTCACCATTTTTAAGTGGACAATTCAGTAATGCAAAAGACATCTACCTGCTGTGGAATACATGATTTCCTTTGGTTGGTTGGTTTTTGTGCTGGGATCAAAATATTACCAGTTCTTAGGGTCACTAAGTTGCCCAGGAAGGACTCAGACTTGTAATCCTCCTGCCTCAGCCTCCCTCAGTGCTCAGATTACAGGTATGCACCCTTGCACTTGGCTTGGAATATAAGCATTTTGTAAACAAAATTACAAAGCATCATCTTTCTGCCAGGCACCCTCTTAGGCACTGCATAAGTGGAATTCACTTAAATTTTCTAGTCCTCCAAGTAGCCCTACAGGATAAGTACTCTAATTCCTCTTTTACACAGGAGGAAATTGAAAGGTAGGGGTTAAAGCTCTCACCTGGGATCACCAGCTAGTAAACAGTGTGCCAGTGGCTGTGGCCCATCCCAGACACAAATCCCAGGGTCCATGGAGGACTGTTGCCTTCTGTAGGGATCGGGAGGCTAGGCTAGGAGCAACTTGGGAGGCCCAGATTTTAGGAGTTTCCCCTCAAGCTGAAGCTGACCTGCTTGGTCCACAGGGTCGGTAATGGTGAAGTCCCCCCTGAACCGGGAGTTAGTTGCCACCTATGAGGTCACACTGTCAGTGACTGACAATGCCAGCGACCTACCAGAGCGCTCTGTCAGCGTGCCAAATGGTAAGGGTCTCCTATGCCAGTTTTTCATTGGTCACTGGGAGCCAGGGGGTGGGTCTGAAGCACACTCAGGCCTGGCCCCAGCAGTGCAGTGCAAGACTCAGCCGCAAGGGCTGCAGGGAATCAGACCAAACAGGGACATGGAAGGGAGCAGGCACTGCGGGGTTGGGTGGCAGTGTCTCTCAAGTTATGTGTCACTGGAGCCTCAAGGCTCTGAGTAGGAAAAGGGCTCAGGAAAGCCTAGAAGGGACTGAGAAAGGATGAGCTGACAGAGACTTAGGTCAGAATCCAGCTGTCAGATCTGATAACCAGGTTGTGACAGGAACCGGGATGTGACAGGAATCATGATCTGAGAGGAAGCTATGGGTCAGCAGAGAACGAGAAAAGGTGACTCAAGACCACAGGTGCTGGCTCCGTGGGGTGAGGCACTATGATCGAGGAGAGCCTGGCAGGTGCTGCATCTGTCTGCAGCGTGGGGTGCACTGGCAGGCGTGCTGGGGGTGGAGAGGGGTCAGCAGGGAGCGGGTGACCTCCAGGACCTCTGCCATGGGCAAGAACAGCGGCTGTGGTAAGGAGTTGGCCTGGCGGGTATCAGCACTTACCTTCACAATTCAGAAGCCCTAGTCTTCTGGAGGGAAGGGCAGACACTGTCATTGCATGCGTGTCCCCAGGCCAGGTTGGCTGTGTGACAGGGACCAGGCAGATGGGCTGCAGCAGGCCAAGTCTTGGAAAAGGTCTCCCATCTAGCAGTGAGGAGCCAAGGCTCCCAGCCAGCTGCTAGGGCCCAGGCCGCATCCCCTTGTGGAAGGGGCAGTGACCAGCCCAGCAGTGTGAGTCAGTCCTCATGCAGTCCCAGGGAGGCCATGACACGCTCCCCCCAGCGCCACCACACCTCCGGTGCTGAACTTCACCCTTGCCTGCCCTGCAGCCAAGCTGACAGTCAACATCCTGGATGTCAATGACAACACGCCCCAGTTCAAACCCTTCGGGATCACCTACTACACAGAGCAGATTCTGGAGGGGGCCACTCCGGGCACCACGCTTATCGCCGTGGCTGCTGTGGACCCCGACAAGGGTCTGAATGGGCTGATCACCTACAGCCTGCTGGATCTCGTGCCCCCTGGCTACGTCCAGCTGGAAGACCCCTCAGCAGGTAGCGGGGAAATCTGCCAGAGGAGGGTCGGGATGTATATCCACCTGCTTAGCCTCTGGGCAGGGCCGTGGCTGGCTTCCTGCCTCTGGCTTGCCCCTCGGCAGGCTGTGCTGGATGCAAGATGGTCAGTGTGCCATTCACTGCCAGATACACAAAGCAGAGGAAAGGGTGGGGCACCCTGTCCTGTTTGGGATGGAAACCCCTGAGGTGTTTGCTGGGCCCTGGCTACCATCCCAGGCCCCTACCATTGGGCGGGTATCCCTTGGGAGCAGGAAAACCACGGAAGGGTGAAGAGGAGGTGTGGAGGGGTGTGCTGTGGACACCTTCTCTCCTCCCTCTGAGGAGAACACCCACATGCCAGTTCTGCTCAGCCTCTGGCCTTTCACGGGCCACTGCTGCCTGCTCACCTCCTTAGAGGCCTCACCTGCCTCTCAGTGCTCCAGATCTTTTTCCTCATGCTTTGTAGAGCCACCATGAATGAGAGTGACCAAAATGGTGGCGGATGCCTCTGTGTTTCAGGAAAGGTCATTGCCAACCAGACGGTGGACTATGAGGAGGTCCATTGGCTCAACTTTACCGTGAGGGCCTCAGACAATGGTTCCCCACCCCGGGCAGCTGAGATCCCCGTCTACCTGGAGATTGTGGACGTCAATGACAACAACCCCATCTTTGACCAGCCCTTCTACCAGGTGGGTGGCAGGCTGGGTAGGACCTGGCCTGTTCCTTGAGGTCTTTGCATGTTCCACACCTGCCTAATAGCCCCTAAGCCCCCGCAGTGCCTGGTTCACCGTGTCAGCAAGCCCTTGTGGCAAGGTGTGGCCTCAGGGGCTGACCATGGGCCGCCCTTTTTCTCTCTCTCCAGGAGGCTATCTTAGAAGATGTGCCTGTGGGCACTGTCATCCTGACGGTCACTGCCACTGATGCGGACTCAGGCAACTTCGCCCTCATCGAGTACAGCCTCGGGGACGGGGAGGGCAAGTTTGCCATCAATCCCATTACGGTAAGTGGTGATGGACGGCACGGGGTGTGAAAATACCCCCAAGTATTTTTCCACATCACACTGGTCCTGGGTTCCCCAACTGGACATCTGGCCTCAGAGGTGCTTCAGCCAAGTCAGCCAACGCCCTTCTTGGAACCCCGGACATCTTGTAGACTGTGGCCTTCCTGTCCTAGCAGATATAGGAGGAAGTGACCAAAGTCTTGATGAGACAAAAATTTCTGCAATGTGTCATTTGATGACCAAGTAATTTTTTGAGACTGTCAAGAAAGAGATGTGCAGAAAATGGACACATTTGGGTACCTACTGTATGCACACCCCTACACTCACTGCTGAGAGAGGGAAGATGCCCCAAAAGGCAGATCCCTGTGTTCCAGTGAGTTTCAGGTCTGGGGGAGCAAGAGTTCAGGAGAAAAGATGGACCATAGCTTCAAACATCTAATTGCTGTTTGCAGCACGGGGGCACAGAGGCCTGGGGCAGCCCCTAGGCAGGGCACCCCCTGTTGGTTGCAGCTGGAACTGCGCTTCCCTTCCCACTGCCCATCTGTCCATCTCCCCTTACATTCTGCCCCTCCAGGGGAGTTAACTCCTGCCTGGAGTGAGCAGGCAGATGTGGCTCCTGGCTCAGCACTGGGGACAGTGTTTGGAACACTTGCTCTGTGGCAGCTCTGGCCAGGTGGTTGGCACAAGCCCGAGCTGGTTACCCATCTTAGGTAGACTGGTTAGTGAATGCAAGAACCACTAGAATGGGGCTGCCACGGAGGTCCACTGAACTGACTAGGGGCAGGGGCTTTTGTTCAGCACTGTATCTCCAGAGCCCCAAACAGTGCTTGGTCCTGATCAATGCTCAATAAATGTCTTGACTGGGTGATGGACCTGAAGCCCCCCTCCCTCACTAGGGTGACATCTATGTGCTGTCCTCTCTGGATCGAGAGAAGAAGGATCACTATATCCTGACCGCCTTGGCCAAAGACAACCCTGGGGATGTGGCCAGTAACCGTCGGGAGAACTCAGTGCAGGTGAGGGGTGCAGCCTGGGGCAGTAAGCAGCACTGTAGGGGGGACCGCTGTGAACAGAAACAGCCACCGAGTCCCCTCGGAGATGTGCTGGCAAGAAGGAGAGACCAAGAGGCTGCCTGGATGGGATATAGTGGCTGCGACTTAGGAAGAAAGGGGTTCTGGGAGGACTCTCTTTGTGCCACACTGCTGCGCAGGCAGCTAAACACCCCTGGGTGTGATGCAGGTAAAGCCTGGTGCTCTGTGTGCCCCAGTGTCTGCAGAGTATCTTACCAGAAGGAACAGTCTAGCAACCAAGCACAATTATAAAACTGTTGCCTTTATCACTCAAGGATATTAATGAGAGCTCAAACTCCAGCCCCCTTTCCAGTCCAGTTCTGGTGTCCACACTGTGACTCTGAGGCCAGCGTCTCACTGTCTGAGCTCTTTTCTACCCAAAATGCCAAAGCCAACCATGGTGGCACATACCTGTCATCCTGGCACTCAGGAGACTGAGGCAGGAGGATCCCTGTAAGTTTGAAGCCAGCTGGGGCTACATAGTGAATTTAGGTCAGTCTCAGGCTGCATAGCAAGACACTGTCTCCAAAAAAAGCAAAGCAAAAATCAATCCTCGATGCTTTGCTGTCTCTTTATCCTTCTCCCTAATTATGCAAAGGAAACTCTCCAGAAGGGGTTGGAGGGTTGCCGAGTGGACCCAGATAAGTCCCTTTTGCGGGTAGAGGGTCAGAACTGGTAGCACACACACATGGCCGCAGCCTGTCCCTGCCGGGTATGCATGCACCATGCAGAGAAAAACAGCCTTTGGAGTAGCCTGAGGTTCCATGAGCTGAGCACACTGCCTTTGCCCGTGAACCTCTCTGAAGCTCAGTTGTCCCATCTGCAAGGAGGGCAGCAGAAGTGGCAGGAGGGACAGGGGACATGAGGTGGTTTGACTGTGCTTTGCACATGGAAAGGGAGTCTTCAGAATCGCTGTGCTGCAGGGCTCTGCGGGCTCTACGGTCAGGAAGGGCCACAGGTGAGGAAGAGAGGCCTCCTGCTCCACTGTGTCCCTGAGCCCTGTCCCTGCCCTGGGGGACACAAGCCCCTCTCCCCCAGGCACAAATTTCAGGTGAGAGGGGTCTGAGGGAGGAGAGGAGCCCTGACAGCCCAGCATGAAGGTCCAAAGAATGGAACCACAGCTCCAGGGCCACTGTGTGACTCAGCAAAGGACAAAGGAGAAGGGGAAGATAAGGGGTCCCACTGCTGCAGGTCCAGGCTCAGACCACATGCCACCCAGAAGCCTAGTGCTTGAGCATGTCTTGGGACCCGGCACTGCACTAAGGAGCCAGAAGACATCACTTTGTGTGAGCTCCCAGGGAAGCTGAGAGAAGACACTGTTGTCCCCATTGTAGCTGGGGGAAACTGAGGCTGTGGGGGTTAAGTAGGTGGTCTGATGTCAGACACATGAGAAGACCACGCCCCCTCCCAGGGGGGACCTGTCCCTGTCTACCTCACCTTATTCCTTCGTGATTGGTCCTCTGAGGCAGCCTCCATGGTGCTCCTGATTTTGGGCCTTGACCTTTGACCTCCCCCAGGTGGTGATCCAAGTGCTAGATGTGAACGACTGCCGGCCCCAGTTCTCCAAGCCCCAGTTCAGCACGAGCGTGTATGAGAACGAGCCGGCGGGCACCTCCGTCATCACCATGCTGGCCACTGACCAGGACGAGGGCTCCAATGGGGAGCTGTCCTACTCACTTGAGGGCCCCGGCATGGGTACGCGGCTCACCGTATGCTCAGGGTGATGTGGGGTTGGAAGGAGCAGGGTGCCACACCACAGCTCCAGACCAGCAGGACGAGGGCTGTTCTTCTGCCCCCCCCACCAGAGGCCTTCCACGTGGACACAGACTCTGGCCTGGTGACCACGCAGCGCCCCCTGCAGTCCTACGAGAGGTTCAACCTGACGGTGGTGGCCACAGACGGTGGGGAGCCCCCACTCTGGGGCACCACCATGCTCCTGGTCGAGGTCATCGACGTCAATGACAACCGCCCTGTCTTTGTGCGCCCACCCAACGGCACCATCCTGCACATCAGAGAGGTACGCCTGGCCCTGGGGCCTGCGCTCCCCAGCGGCCCCTTCCCTCCTCCAGCTTCTGGGTCCTGCAGTCGAAGCCCAGCTCAGTGGAAGGCCCTTCCTTGTCAGGGTAGGGAAACTGAGGCCAGGCAGGGGCAGACTTGTGCAGTGCACACAGAGCAGTATTGAACAATAGTCATCAGTGTGGGCCACGTTAGCAAAAGATATTGGGTTCAAGTGTCAGTTGACTGCTTACCAGCCAAACAAACTTGAGTAAGCAACTTCTCCGAATCTGTGTTTCCTCTGCAAATGGACTAAGAATAGTAAATGCCCTGTCCCTAGATATCTACCGAGAAGGACAGTCTGCCCCAGTGCCCACTTCCCCCGTGCTTGTCTCAAAATAAACATCCGACCAGCGCTCCTGCTGACACCCAAGTGCAGGCAGCCCCAGCAACCGGCGGATGGGGTGGCTGGGGGTCTGGACTGTCTCCAACCCTGCTTTCATCCCTTGGTCTAAGTTGCCATGGAAAGCCACAGGAAGTCTCCATCTCCTACTCTTCCCCTTCCTCCTGAAACTCTCACTCCAAATGCCCCTTGGTGGTACAGTCAGAGTATCCGAATTGCTCCCCCCAACACCTGCCCAACAATTCAGCAAATCTCCATACCTCAGGATGCTAAGACAATGTTGCCACTTCGTCTCCTCTCTGAGGCCCCAAAGGAGCAAACCTTCCCAGGGCTGAGCTCCAGGAACCCCAGCCCTGCAGTCCCTCTGGTCTGTGGTGACCGAGTGGCCTTTTCACTCTGCCTGCTAGGAGACTCAGTGTACTCAGCCCACTTTGAACGACCTTGCAGAGACTGAGACCCATGCTTTTCCCTCAGCTTCCATCTTCTTGCCAACAGCTAGTTTCCATTATCCTAATTTTGTAACTCATTCAATCTCATTCTAATTTGTATATTCTTTTCAGTTGCTTCAAATCTTTTTTGTGGAGTGAAATAGTATGTAAATTAATAATAATCTAGTTGTTTTCCACACCAAAGGTCCCATTTGCTAAGTTTTCCCCTTCAAGGGCTCCATATTTGGGAAGATTTATGGCCCCTGAACAACCAGCATTTATAAAGTAATGATCTATTTGTCATTCTACTTTTTATTAATTAGATGAAACTGCCATTTGGGACTTCCTGATTGTCATGACAGATGATATAAGCATTAAAGCCATGCTGAGCTGATAATTTTTCAACTAAAAGCATAGAATGTGCTTTTTTTCTTTTGCCCTGCACATCCTTGTCATGAGTTGCTGTGTGATTCATTAGGTTTTTGGTGCTTTGATCTAACTTGAGGGAATTCAGGAGCCCGAGGCTCAGACTGAGTACAGGTCCAAGTTCCAGGGTGAGGTCAGTAACGGTCTCTAGCCACCAAGTCATGCTGCCTGAGTGTTCTCCATTTCCTGGCTCTGTACTGCACAGGTAGCTCTGTTTGGAGACACCCAGATTTCTAAATTAGGGTGGCGGAGGGAGCAAGATAGACACAGGACACACGGCTTGTGTGGCCCCAGTTTCGGGATTTCTTCTGCCAATTCCCCTACGGTTCAGCATGCAGGGGGATGGCGTGACCGCGTGGGCAGGTGGTCACCAGGGGCCGAGGGAAGCATGTGAATTCGGGGTGGACTGACTGTCAGTGGTCAGTGCAGTTGGCTTGGGGTGGAGGAACAGGTAGCAGAGGCTCAGGATCCCTGAGACCCCGCCCTGCAGGCCAGCGCTCCCTAAGGGCACTGGCCAGTGGCGAGGACTCCCAGCAAGAGCTCCCTCCGATGGCCGGACGCCCCTGTCCCTGTCCTCCCCTGCAGGAGATCCCGCTGCGCTCTAATGTGTATGAGGTCTACGCCACAGACAAGGACGAGGGCCTCAATGGGGCAGTGCGCTACAGCTTCCTGAAGACAGCAGGCAACCGTGACTGGGAGTTCTTCACCATCGACCCCATCAGCGGCCTCATCCAGACGGCACAGCGCCTGGACCGCGAGAAGCAGGCGGTGTACAGCGTAAGGAGCGCGCTGGGCAGGCTTCCCTGCAAGAACCCCCTGTGGGGCCTGTCCCGGGGAGTTGGGGACTGCGCACCTGGGCTCCAAACTCCCTCCCCACCTTTCTCTCTGCTCTCCTCCACCCCCAGCTCATCTTGGTGGCCAGTGACCTGGGCCAGCCGGTGCCATATGAGACCATGCAGCCACTACAGGTGGCCCTGGAAGACATTGATGACAATGAACCTCTCTTCGTGAGGCCTCCCGTGAGCCAGTCCATCCCCTGCACTGGTCACACCTGCACAGGGACTGCCTGCCTGCCCACACACACACTGCACACGCTCCCCTGTGCACAGTGCCCTAAAACACGTTGGTTACACGCGGGAAACATCTGTGTACACGCGCTTTGCATGAGGACCACTAGTCACTGAGCAGCCGTGCTTTATTTGTCCTGAGGCCTGACCCAGTGGTCAGCAGAGCAGACACAAATGCCTGGTTCTTGGAGCTGGTACTTTGTATGGGGGAGGGGGGTGTACATGTTTGCACACACAGACACCAAGCAGGAAAATCATCTCATGATTTATTGAGTCTTGTCCCCTTGAACTGTCATATGCCTGGATGTCCCCTGGACATCCAGTGTTGCACACATGACAGTGTGTAGGTGCTCTGTGGTTTAAGTGCTCGTTCAGAGCCCAGGGAAACTGCTGAGAGCTTGCCAAGCCCAGCCTCGTCCTCAAAGATGTCACCATTGGGCAGTAACTCCATGGCCCCCACCAAGCCCCTGCCCCAGGTGGGAGTGGGAAGCTCCCCATGGCCTCCGATGATGGTGTCCTCCTCCCCCTGCAGAAAGGCAGCCCCCAGTACCAGCTGCTGACAGTGCCCGAGCACTCACCCCGTGGCACCCTCGTGGGCAATGTGACAGGTGCCGTGGACGCTGATGAGGGCTCCAATGCCATCGTGTACTACTTCATCGCAGGTGGGGCCTAATGGAGCGAGTGCCCTGCCTGCCCTGCCGCTGGAGATGCCCACTGAGCCCGGCCCTCACCCCGAGTCATGTGCCCCCTGTAGCTGGCAATGAGGAAAAGAACTTCCACCTGCAGCCTGACGGGCGCCTGCTGGTGCTGCGGGACCTGGACCGGGAGCGGGAAGCTGTCTTCTCCTTCATTGTCAAGGCCTCCAGCAACCGCAGCTGGACGCCACCGCGAGGACCCACCCTGACCCTCGACCTGGTCACCGACCTCACCCTGCAGGAGGTGCGCGTGGTGCTAGAGGACATCAACGATCAGCCGCCACGCTTCACCAAGGCGGAGTACACTGCAGGTGCAGGGGCCAGAGCCGGGGCACGGGGCGTGGGAGGCTCCTCCCTGCCACTCACACCGCCCCGTCTGTTCCTGCAGGGGTGGCCACCGATGCCAAGGTGGGCTCAGAGCTCATCCAGGTGCTGGCTCTGGACGAGGACATCGGTAACAACAGCCTCGTCTTCTACGGCATCCTGGCCATCCACTACTTCCGGGCCCTCGCCAACGACTCGGAGGATGTGGGCCAGGTCTTCACCATGGGTAGGAGGCTGGCCATACACAGGGGCCTAGCCAAGGCCTTGCATCGCTGTGCGGACTGTAGCCTGGAGGACATGGGTCTGTGAGCAGCACAGCATGTGGTGGCCTCCAGCCAACAGTCAGTCCGTCTGTCTGTCCATCTCTGCCTATTCATTCAGCACTCCGCTTGTTCCTTTCCTGTACTCTTCTCATCTGTTACTCATTCACCCGTCCCTCGTCCATCCTTCCATCTTCCGGTCCTCCTTTCCATCATCTGCCCCCGTCTTTCCAGCTGTGCCTCTTCCCTCTCGTGTGCCAGGTGGAATCAAACACCTACAGATAAGAACATTTGCACGGGGGCTGGGGATTTAGCTCAGCGGCATAAGCGCCTGCCTTGCAAGCAGGCAGTCGTGAGTTCGATCCCCGGTACCGATAAAAAGGAAAAAGACCAAAAAAAAAGAACATTTGCATGCACTGGCCATGGCTGAGACCGGGGCCTCTACCCGTTACCTGCCCCTCTTGTTCTACAGAACCTTGTCTGGGTGCCAGTCTTAAGCACCAGGAAGATTCCTGGCCTGGCACTCAGGGCTCACAGGTCTTCCTCCCAGCCCCCTTCTGCAACCCCCTGCCACCCGCCGTGTCTAGCTGAGCAGAACCAGCTGCTCCCTCAGCCAGCTCTGTCCATCTAGTTCCTGGGCCAGCTCCTCCCATTATACAACCAGACACTGTCACTTCGACCTCTGAGCCGTCACTGCTCAAGAGACTCAGTAGCTTGCTAAAGGTCATGCAGCCATAAAGAAACTGATCTGAACCCAGGTCTAGTTTTTTAAGTGAAGTCTGTGCTGGCTGGCATGGCGGTCACACCTGTATCCCAGAACCCAGGAGGCTGAGGCAGGAGGACCATCGGGAGTTTGAGGACCACCTGGGTCTATATAGGGAGTTCAAGGCTGGCCTGAACTACATAATGAGACCCAGGGAGACTCAGAAAGATAGACAGACAGACAGACAGACAGAGACAGAGACTATACTGTGTCACCTCTGGTTGTCCCTGACTGTGTGGAATCCTGAAGTACATGTGTACAAGAGACACTAAGGGCTCAGAAGTGGCCCTGGCCCCTCAGCATGGGACATTAGAGTCACAAACTTGTCATCTTTGGGCCAGAACATTCCACAGTTGTATTTTAATATGCAACACTTTAATTAAAACTTAGACGATGGTTTTAAATGATGGAATCTCACCAAGCATGGAAATACATGTTTTCTCTAGCGGAGCACAGGTCTGGTGGCGTAGGCTGCACACTGTGACAGTACTCAGGGTTGCTCCCCTTTGGATGGGCATTGTTCTCATTCAGCCCTCACCTTTCCTGCTGCTGAGGCCTCTGGGCATCTCTGCCACCCCGCCCAGTGTCCCCACACCCCCAGGGCCCTTGCCCCTTCCGGGAGGGGGCACAGGGAAGACTGAGCTGTGCCCCGCTCTCGGGCTCCTCCTGCAGGGAGTGTGGATGGCATCCTGCGCACCTTTGACCTCTTCATGGCCTACAGCCCTGGCTACTTTGTGGTGGACATTGTGGCCCGAGACCTGGCAGGGCACAACGACACGGCCATCATTGGCATCTACATCCTGAGGGATGACCAGCGCGTGAAGATTGTCATTAATGAGATCCCTGATCGAGTGCGGGGCTTTGAGGAGGAGTTCATTCGCCTGCTGTCCAACATCACTGGTGCCATTGTCAACACGGACGATGTGCAGGTGGCCCAGGGGACCAACCTGGGAACTAGGGGCAGCAGAAGGGGAAGGGAGGCCAGGCTACAGGAGAGGGATGTGATGGCGAAGTCGGGGCACGAAAGAGGGTATGTGCCTCCTCGGCTTCTCCCAGACCTTTGGGTCTCAGTTTCCTCATCTGTAAACTGGGGCTGATAACAGTGCCTGTGTCTCTGTGTGGATAAATCGACTGGCACCACACTTGGTCCCCCCCCAGTGAGCACTGAGTAGTGCTAGGTCTACTTTAGGGCAGGGCATTGGGGGTTCCAGGGAGAGTCTTTCCCACCCTGGCCCCTGGCCCCCAACGTCCCTTCTCTTCTAGTTCCACGTGGACAAGAAGGGGCGGGTGAACTTCGCACAGACAGAGCTACTCATCCATGTGGTGAACCGTGACACCAACCGCATCCTGGATGTGGACCGGTGGGTGGGGCCTGTGCTTGGCCTTGGGTAGGGGACCCACCGAGGAGGCCCAGACACCGTCAGCGTCCCTCTGAGCCTTGCTCTCCCCATGTGTGGAATGGAAGTCTGCCCGTCCATGAGGACTGAATGGGACCTGGGTGAAGGCCTGGAGCCCTGAAACCCACCACGCTGACTTAGTGGGGTGGGCTTCCCCCTGCACGATGTCAGGGGGAGGGTGAACTCTGAGGGTCAAGGCAGGCTGGCAGCAGGTACCAGTCATTGTCAGGCTTGACTGCTGCGGGCTCTTAGGCGATGGCTGAGCTGGGAGCTGAGCCCTGCCGCTCATCCAGGGTGATCCAGATGATCGATGAGAACAAGGAACAGCTGCGGAATCTTTTCCGGAACTACAACGTCCTGGACGTGCAGCCCGCCATCTCCATCCGGCTGCCAGATGACATGTCCGCCCTGCAGGTACCCACGGCACTGCCTTCCCTGGGGCCTGGGCTCTGCCCAGAGCCCACCTGCTGATACCTGGCCTGCTCACCTTGCAGATGGCGATCATTGTGCTGGCCATCCTCCTCTTCCTGGCGGCCATGCTGTTCATCCTCATGAACTGGTACTACAGGACTGTGTGAGTGTCCCCACCCCATCCCGACCTGGACTGAGGCTGTGCTCCTAGACTGAGTGGCACAGAGGCAGGTGGGGCCACCGGCCCGAGATGCAAGCCCAGCCACCTCACAGCACCTCTCTGCTTCTCCCCAGACACAAAAGGAAGCTCAAAGCCATTGTGGCAGGTTCGGCAGGTGAGTACAGGTTGCAGTGATGAGGCGGGGGGAGGGTGAGGTACCACAGCTGGCTGCACCCCTTCTTTCCCCTCCATACCCCAGTCCTTCTCCCTGCAGGGAACCGCGGCTTCATCGACATCATGGACATGCCCAATACCAACAAGTACTCCTTCGATGGGTGAGTGGCTCCTGACCCTGTGGCAGAGTCCCCAGCAGCCTCCAAGCCATGGAGAAACCTGGAGTGTGATCGCCCCCTGGTGGCCTAGCCACTCTTCTCCCCATCTGGGAAACCAGAGCTGGACACCCTGCCCCAATTCCTGAGGGACGCACTTTGAACGCTGGGTGGGAGGTGAGGCAGGGTGAAACCTCCATGCCAAACCTACCCAGACTGCCACATGCCTCCCTCTAGCAGGTTCCTGGAGTGGAGGCTGCACCCACAGATGACATCTATAAGGAGTTACCCAGTTTTGAGGGCATCTGTCCATTGCAGCCCTCCTTCTTTGCCAGCTCAATTCTACACCCTGTCCCCCAACTATAGAGCCAACCCCGTGTGGCTGGATCCCTTCTGCCGGAACCTGGAGCTGGCAGCCCAAGCCGAGCACGAGGATGACCTTCCTGAGAACCTGAGTGAGATCGCCGACCTGTGGAACAGCCCCACCCGCACCCACGTGAGCCAGGCCAGGGCAGGGCCAGGCCAGCATTGGGGAGGGCTGGGGGAGAGGCAGTTCCTTGCCACCTCTGGTCAAGGAGCTGGGTCCTTTAGGAGTGGCCCTATGGGGCATGTGCATGCAGGTGGACTCTGCCCCAGCTAACACCTCCTCTCCCCAGGGAACTTTTGGGCGTGAACCAGCAGCAGTCAAGCCTGACGATGACCGGTACCTGCGGGCAGCCATCCAGGAGTATGACAACATTGCCAAGCTGGGCCAGATCATTCGCGAGGGGCCCATCAAGGTGAGCCCTCCGCGGAGGCTGCTGTGCCCAGCCCCTAGCTGAACATGGACCCCACTCCCAAGAGTGCAGGGACTCAGCTAGACCTACCGAGGTGAGGCCAGCACAGTAGGGCCACCAAGGCTAAGGGTGGCTCCAGTGGCCTGGAGGCTAGGGCTCTGAGCCGACATGAGCTGCTGTCACTAGGCTCCTGAGCCCCTGTCCTAGGATCCCAAGTCTGTGCACCTACCTCCCACTCCCATGGGAGCAAGGTGGCCTCGGTGGGGTTAACCCTCTCCCTCCCCCAGGGCTCGCTGCTGAAGGTGGTCCTGGAGGATTACCTGCGGCTCAAAAAGCTCTTTGCACAGCGGATGGTGCAAAAAGCCTCCTCCTGCCACTCTTCCATCTCCGAGGTAGCCGTGGGCGGGCGGGAGCTGTGTGCCGTGCCCCATTTCTGGGGATGCTCTGTCACTCTCCTGCCCTTCTCAGTGTTCTGAGCTCAGCAGTCAGGGCCAGACACCTGAGTGTGGTCCAGGAAGGGGTTTCTTGGGGAAGGGATAGATCTCAGAGGCAGAACTTCTCAGATTCCAGGAGCCCCAAATACCTTTGAGGGCTGATGTCACTCTAAGAAATAAGCTATCGGGCCGGGGATTTGGCTCAGTGGCATAAGCAACTGCCTGGCAAGCATGGGGCCGTGAGTTTCACCCCCTGTACCAAAAAAGAAAGTGGCAGTCAGGGTCAATGGGACCTATGTATATGTCAACATTAACAAAGTGCTCAAGTCCCAGCACTCAGGAGTTTAAAGCAGGCTTACCTCCAGTTTGAGACCAGCCTGAACCAGATTCCAGCTGGATCTACACTGTACTTTTGTCCTGTGTGACAGGGGTTTGAGAGTGCTGAGTTCTGACCACATCCTATGTGTTCCCTTCCATTCGCCTGAGGATATGTTTGACTTTGACATGGCTGTAGTTGGTCATGCTTTTGGCCAGCTTGGTTACAAACCCAGATACAGATGTGCCACGGGATTGTTAGAGGGGAGTGAGTATATTAAGAACAAGATTTTCAGAGGAAGCCCAGATTCCCACCGTGTCCCCTCTGCAGCCAGTCTGAAGGTGGTCCTGGAGGATTTCCTGCGGCAGGGTCAGAGGCCGCCAGGCCTGCTAGGACATCCCTTATGTGAAGTAGGGAGGAAGCAGGTGCACAGCCAGTGGGACTCTGGGGTCACCCACTTGCTCACCCTTTGGCATGGCCCTGAGCCTGTGGGTGTTCCTGAGCCACTGGGAGGTCCTGGCCTCTTGCAGCTGATCCAGACGGAGCTGGACGAGGAGCCAGCGGACCACAGCCCAGGCCAGGGCAGCCTGCGTTTCCGCCACAAGCCACCCATGGAGCTCAAGGGGCCAGACGGGATCCACGTGGTACATGGTAGCACCGGCACGCTGCTGGCCACCGACCTCAACAGCCTGCCCGAGGATGACCAGAAGGGCCTGGCCCGCTCACTGGAGACACTGACCACTGCAGAGGCTACCGCCTTGGAGCGTAACGCCCGCACGGAGTCTGCCAAATCCACACCCCTGCACAAGCTCAGAGACGTGATCATGGAGAGCCCCTTAGAGATCACAGAGCTGTGACTGTCAGGGACTGCACTGGTGTGAGCCGCTAGTGCAGGTCGGAAGCCAGGTCAGGCCCTCAGGCCAGCTCTGTGGGGACAGCCTTGGGTCAACCCTGATGGCGAACACGGCTGCTCATACAGATTCAACTCTGCCAGATGCTCATCAGCATCCGATCTCTACCTTCATAAGATTTATTTTTTTATGAAAATCGAACAAAAATGCTAAGCATTCAAGGACATGGTTAAGAAGGATCACTGGGGGCCCAAGAGTCTGAGGACAGCTCTGTTGAGCAGAAGAGACCAAGGAGGCCCTTCCCGCCCTGCTCCACCCAGGTCCACCCGCCACCCCAGAGCAGGGGCCCAGCAGCACTCGCACTGGCCTGCCTCAGTCCCGTCCCACCACTCTCTTGCCACCTCCCCACTGCCCATCCAGGCGCAGGCTGAGCGACCCTGCCCCCCCACACAGCCAAGGCCAATGGCAACAGACGAGCATTCTCCATTTCGCTGGCTTCCCTGATGTGCCCAGCTTATAAAGAGAAATGACTGGCATCCCCCTGGGTTTTCAATGTAGAGTGTTTGTGTGCGTTCCTTTTTAAAATTACTCCCTCAATACTTGAACTGGTACTCACTGAAAATTTCTGGAATGGTCTGTTTGAAAAGAAAACTAACTGACAAGGACCTGGCAATACACTGGCTCTGGTAAACCACTGTGTGCTAGCTTTCAGCTCTTCCCCAAATCCCCAGGATACCCCACCCCACCCCAAGGCTTCCCTTTCCTGGCCAGGACAGTGCAAGGGCCCAAGCTGTCACGAAGCACTCACTCAGGCCTGGAACTGGTTAACAGAACTTTATTGTTAAATCACAGAAACTTTAGTGCAAAACAAATGAAAATCACTAAGTCCGTTTAATAGCAAGTAGCTGGCTTGCTGGCTTTGTCTGCAGCCTCCCAGCAACCAGAATGGAAAAGTTTCAGGGGCCAAACGGGCAGCAGCCAAGACCCAGCCAGTACCCATCCTGCAGGGGCCTCAGCTTGCACTCTACCAGGCAGAGGCTAGGAGCTTGTCATCCACATAGATCTGAAAGGGGAGGGGACCAGGGCATGCCGAGCACGAAGCGGGGCCCTGGCGGCCACAGACAGACACATGAGCAGACAGACAGTGGTCACCATTGTGCAAAAGCCTCACACATAAGCCAGGCCCGCAGGCCCTGCACAGAGTCAACAGGTTACAGTCAGGCAATTGCCCCTCCCCACCCCACCCCACCCCCAGTACCCCAAACAAGGCATCCACAGGAAGACAGGCAAGCAGAATCAAAAGCTGACCCAGGACAACAAACCTGAGTCACTGGGACAATGTCCCACCAGTGTCCTCTGAGCCACCAAGAGCTACTCCCAAACTGTGCTGTTACACTGGGAATTCTGTTACTTTCAAAGCCTAATTATTCTGAGCTTCTATCTTTCACATGAAACTGCCTTTGTCTGGCAGCAGGAAGGGAGGACAGTCCCTCTGCAGGGTAAGAGCCCAGAGCCCGGCTACCTCTCAGGGTGGGGAAGAAGGTCCAAGCCCACACTGAGAACTCCTCCCCCAGCAGGTGCCAGGCGAGGGCAGCTGAGACCTCTGGCCCAGTGTGTCCTCAACCTTCCAGCACACAAAGGACACTGAAAGTGGCTATGGCGCCTCCCACGTGACAGCACTGCTACAGAGAGGGAAAGAAATGGGCTCAAGGGAAGGAACCTAAATTGTAACAAAGTCATACAGATCTGTGTGTTCGTTACCACAGACACACAAGGAGAAAAGGATGCTACAGTTCCTGCAGGAACGATGCTCTAGTTCCACACATGACGTTTGCAGTGTTCGACAGCCTGCGGGAGTGAGGAGACTGAGTTTAGGCTTCAGATGGCAAACTCTCTCCTAGCCCATCAGTGTATCACACATCAGTCAGAAACAGGCCTCGGCCTCTTCCTCCAGGTCTGCTGAGGGCCCAGGGCCTCTTCACCACTCACACCAGCCCCAGCCTGCTGCTGCATGGCCACCCAAGGTCAGACCCTGTCCAACAGCCAGGGTGTGGGTCTCCCTGTCCCTCCCTGCAGTGCCACGATGAATCATCTCCTGATGGGGTCACAGGGAACCCCAGGGAGGAAGGAAAAGTTGCACAAAGGAACGTTAAGTAACGTTTGGCCTTTTCTGGGCCCCAAGTCCCCACCCAGGAAAGCAGCATCAGTCACCCCCAACTGGTGTCTGCTCAGCCAGGACCGTGATGGCACCAGGCAGCTGCCGACCAGGGCTGACACTCCGGGTCGGCTGCTGGCGAAAAGCTCCACCTGAGCAGGTGACGATGCAGGCTGGGCTCCAGCAAGACCAAGTGTGCTGCAGGACGCATTTTACAGGGGTCCCAAGGCCTTGTCAATCCCTGGTGTGAGCCCAGGGACACCTGGCACTGTCACAGGGAAATGGAGCAGGAGAGTGGAAATAGCCACCTGCTTCACTCCCTAGACCACAGGGCAGGCCTGAGTGGGCCTGTTTCCCTCCTCCCAGAAGGCATGCTGGGCTGGGGTGTGGAGCAGTCACCCCTACTCACATTGCACTGTGCTGCTGTCTCCATGTTGTGGCACCAGTAGCTGGGGCCCCACACACACTTCTCAGTTCCCAACAGAAGCTTCCGGACAGAGTGGCAGGCTCCAATTTTCTGTATTACCAAAAAAGCAGGAGAATTAGAGCCACATAACTGATCCCTTTCAGAGGTTAACAGCCTCCAGAACCATCTAGAAGCAAATCATCCAGACCACCACAGCTGCCACAGACAGCTGGGGCCTAGAGGCCCTGTGCCCCACCCTCCTCTCCCCACACTCTCAGAAACCGTTCAAGGGCAGGCCCTCCCAGGTGACAGTGCCAGGGGAGTGGCACCTGCCTGAGGCTTACCGTACACACGAAGGATGGGTCAATGACCTCCACGAGGATTTCTACCAACAAGGGCTCATACTGGCTCACGAACTCATCACACTGAGAAGAAAAACAGGCACATGTCCAGGTCCGGGAGTGTCCAAGAAAAGTGGGGCCACAATAGGCCAGGCAGGCAGTGGGCACTCTTCTACCAGCACGCCTGCCATTTCGGGCCACCCATACCCTACCTGGCCTCAGTAGCTCAGACCCTTTGCTCCCTGTGAGCCAGGAGGTCACTCGGAAGCAAACACCCCGAACCTCAGGCTTGGGAGTGGCGGCAGCCACTGTCCCTCAGCCTCCAACGGGGCAGCGCAGCGAGCAGCCAGGGCTTTTACCTGCTTCTGGTAGGGGTCAGGCAGGAGGCTGCAGCCCTTCTCCAGCGCATTCAGGATCTCCTGCTTGGTGCTGTTCTTCTCCAGATTGTGTTCCAAGTAGCCGACCAGCTTTTTGCACACCTCGCAGAAGCCACCATCCTTTAGCGGAGTCACACGTGCTATGGACCAGGGCACAGGGCTTAGCGTCAGCGGGGTCCTGCCAGACCTGGGGGTGCCCACTCCCTCACCAGGCTCTAGACTCACCAGGCGGCGCATGTAGTCGGCGCAGCATGGGCAGCTTGGGCTGGCTGAGGCGGTCCTTGCCAGACATGCAGAGGCCGAGCTCGCTGCACACCAGCTCGGGGCTCATCTCCTGCAGGAGGAGCGCCACGATGGAGTCACCGTATGTGTCCACCACCTCCTGGCACACCTCTGACACAGACTCGGGCAACAGCGCGCACACACTGTCCAGAGCATGGATGATTTTTTCCTGAAACACACGATAAGAGGATCCAGTTACGACAAGGAGACTGGGCAGGGGTGGGGAGACCAACAGTGGGGTACTCCCCTCCCACCAGATCCCACAGCATCAAGCAGAGCAAAGGCTGCCTTCCCCACTGCGAGCCCGAGGGGACCCACGAGTAGGTGTCCTCTGCGAGTCAGGCCTGGGCTGTGCAGGCTCGCAGCCTGGGGTCAAGTGGAGTCAGGCAGTAACGCTCCTGCCTAGCAAGTGCCAGGCTCTGGGTTCCAGTCCCAGCATCACAAAAAACCAGCAAGAGTCAAAAAGAGTTTCCCAGCCGGGCCTTCCGACCCTGGGGGACAAACGCAGGCCCCCATCTGAGCGCAGGGTACCTCAGTCCTGTTGTTGTCAATCAGCTCCATCACTTTCTTCACCACGTACTCACACGCCTTGCATGTGACACTCTCGTGGGCCCGGACCAGCTCCTGCTGTTGAAACAGACTGTACTTCAATGCTGGGACACACACGCCTGCGTCCTGCTCTACTAAAGCAGGGCACACAGCATCACAGCAAGGGCACTGCCTACTGGATCCAAAAGGATGCATGGCTCCCTCCCAACATTCAGGTTCAATTCATCATTCAGTCCCTCGCTGAGGGACTGTTCCTTTTCTCAACCGCCCCATCTCTACTTTCCCTCTAAGAAAACCCAGGAATTCACATCTCAGGAGGAAGCAACCGCCTCCTGGCCCACCTGCCGCCCCCTTCCCCCCAGCTGCCCACTTCGCTGTTTACAGGTAACACAGAAGAATGGACTCAGTGAGACTCAGCATCCATCTCTATTTACAAGTCAGTCAAACACTTTGGCTCCATTCTCAATTTTCCCAAATCCCATTAGCACCTACGACTGCCTACGACTTACGCATAACAGAGCAATACTACTAGGAGGAATTTTCTGTGACGCTGTAAGCATGCTCTACCCCTGCTATCCAGGGCAGGAGGCACCAGCCACATGAGTCTACCAAGCACTGAAATGTAGCCAGTGTAACTAACCAAGGAACAGAAGCTTTAACCTGCTGTTTCTAACACAGCACACTCTGGCCGTAAGCTCGACAGACAAGGTGTCCTGAGGTCTCCAGCACGGGAGCCGGAGGGAGCACCCCCTCACTCCCCGACACCTCAGCCCATCCTGTGTCCAGATGGTCAGGTGCCTCAGGCAAAAAGCACCTGTGCCACGTGCCAAGGCATCAGATGGCCCGAGCTCTGCAGGGGCAGGAGGCCATGCCAGGGGCACAAGGACATCACTCACTCACCCAACCCCTGAACACTGCTGAAGAGCTGAATACAAGCTCATTATGGGATGGAGCAACAGGCTCATTCCCAAGGAAGGAGATCTGGGAAATGGCAGGTAGACCCACGCACACGCACAGACAGCGGGCTCGAGCCCCAGGAAGGGTGTTCAGGAAGAAGTCTGTGTGGAAGGTTAGGCTGCAGCTGGGCACCTAAATGTGCTGCAAGCCAAAGAAATAAAATACATTCCCAGCAGCTCAGGGTGGGGGCAGCACAGTTATGGAGGGGACCCATACTGTACCCAGAGGCCTCAAATGCCAAGACTTTAAGGGCCAGGCAGAGAACCTGAAAAAATCATGTGCCTCCTAAGATGTGACACAAGAAGACAGTGTGCTGCGAAGCCCCAGCTGTTGTACAATCAGGGCACCACGTACCTCGAGGGGCTCCACCAGCTCCACAGCAGGGAGGACCTCGGTGGCCACTCTGGCTGGGACCAGAGGCTGCATGGGTACTTCCTTGATCTCGACACAGAAGCCAACCAGCACACAGATCTCCTTGGGTTGCTGGAGAGAGCACAGAGCCACCGTCAGACACAGCCTGCAACCCAGTGCCCCCAGCACCCTCTGGGGCGCCAAGGTGCTGGGACACACTCTGGACCCCTTCCCTGATCCAGCCTGACAGGAATTCCAGATTCAACTAAAAGGCCTCATGCCCAGGGACAGAAGCAATGCTGGCTTTTTTTAAAAAACCACATTCAGTGTCACTTGTACACACGAGAGTCCATGCCCCCAAGAGATTAATCACTTCAATCACAAGATCTTCAAGCCGACCCCTCTCACCGCCCAGCCAACCAGCCATACAGGACAGGGTTCAAACATCATGACCTCCACACTGTGAAGGCCTCGAGCAGGCCAACTCCACAGAGCCTGTACACTGCATGGCCACATGCTGTGCTCAGGGCTTGTGGCTCTGGCTCCCACCACCATGGCCAAAGGCAGCAGGACCAGGGCTGCTAACTCCTCGGCCTGTTAAGGCAGGAGGCTCTACTATTGCTATGGCTCATCTTCTATTATCAAGAAGCCTCCCCAAATTAAAGATGGCTGAGAGGTGGACTAGGAAAAGCACAGCCCTAATTCTGTGTCTCCGATACAACTTAAAAATGGGAAGGGGTCGTAAGGCTGAAGATAAAAGCAAGCTTTACAAGAGGCTGAGCTGAAAATTCAGGCACCTCATCCAAGTCCTCTCCCATCAAGACTTTAAACTGCCTTCAGAGCATCTATAACTCCAATCCTAGAGATAGATGCCAATGCTCAGGACAGCTGTCAGAGAGCGCTGGCTCCCCAGCACCCTGCAGATCCCAAAAGACCCCAAACCCAGAGTGCCAGAAGCCACGATCAAGAGTTTCCAGTTCTCTGGATCCACCTCAGGGGCAACCTGCGCTGGCTGTTTGCAGCTAATGCGCTCATGCAGCAAAAGCGTTTCTGTAGTAAGAACAGCACTGAAGACATGCAATGCCCACCCAAGGGTGACAGACACAGGCGCCTACAAGCTGGGCCTCCACTATGGGGAGCTGGGTCGCAGTGGTCAAACGAGCATTCAGACCCAGGTGTGGGGCTCTGCTGGCCTCGTTTCCTACCCCTAGAGCAAGAGATCAGACGCCCAATACCCAAGGGCTGCATCTCAGGGAAAGGGCGACCAGGAGAGAGAGGGATCCCTCCTTTCACAACCATTCCTGGTGTCTGTCAGAGCTGACCCGCCGACCAGGGACAGGGGTGGGGGAGCAAAGTAACTAGGAGAAGCAGCAGGTATCACTACTAAAAGCAAATTCTCCATCACATACCTGATCCTGCTGTTGAACAAAAAAACAGGAAATCGGAGATGAAAACAAGAGAAAGGAAAGGACACAAAAGTTAAGAAAAATTAAAACAACAATTAATCAGTTAACAGATGTAGGAATGTCACAGAAGTTAGGGGAAACGCTCTGGCAGTCTGTGCCACCTTGCTCCCATCAGGGGCACTGTGCCCTCCATCCCATACTATCACCATCCCAGAACACACACAGAGGTCCCCAAGGAGGCCACCTTCAAAGTGTCTCCACGCTCAAGGCCTAACCCTACCAGACCTTCCCCACAGGACACAGGGCTGCGAGTCCCTGGCCTCAGGCCAATCTACCTCTCGGCCAATGTCTGCCCAGAGGACAGATCAGACAGTGTGCCAAACTAGGGTTCGGCACAGCCTGCATTAGTGTTCCGTGCTGTGGGAAAAACAAGGATGTCCACAGTACTTGGCTGTAGGGACATTCATCAATTTCTAGGACAGCTCTGAAAACAATCTAACCTTCTTCCAGCCACAGGCAACTGGCTACAGAAAATATGTCCTCCCCACTCTGACATAATACACAGTCACATAAAAATCATTTGTAAAAGTATCTACTAATCAAGTGAATGCAGTCTGTAAGTTGTATAAAATATGGTCCCATTGATTCTCTTGTTGTTGTTTTGTCTTTTTAGACAGGACTTCACTATGCAGTTCAGGCTGGCCCTGAGCTCACTCTGTAGCCCAGGCTGGTCTTGAACTTACAATGATCCTCCTGCCTCAGCCTCCTGAGTACTGGGAATACAGGTGTGCACCACCATGCTGAACCCGTTGAAATTTTGTGAAACCCCCAAGTGATTTGTGATAGGGGAAGTATTTCTATTTTCAAAACATGCTACAGTATAGTTAGAGAAAATACTGAAGGTAGCTTGAAGGAAACACTAGTTCACGAGGCCAAGTCACATTAAAGGCTTTTGGGGCCCGGCTCCAGCTGCATGCCCTATAAACTGCCTCTCGAAGTTTTCACAGCAAGGCAGGATGGGAGCCACAACAAACACCTGTATGGATGGGTAGCTACCATGGACAAAGGAGCCCCCAGAAATGGTAAGCTTTGTGGGTTACCAAGTCTGGGTTCCAGTGACTTGAATGCTGCGGACACACAGATGGGCATCACTGGGTTCCAGGAAAACTTTATCACGAAGCAGGTGATGGGCAGTGTGAGGTCCTCTGTGTCAGAGAACAAACTTGGGCATGCATGTCAATAACAACTTGGACAATCAGTGTAACAGGGAGCAAAAGTGTTCCCCAAGTTAGCTCTGGGGGACCGATGCCTGCTGTGTGCCCAGATGCCACAGACCAGCCGCTGTGCCCACCAGCTCTGGACACAGAAGAACCAGCCCCTTCTTGTGACCAACATTTCTCCCACCACTAACCACGCTTCCTGCCACCCGGCAGGAGCAGATGCCAGTGCAGAGACAGGGCTGGAAGAGCCAGGCAGGATTGCCAGGCAGAATTGCCAGGCAGGATTCCCCTGCTCTGCCCAGAATTCAGGCCACAACATTCTCTGGCCTGGAATATTTAGAGAGCAGCCTGCTTCTGCAGGCCTTGGGTTTAAAGCCAGACACACAATGTGACGGCAACTGCACATGCACAACTAACAGGGCGCCGGCAGGACGGCGCCAGGGTTGGCTTTCCGGGCAGGGATAAGGACCAGATTCTGAGTAGGGAGTGTGCTGGCCAGAGGGGGACGGCTGGGTCCAATTCAGTACACTCAAGGTGGAAAGAGGCAGCTGAACCATGTCACGTGCAGAGTTGCTGGAAATGGTAACATTAAATGTCAGGAGGTAGTAAGGGCTCCGGGCCACCTACCATATGCATCATCATTTGGACGGCGATTTCAGAATACTGGCTGATATAGTTCTTGCACTGGGGGAGAGAAAACAGGTTGTCAGCTAAATTAAATAGTGCAACAACACACACCCAAGAAATCAAACCAGCATTTCTAATAGTACCAAGTACTATCAAAAAAATTTCCTAGAGTTTTCTCAATATCTGCTCTAAGTAACTTTTTAGTAAGATAAAGAAGCCAGACATGGTAATGCACATCTGTAATCCCAGCACTAGGGAGGCAGAGGCAGGAAGATCACTGCAAGTTAAAGAACAGCCTGTGTTACAAAGTGAGTTCAAGGCTGGCCTAAACTACACAGTGAGAGCTGGTCTTAGAACACCCAAGATGAAGGGCAGCACAAGAAGTACCAGCCGCTTCCTCCGTCCCCACTCCTGTCTCTGGAGCCCAGCTTCCTGGCCCCAAGCATCCCCAAGACACTGTAGCTCACCATGTCCGCCAAGCCAGGCCCCAGGCGGTCACATTCCTCCTTGGCATGTTCCACCAAGCCCTGGACAAAGGTGGAGTTGGTCCTCACAGCAGTCTGGATGTCGGTCACCATCTGGACGCAGTCCTGGCAGACATCTCCGCTGGCCTGCAGAAAGGTAGTTAAGTTAGGTGGCACTGCAATGCCTGCAGTCACTGGGCACTCACTTGCAGCGGAGGTGGCTCAGCAGCGGGCGGAACAAGTGCTCACTCAGCACACACGGACCCTGAGACCCCTCCCAGCAGCAAAACGAATCAGGAAAAAAGCAGGTGTCTTCATGTGTTTTAAATATCCCATTCTTTAGAAACTACATGGAAACATGTGGTGCACTCCTATGATCCCAGAACAAGGGAGGCTGAGGCAGATCACCTTGGGAGGCCAGGCTGGGCTACCTAGGGAATTCAGGGCTGACCTAGACTACACAAGCAAGGAAATACAGTGGGAGGGGTGCCACGTGGTTTAATACACACAAAGGCAGTCAGGTGCCCGCAGAGTCAGGGGCAGGGACCCCTTAGTTCCAGAAGCACGGGCTTGCATGCACCTCCCACCCCCTCTCCTACATGCACGCATAGACTCAGCCTCCCCACTATCCCCACATCGCTGGCTCCACCACTCACCTTTGGCTGGGGCTGGCTTTGGGGACCATCCTGGGGGTACAGGAGCAGAGGGATGTTGGCCATGAAGGGAGCCACCACCTCGGACAGGTCAGCCTCTGGGATCTTGTTGGCCTCAAGCTGCTTCTGGCGGTTCAGCTCTGCCAAGTGTCTCTGAAGAGACTCGCACAGGTTGAGGGCAGCACACACCTCACCAGGATTGCTCTGGGGAAGAAAGACCTGGCTGAGTCCCCACCCCACATGAGCAAAAAACAGGCTACCCTATGCCTGTGAATCAGCCTCTCTCCTCAAACTCTTAAAAGAAACAGCTAGCTGGACATAGTGGTACATGCCAGTAATCGTAACTACTCAGGAGGCTGAGGCAGGAGGTCCCAAGTTCAAGCCCTGCCTGCACAACTGAGTGTATGCCCGTCTCAAAAATATAAAGGGCTGGGGGTTTGGTTCAGCAAAACTCTTGCTTAGCAAGGCAGAGGCCCTGCATTCCATTCCCAGGACTGCAAACTTGTCATGCAAGCTCAACTGCTCAATATACCTAGACAGTATAGGAAAATTATAGTGCAGGTGTCCAACCACAGGCAGCCTCCAGGCTCACCACAAGCTCTTCCTTCAAGGTAAGGGGCATGGGGAAGGGGAGGGGCCAGGATTCTAAGCCTCAGCCCTCCTAAGCTCATGTACCCCACTGGTTTCAAACACTTCCCCCTCATCTCCACCTCGGCAAACGGCTCAATCACCACCTCCCAGAGCAGAAGACCCCGACACTCCTCCCCCTTCCTGTCGTTCCCCTCCTTCATGCTCACAGTTTAATATTCCTATGTCCATCTTCCTCACCTGTGTCACCCCTCTGGGGTGTCCTCCTGTGTCCCTTAGGGTGGATCCCGGCCCTGGGAGCTAAGGAATCCCCACAGAAAGTGTGCCTAGAGGCCTGTCGCCCACTCCCTGTCACCTCCACAGGTTTGTTGCCCCTGAACACAGCCTCAGAGGCCTCCTCACCAACACCTCAGCCCCAAACCGGACTCTCCTGCCCACCACCCCAGGCCACTCTAGACTGGTGCCTGTGCCCCGGCAATACCAGACTGAAAGACAGGCAGCCCCACAGCTTAGCCCCTAAATTACCCCCTGAACTGTGACTCCCAGGTCTTGGAGACATGGAGCCGCTTGATGTTCACTGTCTCCATCTAGGGTTCACTACGAGTCACCCAGCTGGCATCCACGAATACCGACAGTCACTTGGCAGTTCACCCTGCACGCCCACGCTGGGCCCTCACCCACGACACCCTAGCAAGGTTCAGGAGGACCCCGAGTGCAACCACAACCCTCAACGACAGAGCTACATGGGCAGCTGCAGAACCCCAAAGCCATGGACACGCTTTCACTTCCACCCTGTGGCGCATGGTAACTTCCCAGGGCCCAGATGTGCCCATCACCTACCGCTTCCCCTTTAATCATGTCCAGGATGACAGGCAGGTAGGAGTCCACTATTTCCTTGCATGAGGACGACAGGTTGGGGTTCGAGAACCAGTTACAGACCTTCTCCAGGTTAGAGAGGATCTCCTCCTGCAGGGACACGAGGCAAGGATCAGAACCAGGGAAGGCTCCCTCCCTGTGGACATTGAGGGCAGGGAGCCCTCTGCGACTCCCAGACAGCGTAAGCCTATAGAACAATCAGCCCTCAGGGAAAAGGAGAGCAGAGAGCCAGGCACGGTGCCACGTATTTGTAACCCCATCCACCTGGGCGGCTGGGGCAGGAGGATGGCAAGTTCTAGGCCAGCTACCTTGTCCCAAAAATTATTTTGTAAAGATAGCAGAGAATTCTTCAGGTCTCCACCAGCAAAACAGGCGGGAAAAAAAACAGACATGAAAATTCAAGGGGCCAGAGGTAGCTCTATGGCACAGCAGCTGATTCCTAGTATAAAAAAAAAAATTTCAAAATGCTGGGTGTGGCTGGTCACACCTGTAATTCCAGCACTCAGGAGCCTGAAGGCAGGACTGCCATGAGTTCAAGGCCAGCCTGAACTGCAGCGAGGCCTTGTCTCAAAATTAAAAAAAGGAAAAATTTCAAAATGAAGAGCCTCAGCCCTTCTGCCTCACAGACATAGGAATTCTGAACAGAGAAATCAAGTGATAGCAACACTTCCTTGTGTTAATGAAGAAGCAATATAAAATCCCAACTAATCTTGGGCATTTCATATTTGGGCCAGAGGTCAACAAATTAGTCCCTTACTGGCTTTTGTACAGCCTGGAGTGAACAATGCTTTCTAAAAAGACTGTGTGATGGAGTCAGTGCAGGGCAGTTCCCGGCTGCACAGACGTCGCCAGCCCTGGCCTGGTCACACATCTCTGGGAGTCAGAGCTCTCCCAAGCACCAAGGCACTGGGCCTTAGCCACAGCAACCCCCACTGCAGCTCACCTCGGTGCCGTTGTCCTTCAGTAGGTCACCTGCGGCAGTGACCACCTGTTTGCATATGTCACATGGGAGGGATTTCTGAAAGGAAACACAAGCGAGACAGATCTGTGCTTGAGGGACACCACTCACCGCACACACAGCTGCAGGCCTACAGCTGCAGACCCACAGCCCTTCCCCACCCGCGCTTATCTGCCCGGGGCGGGCATCCAGCCAGTCCCACACTCTGTGCTGGTGCCTGTGCTGGTGCACAGGGAGCATGAGACACCAGGGAGGGCAGATGTGACTTCAAGACCAATGACCTTTCCTGGCACCCTCTGGGGTGCACAGTCAGGCGGCCAGGCTGTGTGTGGTACTGCAGGCAACGGCTCGGGAAGGCGCTGTGACAGACTGAGCACAGCTGAGAGGGTGACTCAGGGAGCCAGAACCTTGATCTACTTTCTGCTCCCAGGCAGTGCTGTGCGTGCCCATCAGGGACACTCCTCAAAGCCAGCCTCCTGATAAGGCTCAGTGGCCCACAGGGTGGCAGGCACAGGCTCCCTCCTCCATGTCAACTGACTTCTGCCTTGTAATGGTTGACACATTGTGTCAACTTGAGTAGAAGTTTCACTAAGTGACTCAGGAGGGGGCCAGGGTCCTCACTTTGTAAACATCTTGAGCCTGGGCAAGAGAAAGCCAGCAGATGCTAAGTGCTACCCCCGCAGTGGTCTGGAAGAAGGCTCTCAAACCCTGGCAGGTGGGGCCTGGCAGACTGCCTCAGAAGGCGGGGCACAGAGGACCTCATCCTATCTCTGCCACCAAGAGTCAGGCGTGCTGAGTGGTTAAGATGGCCACACCCGCGACGCAGTGACAGCGAGGAGCACAGAGACAGGCTAGAACGCGGGTGCTGGGCGCAGCCAGGCCGGGCTCACCACTGTGGGCTTGCTCCACACAGTCTGCCGGCAGTGCTGCACTGCCCCACAGTCGGCCGCCGTCTTGAGGTCCTGGCACAGCACCCCCGAGCCTCCGGAGCATTTTCTCAGGTCTGTGACGGGGCTGGCAAGAGCTGGAAGGAAAAGCAGTGTGAGGGGTGCACTCTGCACAGTGGGGTGCACTGTGCTTCTTTCCCGGGCGAGGACCAAACCCACCTGGCCCCTCCCAGCCTATAAAACATAAACCACAGGGCATCACAAAGTGGAGCTGTCGGGTCACAGAGCGAGAGGGGACTCGTGGAGGAGGTTCACTTTCCCCTCTCCAGCTACCTCCAACACTCCTGGGACCAAGGAATAGCAGGGCTTTGAATCTGTATAACCTGAAGTTTCCACAGTAATGAAAGCAATCACAGGGGAGAAAAACTTACAATCTAAATAAAGAGAAGACTTCTACTTCTGCAGAATGAAGAACTGACAATAAAATAGTTATTTCTTTAAACCGAATCTATAAGCCAAAAACGAAAATTCGTTATTTTCATTACATCAAGCATTCTTTTTTCCCCCAGTACTGGGGATTGATCCCAAGGCCTTCCCACCAAGTTACATCCCCAATTTACTTATTTTGAAAAAGCCAGGTGTGGTGGCTCACACCTGTAATCTCAGCACTCGGAGGTAGGAGGATCACTGTGTTCAAGGCCAGCCTGACTGGATAGTGATACTGTCTCAAAAAGACAAAAAAGTTATCTCACAAAGTCACTTAATTATTCAGGCTGCGACTGAACTTTGCACTCCTCCTGCCTCAGCCTCCTAGAGTGTGGAGGTTACAAAGTACGAGCCACCACAGGTGGCTTCAAACAAGGGTTCTTAAAGTTGTTCAAGTGTGACACTTTTTTTTTTTTTTTTGGTCTTTTTCCTTTTTATCAGTACCGGGGATCGAACTCACGACTGCCTGCTTGCAAGGCAGGCGCTTATGTCACTGAGCTAAATCCCCAGCCCCAAGTGTGACACTTTTATAAACCTGATTCTCCTATATATCTACACAAAAACAAGTTTTCCGCAAGAAAATAAAGATTGCATGAGCCACTCCTAAAATGAACACTCAAAACAAGGTATATGGTGTGTCACTAGCTATGTTCCTGCGGACAGGCCCCAGGCAGAGCCCAAGAACAAGAGGGATGAGGTCAGACAGACAGCAGACTCTGTAACACCTGAGACCTAAAGAGCGAGGTTTTGCTATACAGAAACAGAATGACTACTTGAACAGTTTTCTTTTTTATCCTTTTTTTTCCCCAAGAGGTAAGCAGAAGATTCTTTGATTCTAGAAGGAGGGAAACAGTAGATGAAAATAGGTCTTCATTTTGCAGTAGCATCTGCACAAATTCTTCATTGCTGACTTGTCTATCTCCATCAATATCTGCTTCTCTGAACATTGCTTCTACTACTTCTCCGTCTGTTAGTTTTTTTCCTAAGTTTTTCATGACATGATGATGTAGTTCTGCTGCACTGATGTAACCATTTCCACCCTTGTCAGAGACGCAGATTTCTTCACTATCTGTATCTTTCATTTTTCTAGCCATCATAGTAAAAAATTCTGTGAAATCAACGGTGTCACTAACATTAGCATCCACTTTGTGACCGCATCCTGCAGTTCATTCAGCTTCTGCTGGCTTTGCTCAGTGACCTCCTAACAGTTCCCAGTTCCACTGTGGTGATGCTGCCATCCCATCTTTATCGAGTAGGGAGAAAGCTTCCCTGAATTCAGCAATCTTGTCCTTCAGTCAGCTGGTCGTCATGGTGCAATGGAGGGAGGAAGAGCAGAGGGAGCCGCGGTGGACACACCAGGGCAAGGGCTGTGACAGAGGTGAGGGTGGGGGTGCCTCTGTTTCAACTGTGGCAGCACCACGACAAGCAAACCAGGTGTGGTGGCGCGTGGTTTACAGTCGAATACCAGCGCTCTGGAGACTGAGGCAGGAGAATCGCTTAAAGTTCCCAGTGAGTTCAAGGCCACATCAACTACGTAGTGAGACCCTGGCTCAAACAAACAGCTCTATCAGATTTAAGCCACTATTATTCGAAGTCTCTGTTGTTCTCAGTGGAACCTAATACAGGTGCACAATCAACTATATCCACCACCAAATGATGATTCACAAAGGCTGCCTGCATGGAGCGTGAAAAGCCATGTACACAACATCATTGTCAAAGATTTTCGGAAACGGCCTCAGTGTGAAAGAAGCCTTTCCTGGAACAGGCACTTTAGGCCCCATTTGTTAGACCTGTCTCGGTATTTTAGCCTCACAACATGTGCTCTTCCTCTCAAACATTTTAGGGAGCACACGCTAAATGCAGCCTCCCGTGAAACAAGCACAGCATAAATTCCAAGGCATGCTGAACCTGCTGCCTGGTAATGCGTCACCATAGCAACAGGCAGGTTGCTAGGAAACTAGCAGGGTAACTCCAGGAGAGGCAGAATCCACCCCGGTGCCCTGCACTCAGACATTTCTCAGGGGAATCCAGCACCTCCATCCCTAGAGCAGGAGGCAATGAAACACACAATGCTGACTACTCTGAACAACTGCTGTCAAAAACACCTGACAGTGAAGAGTACTTATGGCTATGGAATCAAGCCTGTGGGAAACATTCTCCACAACAAACAAAAACACTCCTCATTTTATCTTTCAGAATAGTGTACACCCAGAGGCAGCCTGCCTGGATCTCAAGAAAATAATCTGAATCAGCAGTGCTACCACTGGGCACACCAGGGCATCCAGCTGTGCAGGAGGCTGGGCAGGACCATCCAAGTTTAAGGTTGCTTAGTGAAGCCATGTCTCAAAATGTAATTTCTGAAAACAAATGGGGAATACAGCTCGGTGGTAGAGCACCTGCCTAGTGCATGTGAGGCCCTCGGCTCAAGTCCCAGTACTGCAGGAATAAACAAAAATTTTCAGTGGCAAGACAGCCCCTAAGCCTGCTCAGCTGATCTCCCGTCCCTTCAGAACACAAAGGTTCTTTCTTCTCTGGCTCTCCTTACCCACTACCACTTCATTTTGCAACCTTCTCCACAAACCAGAGATTCCCGAACAAGAAATCTCACTTCCTAGAGGGATCCACAAAGTGCTGGGCTCAATCACCTCATGCAGCGTCACCTGAGAAGGGCGGGGGTATACAAGGTCCTCAGTTCACCAAGAGGGACACCGATGGGAGTGATAACACTGCCTGTCATTCCAGCACCTGTGAGGTTGAGGCAGGAGGACTGCCACTGTGTTTGAGGCCAGCCTGGGCTACACAGTGAGTTCAAGGTCAGCCTAGACTACAAAGCAAGACCCTGTTTCAAAAATCCAAAGAGCAATACAATTTTGGGGACATATATTCCTGACTAGTTCATTGAAGAAGGCTACTCTGGAGGCTGAGGTGTCTTTCGGTGGTAGAGCACCTGCCTAACAGTCATGAGGCCCTGGGTTCAATCTCCAGAACCCAAAGAACTAAAAAGTTCAATCAAGTCCTGCTGACACAACTCTCCCTGCAAACCATGACAGATCGATAATCAGCAGGGATCAACTGAGTCATGGAAGAGAAGACTGTGCTGTCACCATGAACCATGAAAGGGACCCCTCATAGGCTGCCCAGACAGTAGCAAGGCCAGAAGCTCTAGGAGGATTCAAAGGTGACAGCACCAGGTCCCTGAGGAAGCCTGAAGTTGGCCACTCCAACAGCACGGGCGATCCTCACCATCCTGCTAACAGCTGCACAGCCTCTGCACACAGGCAGAAGACAGATTTGATACGTGAGCAGATTCCATGCAAACTCTGCTAATAAGGGAACTCATTCATCTCGCCCTACCCGATCCCTTACGATCCAAGAAGCTGCAGGGACACAAGGGTCTGTGATCCACGCTACTTTCGGTTTCCTCTGGTTGATACTAAGCAGATGCTGCCTCGGTTAGAAACGCTGAAAGCAAACCGTTCAGCACCCAGCAGGGGAAGCCGAGGCCTCACCCGCGGCTGCCATCTGAGAAGACTCCAGATCAAAGCACTGGGCTCCGCTCAGACACTGGGCCCAGCACCCATCAGCCACACAGGCTCTTCTCCAAGTCACAAGGACATTCGAGAGGTCCACCTCCTCCTGTCACCAAGACATCAGGCAACCTTCAACCCTTCACTCACATCTGCACTGGCGTTTCTCCAGGGGCATGTGACATATGACATCTCCACAGACCGAATGCAGAAGCAGCCAGGTGCTAAAGGGACACCAGCCAAGTGAAGACTGCAAAGGAAGGGCTGGGGCCACAGCTCAGGGGGACAGCACGTGCCTGGCACACAAGAGACCTGCGTTCCACCACACAAAAAGAGATGACCAAAATGTAACACAAACCTTCTCCTAACTACATTAGGTGACGTTTCATTAAAAAGATCTTATGTCCTACATGGGGTGGCACGGTGGGAGGCTGAGGCAGGAAGATCACAAGTTCCAACCCAGGCTGAACAACTTGGTGAGACCCTGTCTCAAAATAAAAAGCAGAAAAAGAAATTGGGATGTAGCTGAGTTCACAAGGCAGTACTTTAAAATGCTGACTGCTGAAACTGAGCGCTATAATCCCAGCCACTTGGGAGTCTAAGGCAAGAGGACTGCTCCAAATTCAAAGCCAGACTGAGCTACAAAGCAAGACCCCATCTCAAAAACATAACAAATGAACCACCAGGCTAAACGCAGAAAATGACCAACTTCTGGAACTATAAGGGGAAAAATCACTTCCTCAAGTTGTAAATGACTCTTTTCAGATTTATCTCAAATCAAGGCCAGCAGGGACATGGAAACATGTCTGGCCGCCGTGTCCTACCAGCCAGGAGCCACACCAACAGGTTTCCAGCCCAACGCCTCACTTGAACCAAAGCTGGTCTTTCTTAACATTAATTTTAGGAAGAAGAATCGTTTAAGTGGATAAAGATTTGGCACAAGCTTGGTAATCAGAACATTCGACAGGCCCTGGGTTCCCGCCATAGCACAGCAGGCAGCGGGTAAGAGGAGTTTCAGCACTTTCCTGTGATCCCTGAATCAGGAGGCTGAGGCAGGATCGTCTTCGGTTCCAGGCCACCCTAAACTGCTTAGGGGGCTGTTATAACTTCCCGTTTCCCATACACAGCGTATACTTTTATTTTTTCTTTCTCTCCTCCTACTTATTCGTTCTAAGCTGACTCTACAGAGCCAGTTTCTCTCCCACTAAAAAAAAGAGAAAAGAAAAAATAAAAGCTCTGTGAGACCCTGTCTCAAAAAGACAAAAAACAAGAGCTGGGTGTGGTGGCACACTCCTGTAATCCCGGCTCTCAGGAGGCTGAGGCAAGAGGATCATTGCAAATTCAAAACCAGCCTGGGCTACAAAGTGAGTTCAAAGCCAGCCTCAACTGCACAGCTAGAAAAACAAAGAGCTAGAAGTAAAAAAATCGACTGGAATACTGTGCCATCATTGACGTGGAAAAGAAAGCAGAAATGGGGCACCAGGCACTCCTCTGGAAGGCGCCTTTGGAGCCACGGGTCGGGCTACAGTGCAGCCCCGCTCACAGGCTGGCAGGACAAGGTCACCTCCCTCCTCACTCCTCTTGCACTAAACACGTTGAAGGCTGTCATGAGCTATCACCTGCTCCAAATGTACCACCTCCATTCCGGGATGGGGAAGCCAGGCTGCCAGCCTGAGCAGAGCAGACTTAGCCCAGGTCTACACCCAGGGAAGGGCCCTGGGTTACAAGAACCCGCTCTGATCTGTGGGCTGCTGCACCCAGAACACTGAAGCCTGACCAACTGCAGCAGCAGTCAAACCTCACCGACTCCCGAGAGCAGGACTGCCAGTGCCCTCCTCACTAATGACCACCTGCCTTGTTTCCCTGACTCAGTAATTGTGCCCAGCACACTCATCTGCAGAAGTCAGTTTGTCTGTTAAACTCCTAATCGCCTGTGGGGTTTTGTTTGTTTGGATTCTTTTTAAGTTCTGATTTTTTGGGGACCAGGGTCTCATTATGTAGCCCAAGCCAGCCTCCAACTCACAGCGATCCTTCTGCCTCAGCCTCCAAGGTGCTGCGATTACAGGAGCGTGCCACCAAGCCTGACTTCCTACTAATATCCTCCGAAATGAACATGTTGAGAAATTACAAAATCAAGGGCAGGATGAGGGTACAGACAACACAAAATCATGCTTATTAGTGCTACAACAATAAACACAAAACTTTGCTAAGCCCTTTCACAGCTTAATTTACTGAAGCCTTCCAGTGACACAGGCATAATTAGTGCCATTGTTCAACTGAGGAAATTGGGTTTAAGGACCTTCTCCAAGGTCATACAATTGATATCAGTGATGTGATATCGCTAATCTCCCTATTCCAGTCTCAGTGCAACATACATTCCACATCCACAGGATTACAAAACAGCATGCTATAAACAGAACAGTTAGTACCTTTACAAGGACCAAATTCCCTACCCTAATCCCTGTATCACCATCTTTTCAAAATTACTTAAAAATTGGGAGAATGGGGCCAAGGATTTAGCTCGGCAGTGTTAAAGTGCCTTGCCTAGGGGGCTGGAGGTTTAGCTCAGCGGCATAAGCGCCTGCCTTGCAAGTAGGCAGTCATGAGTTCGATCCCCAGTACCGATTAAAAAAAAATTTTAAAAAGTGCCTTGCCTGGTAAGCGCAAGATCATGAGTTCTGATCCCTGATGCCCCCCCCCAAAAAAAGGAAAGCAGGTGGGTGTGGTGGGCCACACCTGTAATCCCAGCACTCAGGAGGCTGAGGCAGAAGCATTGCTGGAGTCTGAGGCCAGCCTGGGATACAAAGTGAGCTGAAAGCCAGCCTGTGCTGCATAGAAAGACCCTGTCACCAAAAAAAAAAAAAAAAAATGGAGAGCTCAGAGCTCACTGGGAGAGTACTTGCTTGGCAGGTGTTCTGAGGCCTGGTTCTACCAAAAAGACAAAACAACCTTTTAAATAAGTAGGTCAAGGTAACTAGTAGTCTCTTCTGTTGGGTAAAAGAAAATCCAGATCTTCATTCCCGGCAGCACAAACAAAAAAGCAGCTGTCAAGGTCTTGTGGCCCAGCAGCCAATATTCTACAATTCCTGGGGCCGGGGATTTAGCTCAGTGACATAAGTGCCTGCCTGGCAAACGGTAGGTTGTGAGTTTGATCCCAGTACAAAAAAGGAAAAAATATCCTACAATTCCTGCTGGCACACTGGCTGCACAAGGCTCAGTCTTGACTTTGACACTGAAGGTCCCATGCAAGCCTCACCGGGTGCTATGCCCCATTCACTTAAACTCCAGTTGGCTGCCTGGGTAGTCCAGTCACACAAGAAAAAGGATCAAATTCTCCCTGCAGAAAATTCTCCAGTATTGTGGGTGTAATGGCACACAACTGTAATCCCCACACCTGGGAGGCTGAGGCAGGAAGATTGCTTTAAGTTCAAGACCAGACTGGGCTACATACACAGAGACCCCCATCTCCAAAATCCAACAGTTCAAAAGGGCAACCTTGACACTAGTGTTAACAGCTACAGTGTGGAAAACTGCCAGCTGCTGCTAATGCTCTTTGGGGACCCTGTGGCCACTTAGTAGTAGCTCACCCTGGGGCATTCACTTACTCACAGTGTGTTTTTTAAAAAATTACAGGGAGGTGTTGAGAGATGTGGAAAACAGCACGTGAGACTCCTCCTTCTGGGCCTGGAACCCCAGGAAATGGCCTTTGATTGCAGCGTTACTGGAGACTGAACCCAGGCACCTTTACTGGTCAGGTGCTCTCAAGTCTCTCATTAGGCCATGCTTCACCAGTTTAGGTGGAGGAAAGGCAGGGAAGACAGAAAGAGCAGAAAAGGAAACCCGATGTCACCACCCCAGGACTTCTGGTGGTGCTGAGAGGGGACCCAGAGCCTGGTACAGGCCGGGCCAGCCTCTGACCCTGAGCCACACCCAGGTCTCAGGACCTCACTAACCACAGGCACAAAAGCCCCAAGGTCCAGACCTGCCAGGGAGCAGCCTATGGTCACGGTGACCACGCTTTTCTGGATGGGGCCAAAGGCGGCAGCAGCAGCAGGTGTCTTGAGAAACCTTAGGGTTAGCAGTTCCGATAGCTGCGGTGGGCTGAGCTGCGAAAGCAGGCCAGCATCTCACACTGTTAGCAGGCCATGACCCTAAAGGAGTGGCTGCAAGGTCAGACCAAGGCCCCTGAGCGCACACCTGTTTACCTGCCTGCTGGGGCAAGGGCCCTGCGCAAGCACACTCTGGGGCTGGGCCCGACCTTGCCAAGCAGTCGATTCAGCACCGTTTGGATGTCTAAGTCAGAACGCTTCCGCTCCTGTGTGAGTGTTAAGGGGGAATGCACTTAGGACCTCTGCACTGGGCTATGCCCCAGCCCTTTTTATTTTGAGACCGTGTTTCACTAAGTTGCCCCGGTTGGGTTCAAACTTGCCATCCTTCTGCCTCAGCCTCCAAGAGTGCTAGGATTACAGGCTACAAAGGCAGCTGACTCAGACCTCTGAGGAGTCTCATGAGGAGTGAGTCAATGCCAACAAAAAATCACCTCTTGGTCTACAAATAAGAAATTCAAGAGCCTCATGTAGGGCCCAGCACTTTTTTCTCAGTACTGGGAGCTAGTTATTTTGAGACAGGGTCTAAATTGCTCAAGCTGCCCTCAAAACTTGCAACCTTCCTGCCTCAGCCTTCCAAATAGCTAGTATTATATGTGATGACACCCCCAACTCAAGACATTCTAGAGTTTATGAAGGTGACAAAAAAAAATCTGATATGTATTGACCCGTAATTATTTAGTTTTGAGTCTAAGCTGTCATCTGCTTTGGTACTGTTTATTAAAATCCGCCTAGCAGTTTGAGAGACTGAGGGAGGAGGACAACAAATGTGAGCCTAGCCAGGGTAATTTAGTGACTCAGCAAATTTTAATGCTGTCTTAAGATTTTAAAAAATTGTTTTATTTAAAGAGCTGAGGATGGGACTGCAGGTGTGCACCACCACACCCGGTAAAAGCCAGCCAGAAAATATAAAACTACTAAGAAACAGAAACTAAGTGTGGAGAAGTTGACAATCAGCTTTATTTCTTTGGTGGACTATGACCTAGGATTTTCTCTATATAGAAATTAAAATCTGGCTCCATGACTTTCAAAACTGTACAATTTCAGCAGGGATGGTGGCACAGGCTCACAATTGCAGCAGCATCCAGAAGGCTGAGGCAGGAGGAATACCAAGAGTTCAAGGCCTGCCTGGATCTACACCGTTCATTCAAAGATAGTAGGAACTACAGGGTGAAACTGTCTCAAGTAAATAAACAACCCATAAAATAAAAATAAAATGTACAATGTTGATCAATCACTTCTCTTTACCACGATGATTTAGGTGAGACTAAAATGTCAAGGAAAACTAAAAACACGGGTCACAGCGGTGACACAAGGAGCCAAAGAGGCAGGGAGTTGTTTCCAGGGCGTTGCCTCCCTAACCTGCGGAGATTTTACACTCGCAGCACCCTTTTGGGGCAGCAAATAGGTCAATGGCCCTGGGCACACTTCTCCCAGACTTACCTTTCCCCTAAAAAAGGCCAAGGGCCCTGTAACGCACCTGAAAGCAGGAAGAGCAGGACTTGAAGCAAAACGATCGGGTCCATTAAACCCCGGGCGTCCCCTCCCAGGGGTGGGTTTCCGTAGCGACCCAAACAGAGGTCAACCCAGGACCTCCAGGGCGCGCCCCGACACTACAGGACCCGCACCCACACGAGCCCCAGACGCCTAGGACCCACAGTGTGAACTGCAGGGCGGGCCCGGGCCACCACAGATCTGGGCCCGGAGGGTCCCCTGGGAACGAGCGGACCTCTTGGCCCGGTCCGGCTCGACCCCCGCCTACCCGCCCGCTAGGTCGCGAGGCCAAGCGGCCGCGCCTGCGCAGTTGGCCGCGCGCGCCGGCGAGGTCAGGGAGCGAAGGCCTCGGCCTGCTCGGGGTGGAGGCACCGCGGGGCTCCCCTTCCCCTGCCTGAAAGTGTGGGGGAACCCCGGCTTACCCGTGCCCAGCAGGCTGCCCAGGAGGAAGAGCGCAAACATCGTCACGCCGCCGGAGCCGCTGGACTCCGCAGTCTGCAATGCGGCGCGTCAGCTGATCCCCGCGGATATAAACCTGACCCCACCCGACGCCGCGCAGTGCGCGCGCGCGAACCCCGCCTCGCCCCGCCCCTCGGGGCACCGCCAGACCCTGCAGGGAGGGGGAAGAGAGGGAGGAGGTTGTGGAAATAAATATCCCAGCACTGCGCTACATCAAGGTTAAGGGTTACAGACTGTATGTAACGCATTGTAAACAGTCAGATCCAAACTCTGCCCTGTGCTAGGGATTGAACCCAGGGCCTTTGCCCAAACTACATCCCCAATTTTTCTTTTTTTCTTTTTTCTTTTCTTTTTTTCTTTTTTGAGACGGGGTCTCGCTATGCAGTTCAGGCTGGCCTTGAGCTCACTTTGTAGCCCAAGCTGGTCTTGAACTCGCAACGATCCTCCCACCTCAGCCTCCCAAGTGCTGGGATTACAGGCGTGAGCCGCCACGCCCGGCTCCCCAATTTTTTTAATATGTTTTATTTCCAAATGGATCTCTGTTGGAAGACTGGGCTCTGATTTTTGACCTTCCTGCCTCAGCCTCCTAGGATGCTAAGAATACAGACGTGTACCACCATAATGGTCTCATATCTTTACTGTTTTTTGTTTTTATTTTGTTTTTGTTTTTGAGACAGGATCTCACTATGTAGTTCCACTTGGCCTTGATTTCGCAGCAGTCCTCCAGCCTCAGCCTCCCAAATGCTGGGATTCAGTACTGGCCAATTATTTAGTCTTTGCCTTTTCCAGTTTGGCAATGTGAGCCACAAATTTTGGACCCAGGCTGTTACCTCCTGGCTCTCATCTTTTCTCAGTACCATTTACTGTTATTACTCCTATTTTACGGCTCGGAATCCATAGCAAACAAGTTAGCAACTTATCCAAGTTCTTTCAATTTGAATTGTAATTCACTACACCTACCTATGCTGTTTCTGTCAAGCAAATCAAGCACAGAAACTGTAAAGAAACAAATGCTTTATTTAGGATTTTAGGAATGCAGTTTGGGCCAGGTGTGATGGCTCACACCCGTATTCCTAGCACTCAAGAGGCTGAGGCAGGAGATCTCTGCGAGTTTGACTACATGAGTCCAAGGCCCACCTGAACTATGTAGCAAGAGAATCTCAAAAAACGGAAGAAATTTGGGAGGTACAGTACAGGTAGCTCCCAAATCAACATTTCAGAGATGAGAAATGAAAGCTTAAATGGCAAGCAATAAAAAGTGGTGCCCTTAATTCCCAGTTAAAGGTGCAGCTCAGTGGGAAGGCCTTGCTTAGCACACGTGAGCTTCTGGCTTTCAACCTCCAGTACCAAGAAGAGAGAAAGTTGATAAAAACACCTTTGCAGAGAACTTCGTGGAAATAAAGTATTGCAGGCAACTGAGTTAGAGATTAACATACAGAGAGGGATTCAGCCCTCAAAGAAACCAGCACAAAAAAATAAAGTCATCAGCACTGGAGGCATCTGTTGTCAGGCAGGCCTGCTCATCTCCTGGGAGAGACCTGCAGCTTGAGATTCTGCTGTGAGTGCTCCGAGACAGACACCAAACACACAGGTGGTGACCAGAGCACCTGGACCCTCGCTGGGAGTCCCTTTCATCTTTCCCTGTGCCCTGTGACTCCTTTCCCTGCTGGGTCAGTATTAGCTGAACCTGTCACTCTGTGGGCTGGTGTAGCCCACATTGTGCCCACACTGGGACCTGGCTGTGTGAATTACCTCTGACGAAGGACCTTATGGCCACCCACCAGGGATCTCTCCTGCCTCTCAAGAGCTTCCTCTTAATCACCCTTTCCCACTCGTGACCTCCTTTGTCCCTTGGATTTCATTCTTTGATTGCAGAAAACACAGACTCAGCACCTCTGACGTCTATTTCTCCTGTATGAAAAAGACAGGTTCTCTGTGACAGGGGTGTGTGATTGATGGAAGACAAAGCCAGGAATAAACACTGGATAAAAATGCCCCAATGCAAGAGTCTGATAACCTTGTGACCACATCTGGCACCCCTGGGCAGAGCACAACTGCCCACACACAATTGATGTGCTGTCCCTGGCCAGCAGCTGGACCTTTCCATGGGGAAGGCCTCCTCCCTCCGTGCCCCAGTCACTCCATTTGAAAAATTCTTTCAATGCTGTTTTTAACATAACTTCCTTTTTATTTTCACAGGATGTCAGAAAAGCTTAACGACTTACTGAAGTTCTCATATTCAGGATTCAAACAGGCCGTAGTGACTCACGGTGTCTATTAAATTCCTGTGAGCAGACAGGCCTGGTAGCACATGCATGCAATCCCAGCATTTAGGATGCTGAGACAGGAGGGTTGCAAATTCAAACCCAACCTAGGAAGCTTAACAAGTTAGTGAGGTCTTGTCTCAAAAATAAAAAGGGGGCTGGGAATATAGCTCTGCATGAACAAGGCTTTGGGTTCTGTTCCTAACACACTCCTTTCCCCCCCCAAATAAGCCATGGGACAGAGAATAGGAAGTAACTCTGCCACTGGAGAAGGGAACAAGAAGTTGAATCTGAGAATTCAGCTGAAGAGCAGCCCTACTGGAGGGAAGCAATTTACTCTCATGCCTCACCTCTTTCCAGAGTAAGAAGGGACAGCTCTGAGCAGAGGAGAGATACCCGACCCAGGGACAAGAGCCTGGCAACCCCAGGGAAAACCAAGAAGGCAGGGGGTGGCTGGACGTGGGGGCACACACTTGTAATCCCAGCACTTGGGAGGCTGAGGCAGGAGGATTGCCATGAGTCTGAGGCTAGCCTGGGCTACATAGCAAGACTCTGTCTAAAAAAAACCAAAGCATACAGACACAGTCTCCTTCATAGCTCAAGCAATGTGAGGTGAACTCTGCTGCCCTTAATTTCCCCACAGGACACTCCAGTCATGTTAGCTACACACCTCTGGAGCTCTATAAGGACAGAATTTATTTTATTTTATTTTTATTTCTTTTTTTTTGGTACTGGAGATTGAACTCACGACCTCGCACTTGCCAGGCAAGTACTTAAGCCACTGAGCTAAATCCCCGTCCCAAGGACAGAATTTTAATGAGGAATAGAAAATGAATAAGTGGATTTGTCTTAATTTTTTGCAAGTCAGTAGATGCATCAGTCTTCTGAAAATGTTCTCAAGTCTGCAACGCTGTAGGAGCCCTGAGCCTCACAGATGCTCCACCCATTCCCAGCTCCTGCCATCGGGCAATGCTGGCCCTGCCCTGAGTGACATCAGGTGGACCCTTGAAGAGCCCAGAAGGCAGAACACAGCAGGGATGACTACAAAGAGGTGGGACAGGACATCCAAGTCTGGGAGCAGGAGCCAGGCCGAGGCACAGCAGCCCAGGATTGTTCCCAGATGTCCGAGCAGAGGGCCCCTGGGGCTTCCCTCTGTGAAGTGCAGGGTTTTCAGTGAGAGGAATGGAGATCTGGGAAAGGGGACAGAGAATGGGAGGTGGAAAGTTTTCTAACTTTGTCGGAGCTCATCAGTTTGTTGAGACAAGGTCTTACTAGGTAGCCCCGGCTGACACTGAGCTCACGCTCACGGCCATCTTCCTGCTGGCGATCTTCCTGCCTTGGTCTCCTTGAATGCTGGGATCAGAGAGGAGCACCAGCTGGTGCATGAATTCACCTTGCGCTGCTTCACTCATGAACATGTTCCACTTTGCTGTAGGATCATCAAAGAAAAAATTCTTTTGTAGAAAAATATCAGCAAGGAAAGAAAATCCCTTCCTCCTCCAGCCCACTCTGAGCTTGTTTTCAGGGAACTGAAAGGATATTTTTCCTCGGAAAAGTCAGCCCCCGTAGCAGGCACAGTTCCTCCTGGCTTTTCAGTTCTGGGTCCCAGTTCTGCATGAGGCCCAGGGTTATAGCCTGGACTCTCCTGAGATCCCTACCCACCACGTCCTTTAGAAAAGTCTCCAAATCCCAGATGTGCTGGATGCAGCCCCGGGGCCCGGTGACATCTTGGAGTTATACACTATGCACATCCCTCTGCGGCCGGCCACCTGCTGTCACAGCCTGTGTCTGTGTCTTCAGAAGGGAAAGGTTCTTTGACTCCCTCCTGCCTAGGCCCAAACCCAGTTCCATAAATTTTTTTAATCTTTCATAAAACAATTGTACTTCTGCTTCCTCTTCGTTCTCCTCCTTCTCCCCCTCCTCCTTCTTCTTCCTCTTCTTTTTACTAAATGGCTGGGTTATTTGTTTCTGTATTGCTGTCAATGGGGTTCTCTTTTTTGAGTTTTAATTCTCTTGGCAGGGCATACTCGCTGTGGGAGCGGGACCCTCACAGAGCTCATCTTCGTTCTTTTACTTCCCTTTCTCCTTTCCTCTTTCCCTCCAGATTTTTTTTTTTTTCTTTGATATTTTCAATCCCAGGTTGGCTGACCGCCTGGACCCCTGGTTTGGGAGGATTTATAGAGCGCGAGTTCCTTCCAGGAAAGTCCCCAGCCCCTCTGGTCCCCTGTGCGCTCTGTCACTGCTCCCTGCTCCTCTCCCTGGAGCTGTCTCTGACTTGCTTGGTTGTTGGAGTTTCTCTGTGGGGGTGGCCAGCATGTGCCACACAAGTCCCACTGCCCACTTCCTCACCCAGGGCGACAGCACTAAGAGAATTTGACTTTTTTTCTTTTGAGACCTTGAACTCATTATGTGGCCCAGGCTGGCCTGGAACTCACAGCAATCCTCTTGCCTCAGCCTCCTGATTACTGAGATTACAGATGTGCACCACCATATACTAAACTCCTCAGGCTAGGCTTGAGTGTGTAATGCCCCTGCCTCAGCCTCCCAGTGTTGACACTGCAGGTGTACAACACTGTGCCCAGTTTAGAATGTAACCCGGTGCTCCAGCTGTCATCACGACCAGCTCGAAGCTGGCTCCAGGTGTTGCCTGGACCACAGTCCTCAGTGGCACTGGCTGGGCCCTGTCTTAACATCACACCCGGAAGCAGCATGCATCACAGGACAGGGCAGGGCAATACTGAGGTGCTGGACATCACAATGGAGGCCTAGGGCCTTCATGGAGCAGAGGACGGTAGAGCAGCCCTTGGCTCAGATAGCGGGCAGGCCTGGCATTCAGGGATCCCAGCTGCAGAAGAGCAGAGACCAGGCCGGAACAGAGACTGGGGAGCCTTGGTCGCTGCACCATGCCTGCTCTCAGCCCCGCTCCTGTTTCACTGACAGTTCAAAGCCAGGTTGGGCTACATAGTGAGACTTTGTCTCAAAAAAACAGAATAAAATAAAAACTCAACAAAATGAAAGCAAAAAATATTCCCCCCTTCTAACTGTTTTAGTACAAGGATTAAACCCAGGGTCTTAAACTGGGCATGATGGTGCATGCCTGTAATCCTAGCACTCAGGAGGCTGAGGCAGGAGGATCTGTGCAACTTCAAGGCTACGCTGGACTATTCAGTGAGTTCAAGGCTGACCTGAAGTATATGGAGAGGCAAACACACACACACACACACACACACACACACACACCCTGCAGGAAGGCCTGGGATCTCCCTAATTCCCACCCCTGCACCAATCAGCTGGGTATCTCTACCCAGTCGAGCACCTGCCCAGCTCTCCTGGCCTCATCTGGTCTCCCTGGCTCCCTTGAGCTCCCCCCACCCCCAGCCTCAGGGTCTGTTTCTTCCACTGGCTCGAAGCACCTTGGTCCAGAGCCCTTGCTGTGCCCTGTTTAGAGTGGGCAGGCCTGAGAGTGACTGATGACAAAGGTGAAAAGACACCCACTCGTCCCTGAGCCCAGGAGCAGCCAAGAACCAGGCTGTATCACTTGATTATTAGCAGGGGTCCAGGAATTCAGGTTTCTAAGGAGCTTAAGAATTTGTGGTGAGGGGAGGAAGAGTTAAAACGGTGCGCAGAGTTTTTCCTGTTAAATACAAACTATAGGAGGCTGTGGTTTGCGACAAGGCTCCTGCACAAGGCCCAGAGACCAGTACAAAACTCAAGATGGAGCTGCCTTAGTAATGTTGCATCTCACCAAATGCAAGCTACGATTGTTGTAGTTTTGTTTTGTAGGCACTGGGGATTAAACTAACGCTGTCCTCTACCACTGAGCTACAACCTTGGCCTCTTTTACTTTGGGACAAGGTCTTGCTAAATGGTCCACAGGAGCTTCAATGTTGCAATCTTCCTGCCTTCTGAGCAGCTGGGGCTATAGGAATTCGCCACCACCAGAAAAAGCAAGAGACAAATTTCCCAAGCCCAGTAGCATAGTTTGAGCAGTATGCAGATAAAGGCCCTTCTGTTTTAATCTCTATACTAAAGATGTACTAGCTGGGTGCCATGACAGGCCTGGAGCCCCAGCTACTTGGGAGGCTGAATAGGAGGATCCCAAGTTCAAAGCCAGGCTGGGCAGCTTACCTACTTAGCAAGACCTTGTCTCAAGAAAAAAGAGAGAAAGGAAGAAAGAAAGAGAGACAGCAAAGGGGTTGGGGACATACGGGTGTGACAGAGTGCCCATGAGTTCTAGTACTAAAAGAAAAAAAAAAAAAAAGCCAGGCATGTTGGTGCACACCTGAGGCAGTAAGATCGCAAACTCTAGTCCAGCTTGGAGAGTTTGGCAATTTATTGAGAACCTGTCTCAAAAAAAGGCTTAGCATCAAGGTGATGGCTTAGATCCCCAGAAAAAAGAAAGGAGAAAGGAGAGTGACACAGAGAGGAGAGAGAGAGAGAAAGAGAGAGAGAGAGAAGGGAGGAAGGGAGAGCCCTAGTATCATTTTGTCTGTGAGTGCATGATGCTGGGAATGGGCCAGGGCCTCACACATGCTGGCCAAGCGCTCTGCTTCAAGCTCACCCCAGCGCCTGCCTGACCCGATGCTATGTCCTGGGCCACCCGGTCTCCACCTTACAGGAAAAGTACCACAGAAAACAGCAATGCACTGTTTGCTCCTGGTTTCTGCTTTCTTGAGCCCTTCTCCTCCACAAAGCCAAGCTCTTCTGTTTGAGCTTTCTATAACACAGAAACACTTATTCTGTGTTACAGGATGAAGCGTTGCCTAGTTCAAGAATCAAAACTAAAGCCGCTTATGGGGCTGGGGATTTAGCTCAGCGGCATAAGCACCTGCCTTGCAAGCAGGCAGTCGTGAGTTCGATTCCCAGTACCAATAAAAAAGAAAAACACAAAAAAATTTGTTTAAAGCCACTTAGCCAGGGTAGTGGTGCACATGTGGAATCACAGCACTTGTGAGGCTGAGGCAAGAGGATTCCTGTGCTCAAGGCTAATCTGAGCTACATAGTGAGTTCAGTGTCACTTTGTACTGTTTAGAAAAATGCTGTCTCAAAAAGACAAAATAAATACATAATAAATAAATAGCCACAAACCAGGTGTGGTGGTTCACACCTGTAATCCTAGCACCCAGGGGCTGAGGCGGGAGGATCATTGCGAGTTCCAGACCAGCCTGGGCTACAAAGTGAGCTCAAGGCCAGCCTGAACTGCATAGCAAGACCCCGTCTCAAAAAAAAAAAAAATTTAATAAATAGCCACTTAAGAGTTTTAAACAAAATAGTTGTAACTTTAGCCTTTGACAGTATAATAATAGTAACTACAGGCATCAATTGGTGGCCTGTTGATTTGCAAGACTCTACCTGATCGACAGTCTTTAAGCCAGGCTTGATTAAGGAGGGGGCGTGGTGGTGCACACCAGTGATACCAGCACTCAGAAGGCTGAGGCAGGAGGATTACTGTGAGTTCGAGGCTACTCTAACTGAATAATCACCCTTATTTAAACCATCTTGTCCCCATGGAGAACCAGAACTCCTCGTGGGGCTGAGAGTCTGTCCTTATGGCCTAAGACAAGGACAGAGATGTAAATGCTATGACTCACCAGATCTATCTGATCTCAGGGTCAGAAATGCTGTCTGTATAGCCGGGTGTGGTGGCTCATGTCTGTAATCCTAGCACTCGGGAGGCTGAGGCAGGAGGATCGTTGTGAGTTTGAGACCAGCCTGGGCTACAAAGTGAGCTCAAGGCCAGCCTGAACTGCACAGTGAGACCCTGTCTCAAAAAGACAAAAAAAAAAAAAAAATGCTGTCTGTGGGCAGAAAATTCTGTTTGAGGCAGTAAAGGACTGCTGATCTGGTGTGCATGTCAGATTCCTTTGTTTGTTGAAACTGTCTCATTCTGTAGTTCAACCTGGCTTTGAACTCACTATGTAGCCCAGGCTCAACCTCACGGTGATCCTCCTGCCTCGGCCTCTCAAAGTCCTGAGATTACAGGCTTCAGTGGTGTGCAGCTACCTGCCTCCTTTAGCGGCTCTCCCAGGGTAAAGGGCATTGCTCCTCAGGCCCCACACCCATCCTTATCCTGCCAGGAGCATGACAGGACCCGGGCCTACTGCTTCCCCTTCCAAAATCTGCTCATGAAACAGAAACAGTGGGAAGGTTGGGGGAGGGGGGAGGGAGGGAGCAAGGAGGAAGGGGAAGTAGGGGACAGGGGACATCCAGGCCATGGCTTGGGAGCTCATTTTGATACCAGGACTGAATCTGGTGCGTCATGAATGCCCAGCTATAGTCAGCCTTGGACCTACTCTGTGTGTCGCTGTCCTAGTACAGGCCACAGGTGACATTTTATATCTGTCAAGAGCCACAGAGGAGCAGCGCAGAGCAAATGCTGCCCCGAGCACAGGGCTGCAGGACTACAAGCGCTTCAGCCTGGGTTCATGTGTGACAAATGTCCCTGGCTCACACGAGAGGTCATGAGGAAGGGAGGAATGTGGGAATTCTCTACTACCTGCTCACTTGCCCACAGGCCTGAAGAACTCCTCAAGACTGGGTGGGAGGGCACAGCATGCATGTAATCCCAACAATGGGGGGGCTGAGGCAGGAAGCTCGCTGTGAGGTCTAGGTCAGCCTGAACTGCATAATGAAACCTTGTCTCAAAAAGATAAAAAAAAAAAAAAAAAAAAAAGACTGAGTGTGTTGGTTACTTTCTCTCATTGCTGAGAAAAAAATGCTTGATGCCCACATTAAGGAAGGAAAGATCTGTTTAGCTCACAGTTTGTGGAAGTTTCCGTCCATACTCAGCTGCTTTTTAGGCAGGGTGGCTCATGGCAGAGGGCAACAGTTCATGGTGACAGAAGACAGCAAAAGCAAGAAGAGCCAAAGGGTAGGAGCACAGAGAGAAGACTATTTCTGTCCCTTATGTTATACGCAGGCTCTCATCCATAATCCCAGCATTGGACCAAGAATCAGTCACAAATTCTAGAAGCCTGCTCTCATGACTGCATGATGCTTTGAGGGGACATCTAGATGCAAACCATAATACTGAGCCTGGTGGCAAGTGCCTATATCCCAGTACCCTGGGAGGCCGAGGTAGGGGGATTGTCAACTCAAGGTCAATCACGACAATTTAGCAAAGACTGTCTCAAAACAAACAAACAAAAACAAAAAACACAAACTGGATGTGGTGATGCACACCTGTACTCCCAGCATTCTGGGACTCTAAAGCAGGAATACCACTAATTTGAGCTCAACCTGGGCGATTTAGCAGGCCTTTGACCCAAAACAAACTTCATTTATTTATTTGTTTATTTTTAAAGACAAAAAAGGACAGAAAAGCCAAAAGGTAATCAAGCAAACAAACAAAAGCAACATGAAAGCCAAGCAACATTAACATCAACAACAACAAAAAATAATAGTGATACAGGATTTCAAAATAAGATGATAGGAATTTAACCATGGCTGTTATATTACATAGTGTTATGTTTGATAGAACTGTGGGGGACCAGTGGCGCAGCTGAAAAGATAAGAAGTATGAAATATAAATGACCTTTATTTTGAGAATGCGGGGAGAGACACCCCTGACCCCCTGGGGGGGGGGCGGCATCTCCCCACCAGGTCGGCGATCTCTCCGTGGAACATGTAAAGTGGAGGCATATAAGTAGCCTAGGTTTGGGGTGGAACCTAAGGGGCATTAGTGATGCACAGGTAGCCCATTGGCACTTATTTGGCGCCAGAGGTCACAGGTAAATTCCTAGGGGTGGGGAAGATGGAGCTTCTTGGTTCCACCTGAGGCTTTACCAGCTACAGTGTCCTGTCTGGGCCAAAACTCTTTCATATCCCGTCTTATGATTATTATTATGAAAAGGGGTGAAGATTTCTTTCTTTACTGCTTCATGCTGGAAGGGGGTGCTGTACTGGGGTCTAGGGGAGTCAACGGGATGACGGTTGATGCCCATGTAGAAGCTGGTGCCAGGAGTTTTAGCCAGGACAACTTCACTGGTGAATGCACATATGTTAAACTGGAAAAACAAAGAGACAAGATGTTATGAGGAGGCATGGCACTATCATATTTAAGGACCCAAGTGAGGTAGAAGGGAAGGAGCCTTTGATTTAGACATGTCATTATATCAGGACCATGTTGAGGTAGAATTATTGCCACAGTAAGGTAGAATTCTGAAAAATAAATGTGGGGTTAGGAGGAATGAAGTCATGAGAGGTGATTACTCCCCCACCTGAAAGGGTAAAAGTTAAGAGGGTAGGTGGGTAAAACTTGTCTCTGGTATGGATGACGTGGGAGTCTTTAGGAAATACTGTAAGAGTCCTGCTGTAAAAAAGGATAAGAAATTAGAAACCAAATTGGACAACAAAACATGACAGCCTGAGAGTTGTGGTTGTGAGGCCTTGGTGAGATGGAGATGAGTAGGCAAAAGGATGGTTAGATCTAGGGCTGGAAGGGCACCACTTAGCCTGAGTGATGTGAAACCAGGATGGCAGTCTAGCAACTTTGATCACTGTTGAGGTTGCCAAGAATATCAGGTATGGGTCACTGTAACCTGGTTGTAGTCCTTGGAATGATTTGCTGTAAGAGGACTTTAGTAAGTATATCAGCAGTTTCCCTGGTTGTGTGAAAGGCTTTTATGTATCCTGAAAAAGTATAAACAAAGGTGAGAAGACAAAATTTATCTGTCAGCCTTGACCAGGGTTATGTCTGAGAAATTGGTGAGTAAGAAAGGAAGGAGGTGGTCTATAGCATTGAGGAGAGGTTTACTAGCGATAACAGGTGTAAGCTGTTGAGACCTCAGAGTCTGGGTCAGCCTGTATAAACACAAGAGAATAAAAAGCATTTTTAAGATTTAGGACTGTAGAGTGAGTGGTGGAGGGAAGATTTGGCACCACTGAGTGGACTGAGAAAAAGTAGTCTGGAACCTGCACAAAATAGGCCCTGTTTGTAAATGGCGTAGGTTGACCCTCAATACCCACTAGAGTTTGAGGACTTACTATAGCAGCCTGAAAACTCAGGAAGAACCCTGTACATATGGCCTCTATGTCCACAAGTATAGAGAATGTCTTATCTGAGACTTTTAGTGGGACTTTGACTCTGAGAAGGACACCCATAAAGGGGGCTGTTGTTGGCCCTGAACCCCGTCAGTCTTTAGCAGCAAGTTTAAGCAGATCTGTCGGTGGTGAATCTGGCAGTGTTGGCATTTCCTGTGAGGGCTGGGAGTTAGGATGGCTTACCCACTCTCTGGTGGCTAGGACAGTCCCGTAGCCCTGGGTAAGTTCCCAAAGGAACCCCAGGAAGGGACACTCTCTTGCCCAGTGTCTTCTCTGCATTTGAGGCATGGTCCATGGGGGGGGGGCAGGCAGCTCCACCTTGTGTTGGTTTACCTGTCTCAGATCTCCAAGTGTCACTGTTATCTCTGTTGTTGAAAATATGAAAAACCATATTAAGAAGGTCTCTGTGGAGTTTGAAGGTCAAGTTTTGCCTTTTTGTTTGGGATTTGGTCTACAGTAGAAGATATCTGTAGGATTAAGTAAGTATGCAGGAGTCAAATATAATCAACAGGGTATTTATAATTTTAGTAATGGCTTCTCATAAGGAAGACAGGTCCAGAGAATTTTAGGAACTACATATTATTTATGTCATATATATAAGTATCTCTTTATGTTATTAAAATGTCTAATGCCATCTGATTTTTGGAGGATGGCCTGTTTAATTAATGTTTACCTTTTTATTTAGGAGAGAAATCAGCTATAGTGTTATTTAATATTACTTGAATATAGTTAATTATGGCTCGGTGGAGGGCTGAGCCAGGGCAGGCAGACAGGCTGGGAAAGGTTTAAGTTGGCTTCTGCCACAGTGTTGGTCTTGTTGTTTTGCATATATCATTTCCTTGTTTTGGAAAAGAGCTAGTAGTTCCCAGCAAAAGGAATTTATAATTATTTTTTAATTTTAGTTGTTAAACAGGAGATCGGTGACAATACAGCATAATATAGGCAGTAAGCTTAACATAGAACGTTACTGGTGGTTTACAGCAAAAGGTATTTATAAATACCTCTTTTTTTTTTTGTCTTTTTCATTTTTATTGATACCAGGGATTGAACTCACAACCGCACACTTGCAAGGAAGGTGCTTATGCTGCTGAGCTAAATCCCCAGCCCCTATAAATACCTCTTAATTTTAGTTGTTAAACGTTTAGGAGATTACTAAAGGCTTTAATTGATAAACAAGAGTGGTAAAATTACCAGGTGGCCACTTTCCTGTTTATCAGCCAAAGTCTTATCTATTGCCCGCTTATTTAACCTTGATTAAATGGTTTGAGAATGTAAAAAAATAGCATCTCTGAGCCGAGCCACCGAGCTGCTGTTTATCTGTGTTTGTGTTTAAAGCAGCGCTTGTGTTTGGGAGACGTGCTTGTTTGGGAGATGCACAGCACCTAAGGCAGGACAGAACTCTGAGGCTGGGCAGGGCGTGCCCAGGGTGGGGGCAGCGCATACAGAGTGAAGGTGGGCAAGCACCGGAACATATTGTGCGGGGCAGGGCTGGGACTGCTCCCGGAAGCACGCGCAAGGGCAGGGGGAGCCGTGGCAGTGGCAGGTGGTGGTGGCAGTGGCAGGTGGTGGCGGCAGTGGGCGTGTGGTGCAGGGGCGTGGGAAGGCGGCCCAAAGGGGAGCTAAGCTTCCACGTGGAGCTGGAACTTGTCAGGGGGCGCGTGGATTAGGATATGGCGTTAGAGCCGACCCCACGTGGACCTGGAGCAGGCATGAGAGCTGAGATACCATGCGGAGTTGGGGTGCAGCATGAAAGCTTAAAGCGGCCCACGAGTATCTCTCAACACTGTTTGGGTGTACCTCCCATCTCGGGGTGGGGGATGGTTGGCACGGGGCAGGGGGAGGGAAAGCAGTGAGGAAACAAAGGGACACTGGCGGGAGAGGACACACATTCTCAAAACAAAGGCTTAAAGATAGAGAGTTTGTAAACTTGTCATCAGTGTGATAAGCCATAGATAGGTATGGTTTTTTTTGGTGGGGACAGGAAGTGGTCCCCAATATAAAATCTGGTGTGGGTTCTGGCCCACGGAGTTATAGCCAGATGAGGCAATGGACCGTGCTCTACTAAGTGTAAGTTGTCACTTTTTACTTATTTTAGACCGATCAGTACCATGTGGTTCCAAAGCTCGTAATAATTGGCCATCACCAATATACGAGCGGATTTTTCGTGGGTTTTAGTAACAGCTCTGCCCGTGAGAACCTAAAAAACTCTACCTTGGGCTATCTAAGGACAAGAGAGTCACGCAGACCCATGGAAAGGGGGAGAAAACCCGCCTGGGGCCTGGCCCAGCAGCAATCTCCGGGGGTTGCTCACCTGTGGTAAATTGGGTCAGTGTTGTTTGTGAACAAGCAGTGACAAGTTTACAGCTCCCAAGTGTAGAAGTGAGGAATTAATGCAGGATGCAGTCCGGTCCTGGTCCTGAACGGCAGGGGACTCAAACTGGGAGGGCCCAGGAATCTCTCATCTGCCGTTCCCAGTCAGGGAACTATATGATAGAACTGTGGGGGACCGGTGGGCAGCTGAAAAGATAAGAAGTATGAAATATAAATGACCTTTATTTTGAGAATGCAGAGAGAGACACCCCCGATTCCCTGGGGGGGGCGGCATCTCCCCCGGGTTTGTCGATCTCTCCGTGGAACACGTGGAGTGGAGGCATATAAGTAGCCTAGGTTTGGGGTGGAACCTAAGGGGTATCAGTGATGCACAGGTAGCCCATTGGCACTCATTTGGCACCCGAGGTCACAGGTAAATTTCTAGGGGTGGGGAAGATGGAGCTCCTCGGTTCTACCTGAGACTTTACCAGCTACAGTGTCCTGTCTGGGCCAAAACTCTTTCAAGCTTCAGAATAGTTGCTCAAGTACCCAAAACAAATTTTAAAGGGGCTGGGAGAGCAGCATTGTGATATAGTACTTGTTGTACCAACTGCGAGATCTGGGCTGGTGACCAGGCCTCCATCAGGGCCCTCCCCAGAAATCGAGGGGTCCTGCTGCTTTGTCTCCAGCTCCAGCAGACAAGTGCCATGCCCGCCTGGGCCTGATGTCACCATCAACACCCCAGACAAGAACCCGGAGGAAGACAGAGACCGCTGAAGAGGCTGGGGTTCTTTTATTGTTAAAGTCTCTCCTTTTTCTGTGCTTTGAGGCTGGGTCTCGATACGCATCTCCTGGGCTGGCCAGCGGAAGGAAGGGGCTCTGAGCCTTTTCCTTAAGCCATCTCAGGTAATGTTTTTCTCTGTGCTGGGAAGGAGGATCACCGTGAGTGGGAGGCCAACTTGACCAACACAGTGAGTCTGAGACTAACCAGCGTTACAAAGCAAGACCCTTCCTTAAAAAAAGAAAAAAAAGTAAGAACAGAAGCCAGATGTGGTGGTGCGCACCTGTACCCCAGCTCTCTGGAGAGACAGGCAGGAAGATCGTGCATTGATCACCCTGGACTACATAGCAGGACTCTGTCTCTAAACACATAGGGGACAAAATCCTGGAGAGGGCTGTGTTCTTCCCGTCACTGCAGCAGGCACACCTTGGCCACTCTAAGCGAGGCTTCCTCAGACAGGCCAAGAAACACCACCTGTGTCACCTGAGGCCTCCCCCACCTCGTCCCCACCTGGACCACAGACTGCAGTTGCCAGGTCAGATGCATTTGCAGATCCAGGTCCTACACAACCCCATGAGATTCATGAGACTGGGGGGGGGGGGTGTCATGTGCAGGGCCACAGAGCCATTGTCCATAGGTCAAATGTCACCACTTTCAGGAAGTGAAAGGTCGCCTGGGGCCCTGGCTGGGCTGAGGGTAGACCCTGGCTTGTCCCAGACACTTGCTGCAATCAGAGTCACAGTCCTCAGGAGAGCTTCTTCTATGTCCTGTGCTTTTTTTTTTTTTGGTTTTCTGAGACACAGTCTTGCTATGTAGCTCAGGCTGGCCTTGAACTCAGGATGCAGCCCACAGTGGCCTTCAACTGGCAGCAAATCTCCTGCCTCAGCCTCCCTAGTGCTAGAATTACAGGCATGCGCCACCACATTCAGCTGCTTTTCTGTATTTTCTATGATAAATATCTACTATTTGTGATTTTTTTCTTTGAAGATGAAAACTGGTTTTTAAAAATGGAAATTTGTTACCTCTTATGATTATTGATTATACTTAATTCTTTGGTACTGGGGATTGAACCCAGAACTTTGCACATGCAAGACAAGAGCTCTGGCTGTTGTAAGCCAGTGTCTCATTAAGTTGCTGAGCTGGCCTCACACTTGCAATACTCCTGCCTCAGCCTCCCAAGTAGCTGGGAATAACTGCTATTTTGCTGCTAAGTCATTTTAAGAAACAATAATGATATGAGTAAAAAATGAAGCTCTAATGCCGTTGTCCAGAGATAACCAGTATTAGTTAATATCTCCTCAGTTATAGACATATACAAGCACATACATGTACACAGGACTTACACACATATGCACATATAACCACACATAAACTCAGACATACATACACAGAGGTATACACACACAGTATAGGCTTTTAGGTGGACATGGGACTACATTCAGATGCTCTCTGGAACTTTCTTCTTTCATGTAATATATCCATATCTTCATGTTATTCCCCATCCCTTTTAGGGGCCATTTAATATTCCATTGTGGGGCTAGGCATGGTAGCACACATCTGTAAATCCCAGCACTCAGGAGGCCAAGGCAGAAGGATTGCTGCAAGTGGAACCAGCCTGAACTACACAGCAAGATCCTGTGTTAAAAAAAAAAAAAAGAAAGAAAGAAAGAAAGAAAAAAGGCCAGGGATTTAGCTCAGTGGTGTAAGCTCCTGCTTGGCAAACACAAGGTTGTGAGTTCAATCCCCCGTACCAAAAAAAAAAAAAAAAAAAAAAGAAAGAAAAGAAAATTCCCCTGTGAGATTTGAAAGGATTTATATTTTTATAAAAATCCCTTCTATCTAGGGGTTTTTGTGTGGGGTATTCGTTGTTTGTTTGGTGGCAGTGCTGGGGATGAAGTCCGGCCTTGTGCACAGGCGAGGCCAGTGCTCTATCACTATGCTGCAGCCTCCGCCCTGTTTCCTGCCTCTTTTTTTTTTTTTTTTTTTTGTAACTCAGAATGTTTTTCACTGAGGCAATTACAAGTACTTTAGCCAATTTTTTTTTTTTTTTGGTCTTTTTCGTTTTTATCGGTACCAGGGATCGAACTCACGACTGCCTGCTTGCAAGGCAGGCGCTTATGCCGCAGAGCTAAATCCCCAGCCCCTACTTTAGCCAATTTTTAAAAAATAATTTTATTGGTACACTTTTTTGGGGGGAGGGATACCAGGAATCAAATTTAGTAGCTCACACTTGCAGGGCAGGAGCTGTGCCACTGAGCTAAACCCTTGGCCCTTTGGTACACTTTTGATACCATAATGATCACATTCATCATGGAGAATTTATACCTAACTTGTTATTAAAACAGATTAACAAGGCTGGGTGTGGCGGTGCACACCTATAACCCCAGTACTCCAGAGGCTGAGGCAGGAGGATGGATGAATTGGAGGTCAGCCTGGGATACATAATGAGTTCAAGGTCAGTCTGAATTGCATAGTGAGATCCTGTCTCAAAAGACCAAAACAATTCAAAACAAACAAACAAAAAAGAAAGAAAAAAACAAAACAGATTAATAGGTGGGGATAGCTCTGCAGCCTAAGTGCTCACCTGGCAAGAACAAGGTCCTGAATTCCATTCCCGGTACCAAAACAAACAGATTAACAAACAATTGAATGACAAGAAAAATGTATAGAACATATAAAACAATGATGTGAAATCAGAGTGCATTCTGAGATGCGCTGGCCACGCTGGATTACAATAATCACTTTCTTATTCTTAAATTTATAACTACAAATAGAATTTTCCTAGGGGGTGCCAGTCAGCACTCCATTCTTCCCACATACGTCATAACAGTATTTCCTTTACTCCTTCAGGCTCCCTGGGTGCCCTTCCCCCTGCCAGTGAGCACTGCAGACCTAGAAACAATCGTGAAGGAGAAAGGGCCATAGAGTGCTAGATGGGATCTGTTCATTTTCTCTTATTATAACCAAGCTTGCAGTCTTGTCTCTTTATTCTTTAACTTACATTTAGAGGAACATAGAGAAAAACCAACATTGTGTAAGTTTTCATCTTAAATTGGTCCTAAGTTCATAAAATATAAACTAAAAGTTAGGTTTCTGGGGGGACAGACACTGAGTTACCCATCACCATTTAAAATGTACTGTGTGCCTTTAAGATCTGCCTTGTGTACTTTTTTGAAAAGGGACACTGAGAAGAAACACAAAAGGAAAAAAAAAGACAAAGAATCTCAAGGTCAGATTTCCCAACTGGAGGCCTGCTCTGTTTCCCAAGGTCGGAACCTTACCCCAGGCACTGGAGGCAGCCTCTGACAGCTTCGCAGTGTTCATTCTGGAGTCTTTTGGGAAAGGTCCTTCAGGACACGGCCAGGGGAGTGAACAGTGTCAGCACCAACTGTGCTCCACAGCAGACAGAGGAACTGCAGGTGATCTGCAGCAACAGGAAAGCAAGAATCACAGACCCGCACTGGTCTCAGGGTGGATAATTAGGCCGAGGTCAAAGTGACCCCAGGCAGATTTCCTCTAAACTGAGAGTACACACAGAAATGGACTATTAGCCGGGCATGGTGGCACATACCTGTAATCCCAGCACTTGGGAGGCTGAGGCAGGAGGATCCTTGGGAGTCTGAAGTCAGCTTTGGTTACAAAGTGAGCTCAAGGCCAGCCTGAACTGCAAAGAAAAGAAAAAGAAAGGGAAAAAAGGACTATTGTTACTGACTCCCATAACCACAGGAGTATCACGAGGCGGAATCGGTGACGGGTCAGAGAAGATCAGCATCGAAGAAATCCTCTCGGATTTTGTTATTTTTATCGTGCATCAGATCTATGTGCTATGCTGGAGCCTGCATTTCCTTGATTAACATCTCTTGTGGCTTGGGAGAAAACCATCTGGTAGAAAACATAAACTATCTGACACATATACAAAAACATTACCTGACACAAAAATTCATCACCTTCTGGTTAAGCATCTAGCAATTCAATAAGGGCAGGAATTATCCCAGATTCAGCAAGCAAGGCAGGGCAAGAGTGACCATAAATACAGCTCCAGTCATTAGTCAGCTTCCGCACTCAGCACCTGGTTGTAGTTGACCCTTGAGGTATGGAACCAGCTTGTGCCCCTGGAGAACCAGTTTCTAGCCCAAGCCTGCCATGTGCCAATGTCCCCAACCATTTGATCATAAACTCCCTCTTTCATCCTGAGAGACCTGGCCTGCAAGGTCCCAGTGTAACCACTAAATTTTCAGTTGGTCCATCATGCTAGGAAAGGCTTCTAATCATTTTCATTCGCAAGGAATCCTTGAACTTCAGGGTCTTTTTTTTTTTAAGCTTTTCGGTCTTGCTATGCAGTTCAGGCTGGCCTTCAGCTCAGTTTGTAGCCCTCGCTGATCTTGAATTTGTAACGATCATCCTGCCTAAGCCTCCCAAGTGCTGGGATTACAGGCATGGGCCACCATGCTCAGCTTCAGGGTCTTTTTCACAAGCATATTCAGCCTATTTTCCTCACAGATTAGCTGCATATTCCTCTCACTAGCAGCACGATTCATGTTTCAGATGAGTTCGTTTACTTGAACATCCAAAGAGTATCTTCACTACCTGTGATACCGCATCAGCAAACAGGGACCCAAAGTGATACAGCACAGCACATGCACTGCTGTTTGCTTGTGGTTTTTGTGGCCGAGCAGGGCACTGGGTTTGGGAAGAAGCCCGACTTGTATCGTCTTATTCCTCAGTCCCGAATCACAGAACAGGTTTAGTAAAGCCAAAGAGAGATATTCAGCAAATCTTCATGGTCACATGGAACCAGTTTAACCAGCTTTTCAACAATATCCATTTCCTCTGTGTTGGTTTTGTTCTGCATAAAAACACTGTTTCTTTTTTATTTTTAAACACTGTTTCTTTAAGAATGCTACAAAAGAACAGCTCAGACTGTTCCAATCAAGATTTTTTTTTAAATAATCTTTTTCGAGATTTGGTTTTCAGTCTCCTGCTGCCCTGTTCTTCCTCTCCTGCTCCCCTCCTCCTTCGTGTCTAAGTTCCCATCGATGACACTCATACAGCTCCAATGTGATAGTGATTTCTTCATGAAACTGAACAAAGCTGGGGAAGCAAAAAGATGTAAGCCAGGTCTGTGGCTAAGGCAACGCTTTAACCCCAGTCTTCTCTCAGGACTCTGGTAGGGCACAGAGCGGGTTCCTCCCATCCTAGCTCTAAGGAGCTACCCGGATTTTGAACAAGCTGCAGGGTTGCAGCAGAGCCCGGAGCTCTGGCAGGAACAGCTTCCTGCCGCCGCGCCTCAGTGTATCCATCGCATCGCATCGGTAATGCTGGAAACCTCAGCGATGCCCATTCCTTCAGAAGGAACTAGATCTTTAAATTCGCTTGATCTCCCTCCCTCTCTGCCTCCCTTCCTTCCTTTTCCTGACACTGATCATGGCGGTAACAGCTGCTCTGCTCTGAGGGAGGGAGAGGCTTATGCTCCTCAACCACCTTCCGTGCCAGGGAAGTTTCTTGTGTCAGCCGTGAGACCCTCCCGACGTGTCCTTGGCCTTCCCTCCATCCTGCCAGCATGGACACATCCATTTCTCCAAGAATGGTGGCTTCCACAGCATACTCAGCAATAGGTGCTTTTTCTGATGCATGCACGGCAATATCCTTTATTAACTTTCCGTTGGCGCTATTCGGCATCTTTACGGTTACCATGCTGTGTACACGGTGACACCTGGCCTCACACCAGCAGCTCCTGAAGCGCATGGAGCGCCTCTGTGATGTCTTCCTTGGCGATTTTCCATAGCAGTGGAACTGCTGTAACAAACAAAATGTACATCTAACGATCTTACTCTGTATTTTTTAATTCTATTGAGACTGTTCAGATATGAAATGGAGGACATCCCCATTTCTTTACATCTTTGCAGCACTAAAAATTTCATCCTTGCCTGTGGGAATAGTTGGGAAACTGTGGGCTTAATTTGTGTCCTTTTAGGTCTCAGTGACAATCCTTTTCTAACTTTACAGGCTGTTTGGATTTCTTTTGTGAATCATCTTTGGCTTATTATTTATGTTTCCTTAATAATCGGGATACTACAAATTATTTGTTGTTTGTTTCTTTGTTTGTGACAGGGTCTCATTATGTAGCCCAGCTGGCCTGGAACTCACCATGATCCTTCTGTCACAATCTCACAAATCCTGGGTTACAGCCGTGCACCTGGCTCTCACTGACGCAGCAGATTCAGGACCAGACCAAATGGAAACGTGGCATAGAGGAACTCTAAGAAGCCACTTTATTATACTAGTGAGCTGATGGGACTCTCACTTCCAAATCATCAGCAGTGGTTGGAGTTTTCCAATCATTTATATGTTTCCAAAAAGAAGTACAAGAGGCAGATAATATTATCCTACGGTTGGTTACACGTCTTTGTCATTAATTGCAACACAGAATTCACTCGTACAGAAACAGCAACTATATGAGGTTACTATCTTACAACACAAAGAATCCATCATTGTCTGAGACTTGGCAGAGGTCCTTGCAGTGATAACTCTCTGGGACTTGGAAATAGCTACTTACTTATCTTGCAATTGGCACCTGTTCCTGGCTGAGCTCCACTTATCTTGCAACTGGCACCTGGAGTGTCAAAGCTCATTAAGTTTGTAGCTTTCTAACCATGGGAACAGGCTGTGGCTCTTAGTCTCATCTTGAACAGTATTAGAACTATGTTTAGTATTAGACATACATGTTTTAAAATTTCTCTACATTAAAATAGTCCCTAGATCATAAAGCATTCATGAGAAAAGCAACTTCTCATGTATTGAAACAGGTGGTGGGACATAAGACTGGATGACAAGGAGTTCCTAGGTGCTGTAAATTATTGCCCTTGCCGTGACATGGTTTCCAAAGACCTGTCATTCTGTCTTTATGCTGGGTCTGTTCTCTCAGCCATCCTCACTCTTGAGTCAGATCCACTCTGTGCATCAACTTGCTGCTCATTAAGCAATGTTTTGTACACCAGGCAAGGTGGTACATGACTGTAATCCCAGCACTTGGGCAGCTGAGGCAGGAAAATCACTGAGTTTGAGGCCAGCCTGACCTGCATAGTGAGACCCTGCCAAAAAAAAAGTCTTGTTCACGACTGATACAGGGTCTGCTTGGACAAGGCCATGCTGTCCATGGAAAATAATGATCCCAACTGCAGGGGTTATTCAGCAGTGCCAGAGCAGTGCTGATTGCCCATGAGTCCAAGCAAGATTGAGATGGCTGGCAGATGAGGGGACCAGTTATGGGCAAAGCCACCAGTCTGGATGAGTGGATGATGATCTCATGGTGGTCCAGGTCCATCACCAAAAGAAAAGTCTTTTGGAACCCTGCCTATGGGAATCATCATCCAGCCCAGAAATCAATGAAAAGAAGAAATCCTGAGTGTACTTTGCTCTGACTGGCCACTCTCTCAACTAATGGCTGGCTCCTCCTACCCAAAGCCCCAGTTTAGCTGAAGCCACTTTCCATCTCTGGAACAGGCAAAATCCCGAGATGGGAAGGGGCTGGGGATTTAGTGTAAGTATCTGCATGGCAAGCGCAAGGTAGTGAATTTGATCCCAGTACCAAAAATAAATCAATAAATAATCTGGAGGTGAGAAACATCAGTGGGTCAAATTATAATCTACCTATAGGATTACAAGTACAGCTGCTTAGGTAATATGGATCCAATACGGAAGCAGGTCATGCAGCAAGCGTCCATGGAAAGATCAAAGGCTTTTGAGGGGAAGGGATGGGTCTGGATCCTCTGCTCACCCACCTGGATGACTGATGCCTGTCTGGACTTCCTGAAGTTGCAAAACATTCCCAGGTACTGCTTATTCCTCGGGGAGACCATTTCGTCTTTATCTTGAGGCCTGGCCTTCACCAGATGCGCCTCAGCCAGATTCACTGTTATCTTCGCATGCCTTGGCCCCTGCCCTGCCTGACTATTCATTTCTGTCTAATTTAGCTGCCTATGACATCAGCACAGGTTAATCCCCAGCGGAGTTGCTGAAAGGCACAGAGACACCAAGGGAGGCCTGGGAGTGTGGCTCCCAGGTATGGCACTTGCCTGGCATGCACATTTGTGGCCCTGGGTTTGGTTCCCAGCACCACCAAAAAAAGAAAATCAGGAAACGGAGTTGCAGACAGTGGAAACAAAACTTGTTGAAATTTTCACCGACTGGTCACCCCCGCTGGCTGTCTCACACTGCAGGGCACAGAGGGCTCAAAGTCACCAAATTGCCAGGCTGGGGATTTCCAAAGCAAGGAGGAAGTCACTCAGGCCTCAAAGCAGACCTGCCAGACTGGAGCCATGGAGTTCACGGAGTTCCAGTGCATGGAGTCCTGTACTGCAGCCTGCAGGACTCGTCTGTCCTGTGCCTCTTGCAGGTGTGTTCGATATCTGAAAAATAATCTGCCAGTGGCCAGCATTTCAGATCTTGAGATTAGCAGAGCATTGGTTCACTTTCCTTCTGGGTCCCAGCTAGGGGAGGAGCACAGGAGAGGCAGCGAGCTCCAGAGCTCCAAGTGGAGAAAAGGACAAAGAGCGACACGGAGAAAATGAGAATGGCAGGAATCTCCCTTTACAACTTTAATTGGCACATTTCTTACCGTAAAATCAAACACAGACAAGGAAAAAGTACACAGCAACTGATTGGGGTTTTTTGTTGCTGATGGTTGAGAAGTTCTTACTCTGCAGTTCAGGCTGGCTTTGAACTTGTGACGATCCTCCTGCCTCAGCCTGGGATTACAGGCACGCGCCCCACGCCCCGCGGTGGCTTTGGTAACTGTGGCAAAATGAACGTCATCGGAAAAGACCCCCGCTGCCCTCAGCGGTTCCGCAGCGCCCCCGGCCCTGCTCGGCCCGCTTGGCCTCATCAGCGGCTCTTTGGCCCGGGCTGGGGGTGCCGGGAGCCACCCGGGCCCCCCGACTCCCTCCCCCTAACCGCCAGGTTGCACAAGACCCTTGGGGACCCGCAGACCACTGAGACGCGCTGCACAGTCTTCATCCGCTTTCGAAACGTACTTTTACGCAACCTCAGCGGGCCGAGCTCCAGGTTTCCAAAGACAGAGAAGCGAAAGCGGATCAGAAACCGCGCGCCTAGCGGCGTCGGGATCAGGCGCCTCCGCGTGGAGCCGGCGGGGCGCGGCTGCGCATGCGCGGGGCTGCGGGGAGGCTGAGCTATTCCCTGGGGGTGAGGGGACGGGGCGCCGGAAGTGCCCGCCCGCCTGCCTGGTCTCACCTTCCTGGAGGCCTTTTTATTCGTCTGTCGTCTCCCTCCTTGCCGCCTGCTCCAGGAGCCCTCCTGAGCCCTGGCCTGGAGCCTTCTCGGGGCGCTTTCCCTGCCTAGCTCACCCAGACAGTGCTGCTGGTCCCTGAGCAACCTCAGGCAAAGCCTATCCATTGGGAAGCCACAAGATGGGCATGAAATGGGACACGACTATGCTGAACCAACAAGACTGCGAGTAGAATCGCTTAGGCAATAGTGATTAAATGGGGATCAAATAGGGTACAAATCAGCAAGTGTAAGGACCTAACAGAGACTTTTAGTGGAAGGGAGGTTTTGGTCCTCCACCCAAGGTGTTGGATGACTACTTAGAATATCAATCCCCACTATTCATCCCTAAGGAAAGTATGAGGGTGCAGTCACTCTATCTTTCATTTAGGGGTCTGCCCTTTAAGGACTGTGTCTCCACCCATGGTAGTATCTCCTGCTTTGTCTCTTTCCTAGGGCCTAGTCCCACCTGACTACCTGTTACGGATTAAAAACTAGTGGTCAATTTAACACCAGCTGAATTAAATCAGCATGTGCTGTGGGGAGATGGCCCACCTGAGAACTGTTGCCAGCATAAAAGGAGACATGGCAGGGGCTGGGGATTTAGCTCAGTGGCATAAGCACCTGCCTTGCAAGCAGGCAGTCGTTTGTTCGATCCCTGGTACCGATAAAAATGAAAAGGGAGACACGGCGAGGAAGAGCGGGGCACTGTGGGTTCCCCTAAGTGTTGCTGCTTGGAGCCCTTGGTTCTCTGGGAGGAGCTCGTCATGCTGGCTCCCAACATGGACTCAGCCATTATCATCTGAGGAGCTTGGGACCTTGTCGCTGAGTGGCTGCGGTTCACTTTGGAAGAACTTTGGTCCTTTGAGCATTGCTCTGGAGGGGAAGATGTTTGCTATTTAACCTCCAGGAGAAGCTTGTCACTCTGGCTTCCTGAGATGAACTAGACTGTTATCATCAGAAGAGCTCGGGACTTCACCATCACTGAGGATGGCTGTGGTACTTTTCAGGAGAGCCCTGTCCTTATTTTGAATGTCACTTCTTGGCTCCAGTGTAAAACCCTCAGCCTGCTGGCGGAGATCCGTCACCCTGCTGGCCCTGACTTTCTAGTTTTTACTGCTGACCTTTGGGTCTTCCCAGCATAGATCCATAAAAACAGACTTGCATGCATGCTTGTTATAGGCTGTAGGTCTCTAGGTGTGTTGCAGGCAGCTGAGTTAGTTAGAAACATTATAGGCAGTCAGACAGGGCTGAGCCCTCAGAGGAGCCAGTGCAGAAGTTCAGACACCTTGTGACTTCTGAGGAGACAAACACCTCCTGCTGTGGGCCAGATCTCAAGACAAAAGGCAAAGCAAACACAACCACATCCTAATGTCTGACAGTTCAAATAGTTCTCTATGACCTTCAAGAAGTCAGGAGTCAGCATCCCACCCTCTATGGAAAGAGTCACCACTCTGTAAGAATGCCTGCTTACTATGTGACTCCTCATCCATTTGTTCCTAAATTAATCAATTTTACCTGAGCAATTAATCTTATTGGTTAACCACAATTCTGTCCCGCCTTATGCCCACCTTGTGAGTTCCCATTTCTCCTCAGGTTGGACCATTCAGACCTCAGTGATTTCACTCGATAAAAGTCTCTAGAAAAGACAGAGTCTCTGGAAAGCTGCTCCGCAGACAGTCCCAGCAAGGAGCGCAGAGCAGCTGTCCCTCCCAGGAAAATGATGGACAGGGCCGCTGCCCAGGAGCTCTCAAGGGAAATTCCCACTAGGGTCCCACAGTGAGTGGGACAGCACCCAGCACCTCAGCTTTCAGACGAGGTGGCGTGTTAGGAAGGAGAATGGACAGGCTCCTGATGTGCGTTAGTGTGTGCTGTCTTCAGGAGATCTGCATGCGAGGATGAACCTCATCTTCAGGATGATAATGAAAAGTCACATGGAGTCACGCAGGGGTAAAATCTCTGCTCCCGAGTGCTAGGCGGACCCACATGTGCTCCCATAAGGGAGCACGAACTGGTCCCCACGCGGCTTCCAGGTGCAATTTGCACTCTGGCTTCTTTCCGCAGTTCTGGGGACCGACCCCACTGCCTAGGGTGTGGCAGGCAGCACCCTGCTCTGAACTGTGTCCCCGCACTTTGCAATAACTTTTAGGAAAGGACCGCTTTGACAGCTGGGTGTGTGGGTGTACACCTATAATCCCAGCACTTGGGAGGCTGAAGCGGGAGGATCCCAGAAGTTTGAGGCCAGTCTGGGATACACAATGAGTTCAAAGCAAGTCTGAACTACATAGTGAGTCCCTATCTCAACCTCCACCCCTGAAAAAAAGAAACTACTACTTTGGTAGTTTTGATGTAGCATCAAAGAATACCCACAATTATCTGAAAAAGCCATTAAATATTTCTCTTTCCTGAATGCACGTTCATTTGGGGTCGAATTTTCTTCAATTAAAACGACTTATTGCAACAGATGGAAAGCAGAATCAGATGGGGAGACCCAACATTCCAGCGGGGGAGCCGTTGAAGTTAATTGTGAACGTGTAAAACATGTTATTTTCTCTTTTTAATTCTGGAAATGAAGATCACTTCCAGTTTATATTCACAAGTAATGTTTTAATTAATGTGACATTTTGATAAATTAATGAATCTTTGGAGCTCCAATTCTTAAGACTATAAAAGTGTTCCAAGATCAAAAAACAAGAAGCAAGAGCTTACGTGTTTAATTTGAAAAAAGGAGCAGGATTAAAAAAAAAATTTAAAAGGGGGCACTGGCTATAGTCCCGGCCCTCAGGATATTGAGATGAGAGGATCCTGAGTTTGAGGCCAGCCTGAGTTTGGGCCACATAGTGAGCTCAAGTCCAGTCTGAACTAGAGTGAGACCCTGACTCAAAAGGAGGGTCCACTGGGCCACCACTTCACACCCCAACAAGATGGTTACTATAAAAATGACAGCAGTAACAAGTGCTGTCGAGGAAATGGGGAAACCAGAACCTTCGTGGACTGTGGAGAGGACGGTAAACCAGAGAAGCCACTGTGGACTGAAGTCTGAGGTTCCTCAAAAATGTTAAACAATTTCTTCCCCAGTGTATCTACCTAAGAGACTTGAACACATATATCCAGCATAAAACCCAGACATGAATGTTTGTAGAATTATTATTCCTGAACTCAGAGTAGCAGGCTGAGAGGTAGCACCTGGGAAGCACTGGCATAGCGTACAGCACCTGGCCTGAGCCGGGCACCTTAAACGAACAGGAAGGAGGCATCCAAGGGCCACCAGCTCAGGACAGGAACACAGGAGGTTTCACCCGTTCCCTGGGACACAGGTTTGCTGTGAGCCAAAGCCAAGAACCACAGAAACCAAGCACTGTGCGCCTGGAGTCTCAGCTTGGAACGGACAGCAGAGGAGACAGCAGCAGAGAGGAGATGCAGGCAGGAGATGGGTGGGCAGGCAGTTCCCAAAGGGCTCCTTCGGGGACTGATGGAAATGTGTTTCCCAGTCACCATAGCAACAGCCCTGCAGCCCCATGCTAGAAGCATTGGATGGCATGCTTTGCGTGAAGTATGTAATGGATGAATGAGTTACAGCTCAATAAAGCTGTGTAAAATGCAGCTATTCCTTTTTTTTTGAAACAGGGTCTCACTATAGCCCAGGCTGGCCTTGAGCTCACAGCAGTCCTCCTGCCTCAGCCTCTTGTGTGTTGGGATTACACTATGCCCAGCGGCCATTACGTTTCTGTAGAAAATTTATCAAGGAATGCGACATCCATGCAGTCTCAAGTATTATTAAAATACAGAGAGAAAAAGATAGGACGAATCTAATGGCAAACACTTTTGCCAAGCGTTTAAGGTCAGAAGCACCATTCCTGATACTATAAGCCAGTGTGGAGTGTGCCTTGATGTGGTGGATAGAGTATGTCGCTGTGGCGTTCCTGCCCAAATGTATAAACTTATTAGGAAACACGGGGCCTGTATCCTTCAAGAATTGTCACTGTAGAGAAAGACAAACAAAGGCAGAAAGACAGTTTCAGATTAAGAAACTGAGCAGACCTGACAACTGTATGAACTACGTGATTTTAGGGCTGGGTATGGTGACGCACGCCTGCAATCTCAGCACCCAGGAGGCTGAGGCAGGAGCATTGCTCTGAATCCAAGGAAAAGTATATAAAGCATATCTAGTGAGCCAGCACCGCCGGCCGGCGGCAAGAACTAGGATGGAAGCCACGTGCCCGTCCCTGTGAGCCTGCGGGCATGGGGGGCCCAGGTGAGGAGAACACCACCTCCCCCACCCTGCACCCCCATAAGTGACCAGCTGATTCAGAGGAACACAGACTGAGACCTCAGATGACAGGAAGTAAGGAAACAACCTAAAGCTTGTCTTCTTGACTTTGCAGGCCCGAAGCCAGGGTCTGGGCAACCAGTTAGAGGATAACGATATGCAATAGAGTGACCTGGCAGATTCCCTCCCATCTTAGTGGTGCTTTTTTGTTGTTGTTGTTTTTAGGGTTTTTTTGGAGGGAGTCGAACTCATGACCTCATGCTTGCCAGGCAGGCTCTGTGCCTTTGAGCTACATCTCCAGTCTTCTGTCTTAGTTTTGAAATCCAATGTTTTGTTTCATCTTATTGTTTTGTTTTATTCTCTTCAAAATAAAATAAGTACATACATATATCTTAAAAGGTTGTAAAACTATAGTATAGAAAATATACTTTAGCTGGGCATAGTGGTGCACACCTGTTAATCCCAGCACTCAGGAGGCTGAAGCAGGAGGGTCATTGCAAGCACAAAACCAGCCTGGGCTACATAGTAAGCTCAAGGCCAGCCTGAACTGCATAGTGAGACCCTGTCACAACAAGACCAAAACAAAACAAAACCTTTGGAGATTTCTTCTTTTTTTTTTTGAGACAGCATCTTGCTATGTGGT